TAGTGTGCTCTCATGAGGCACCAGTAATGTAGGGGTTTGGGCATTTACTGGGACAATTATTAATTGTGTCAGTAAATCACAAAATGATTCTTTTAATGATCTTAGAATACACGCACAGGTACTAATACACAAGAATACATTTATTAATACATAGAATATGCATGTAAACATAACAGATCTTATCGTGAGGGTTAAAATAATACAAAAGGAATATATTCAATCAGTTACGAAGAGTTAGACATATCAAGAGGACATACGTTCAGTATATCATTCATTTAGACCGTTTCATAATTGAAGTTGGTTACAACTTCTACATTAGATACTGAAAACAAGTACATAACTCTTAGGAATTCAATTGATATCAACTGGTTGGGATAACAATTGAATTCTCGAGCGCTAATGCAGTGAAGTTGAATACTCATCCAATCTCTGGAGATTCAGATCTCCTGCAGGCACAAAGAGACAGTTGCAGGCTTGTTGCTGTCCAATCTGTGCTCTCTGGCTCGGTGCCAGGCTGTGCTGTTGCGGCTTGGTGGACACTCCTGAGGCACTGCTCTCTGAAGACCGGCTAGGTAGTGTTGGCTGAACTAGCAAAGTTTATGCACAGGAGAAAAGATGACTGTGGGTCCCAGCAGGTCAGGAAGAGGACCGGTTCATTCCTGATGAAGCTAGTTCTGAATACTGATTCAGCTGTCCACAGTTCCGTGCTGTTCACGAAGCTTGCTGCTGGTGGTAACCTTGGGTGGATCCTTTGGTTACTCGTGGCAACCTCCGCTCTCGACTCTTAGAACAAAGGAAAGTTCTGGCACTTGGACACACTGGCCGTTACGTGGTGGTCTGGGCTGAGTCTCAGGATGGTCAGGAGGCGCACTGGGTGAATGTCCTGCCCTTAGGAACTATTCTGGCCTGCGGGCCGTCCTGCCCTGGAATTGTCTCGCACCCTAGGAATTCTTCTAGGAGCTCTGTGTTGCCTGTTTTTACCTGGAGGAACTTCAGCTCGTTCATTGGCTGAAAGTTTCATGGGCATCAGAGACCCACATGGGTTACTCAGCCCTACCAGTCCCTGATTGGTTGATCAAGGTGAGATATGAGTCACTTACTCCTGACACTTAGGAATGCAGTCCAGATGTCCATCTGGCCCTCCCTAGACAGATAGGTGCCAATGGATGACCATTGATCATGATAGCCAGGCTTAGCTAAGTGCATCCCTATTTGGGGGCTGTCCCTTATCAAAAGAAAACCTTAAATCAGCCTGCATGAATAGTTTCTCTGTGGCTGCACCACAGAGATGAAGAGAGAGATGGGGCCTCACTGGCAAGGGAGCAGAAAACTTAATTCCTGTATTTAAATAAGCCTTGCCGCTACAACATTCTAGATTGAAAATACAACAATTAAACGGTTTAACACAGGTGTTTCAAATTCAGCAGCATCCAGTCACAAAAGTACAGGATTCCAAGGTAGCAGCCAGGCTCAAATCTTCCATGCCCAGACAGCACAGCCTGGATTTATGGCATTGGCTATCAGAGTGGCGGCAGAGAGCTGGTGTTGCTGGCATTGGGCACTGCGACACAGAGGTTGGGAGTGGATGGGGGTGGTTGAACTGCAGCATGTAGCGTACAGGTGGTGAAGTAAGCCGAGATCTGAACCAACAGTCCACCAGGGGATGAGGATGGGGCAGGGGCTTGCAGCAGACCTGTCAGAACTGGGGTTTGGGGTTTGAGTAGCTTGAGCTGTGTGCAGTAGATAGTGCTGAAATAAACCAGGTTAACAGCACTGGAAAAAAGATGATAAATAAATACTGCTTAAAAAACACTTAAAAACTATTGATAAAAAGCCATTAAAAAAAACAACTCTAAGAATGTTAGCATCCTCTATCAAATGGAATTTGAAAAGAAAATGAAAACTAATTACAGTGTGCCAATTTGTGTTATGTTTCTCGACCTGGAATGTTAACCAATGGAAATTTGTGTGCCCCCCCAGCATTCCAAGCTGAGAACAGTGTTTGTCCAATTATTTGAAAACTGTCGTGTTGCTCTAAGAGAAATGACAGAGGATAGGAGTGGGGGGTGCGGATTTGTCTGCTTGCAACAAACTGAGCTGGACAAAGGATTAAATCCCACTGCTGCTGTCTTTCTGCCGGAGCGCCTTTGTAATGCCATTGTAATGCCAGCTCAGGGTAGCTGTAGCCAAGGGGCGGGGCAGGTGGGGCCGGGGGGGGGGGGGGGGGCAGTTGGCTGGCATCCAGAACCAGTCGAAAACATGATGGCAGGACCTCCCTTTCACTCTTCGACTTGCAGGCAGAGCGAGAAAATAAAAAATGCCTTCTTCATTAGAATGGCTCCCTTTGTCAAAGATCATAGTCAGCTGTTCAGCAGCCTGATTGCATTATACTGCCTCTCATCAGTATATACTGGTCTAGCCTTGGAAGAGAGAAAGGGCAAAGAAAGAAACATGAAAGGAATGAATGCAAGCTGCTTTGTACCAGCTTACAGTGGCTATTGACAGACCAGACTATGGCGGCTTGTGGAGAGACCTGTTGGGACTGCACTGCCAAGCCCTGCTTTCTCATGTTTCTCGCTGTCGTGTTTCTACGTTTCCCTCAAGCTAATTTATACTCTATGGGTGACGGGGCCTTCTTTTGCTATGGCCCAGAGCTCAGGAATTTTATCCCCAAGAATAAAAATAAGTCACTCACCCTCAGTGCATTTTAATATTAACTCAAAATCTTTCTGTTCAGAAAGACTTTTACTTAGTTAGTGTCTGTCTGCTCCATTTCCTAACTTCTGTTGTACTTCTAAAAGATTGAGTTTCTTATATAATAGTTATAATAATTGCTTACACTTATATAGCGCTTTTCTGGACACTCCACTCAAAGCGCTTTACAGGTAATGGGGAGTCCCCTCCACCACCACCAATGTGCAGCATCCACCTGGATGATGCGACGGTAGCCATAGTGCGCCAGAACGCTCACCATACATCAGCTATCAGTGGGAGGAGAGCAGAGTAATGAAGCCAATCCATAAATATGTAGGTAATTTGTCATTTGCTATCCTTATAACAGTTTTTCCCCCTTTTAAACCTGCTCTAAAGCTATTTTGAGTTTCTACTTTTAAAGGCACTTTTTAAAATAAAGTTTATTATTATAATTTCTCTTCCAAATTTATATCGTCTCCCACGTCATTGATAAATTGACAAAAAGGTCTGTGTAAGAACAAGTTGCTGATCCCTAGGACACTGGCGTTGCACTGGGTAACTAGTCAGCAAGAGCAGTAACCTGGGAGAATCTGTTGTTGTCTTGCAATAATCGTCATTATGTCAAGTGCTGTTTCCTGTGCAACAGTGCTGCTTCCTCTCTGCACTGTAGGTGAGACCTGGGCTGAATGTGAACAGGTGTGCTTCCCTAAGACTCTTGCCGCTGACGAGACTGCAGAGAAAGGCAGAGTGGAGTCAGAAACATGCACACCTTGACAATATTCAATAATCTAGTATTTGTGGGTTTTCTAGTTCCAGTCTTTTTTTTAAGAAATGAAGCTTCATTCAATTTATATACTTTAATCTTTGAGCAATTAAGCAATATCAATAATGGACGTCTTGGCGTGCCCTTCACCAGGCTGGTGCAGTTGTGAGAAGGCACCACTGTGCTTGTGAATAGAAATGTGTGTCTGCTTACAGCATATGCACATGAGTTCCTAAAATTCTAGAATACTTCTGCTTCAGTTTTTGGAAAGTTATGTGCTGTTCACCCAGGCCAAACTAATGGATTGTATTGCTGCACTACACTAATAAGCTTCCTTTTTTTTCCCAGTTCCGTGTTGATCTGCATCTTGTATTAGCTAGTACCTAATTTTATTAGAGCACTTCACAGGTGTCAGTTTAGAGTGCACTGGCCACTGTACACGGATCTTGGAGAATCTCCTAAAAATAGAAGCTCTTTACAGTGCGGAGTGATTCTTTGGTGATGAAATGTGCCTGCTTGCTCATAGTCTCCCAGCTGGGTCAAGAGCTGATCACCCATGTCCAGTTTCATGTCCACTATGTGCATGTGTAGCAACCAGAGAAATCCGACGTTTGGTGTCCAGTGTGTTATGAGTTAAGTACTTTTTGTTGTGGGGGTCACGTGAGTTCTGTCCCCTCTCATTGGGGAAGCTTGAGAAAAACACAGAAGTTTTAAAAAATGTGGTGCTCTTCGTGGACTTTGAAGAAACTGTTGTATGTCCCGATGTTCTCTGGGTGCCTAAATAAAAAGTTGTTGTATACAGTAATTAAAGGTGTTTGAGTAAGTGGGAGTAACACATTACAGAATACTTTCATCTGTAAGGGAGAGACTTTCCAAACACTAGATAAGGAGATTCTCATTCTGAGGCTGTGGAGAATAGAAAAAGAACTGTGCCAAGTCTACAGATGTTTGTTTGAGACTCAGGTCATTGCTCTCTTCAGAGTAATGAAACGAATGGACCCATTTGTTTCCATTAAGAATATGTTTTACTTTGAGTAGGCTATACAGACATTTTAGCCATTGGTGGTATGCATAGACAAGCTTCATTTCCAAAGATTCTTTTCACTAAACCCATACTGATATGCAATACAGTTTGCAATGTGATTGCTCATTTTAGACATACTTGTCAAATTCAGAGTTTCTTGGACTTATTTTAGAAAAACGTTAATGATATACCAAAAGGTAACTCTCACAGAGTGAAACATTTAGTTGCACTGCTCTGATGTGACATGACGTGTTCCAATCAGTGTGAGCTGAGATATTGTGTTGCTGTGACTGAAGCAGTTGTTTTGGGGGTAACAAGGCAGTGCTCGGATCCATAGGGTGTATTTCCAAAATTAGACTGGCAGAGGTATTGTTCAGTCCATTCTTACCCAGTTCAGACCCTCTGATACAGCCTGTCCTTTTTTTTGCTACTATGTTAAGTATTTAATGCAAAATGTTTTTTTTTTTTAATTTCTCTTGTTTAGAAGTTCTCACAGTCTCTCTCCATCTCTCTCTACAGCCCTTCTTTCGGCTGTTGAACCTACGGAAGCTTGGCCTAAGCGACAATGAGATCCAGAGGCTGCCGCCTGAGGTGGCCAACTTCATGCAGCTGGTAGAGCTGGACATCTCCCGCAATGGTGAGGGCACTGAGTCAGCACTGCTGCTTACTGTGGTATCGTGGTACCGCTTCAGGACAACTGGGCTTCAGGCCACAGTGTTGGTCACTGGGCTTCAGGCCACAGTGTTGGTCACTGTTTTCGAAGTGGCAGAGTAGACTGGGACTTATGCATTTCACACAGTCGTAGGCTACGTATTTGACACATAAACAAATTTTATTAAAATAGAAAATATGAAAACCCGTCTCAAGCTTTCTGAAACCGATTGAGTAAATTACAGATGAAAAAGTTGCATAATTTTTGATTATTCAATTTTTAATTCCCAATTTTGTGCATGTTGTTAAAATGACAAACCTCTTTCCTCTCCCGCTTTCTGTGTCTCTGGTGGAATTGTTGACCATGCTGCTCGCTTCTCACTCTCCCCTGAAGACATTCCTGAGATCCCCGAGAGCATTAAGTTCTGCAAAGCACTAGAAATTGCAGACTTCAGTGGAAACCCCCTGTCAAGGTAAGCCAGTGGTTTAAACCATTTGTCCCTTTGCTGTAGGGAGGAAGATAGATGGACAGAACCACGTGTTGGGGGGGGATCAAAAGACAGCAAACAGGTTTAAAACAGGCTTACTCAATCTGTCGATATTGCTTTTCTCGAGGACAACTGCTTGAAATAAGTCATGTCAGGATTTATACATTCTTTTCTTTATTAAATTATACACAGGGTCAGCAGACTTGAAAAATAAAGTCTTGTGTGTTATTAAATGGTTGATGTGCTGTATTTGGAAAAATACTTTTTTATACAGAAAGGGTTTTTTTCAGGAAACTGAATTTCATAAGAATGTTGGTTCCTCTTCTCCACAATGTAGTACTGTAGACTACAAAGTTTATAACGTCAGCCACAGAGCAGGTTTCCCAGCCCTGTTTGCTGAGATAATACTCAGGAAGCTTTGTAAGCTCATAAGTCAACTTAAGATTTAGAAAAAAAATGTCTCTGTGAAGAAAAAATTTTATACTGAGTTTTCAAGTTATAGGCCATTGTTGTTTGTATGCTTATTACCGGGAAGAGAGCTTGTAAGGTCCTTAACATGGTTCCTATATTCATTCCTCCCCTGTGGTTAAGAGAATTAGAGAAGAGCTTAAAGTATATCTTAAAACCTTAAGTGAATGAATAGATCTTCAATTTTGGAAAGTACTAAATTTGTTTTAGAAGATTCAATGGCAGTGAATTCCATATATAAACAACTCTGGAAGCGCACCTTCTCTTTACCTTCTCTTTCCAGTAGAACCCTAGTGGGAAATCTCAGTTTATATGCACAAGCTCCATCTTGTCAGTGCCAGACAGTACAGTGAATCCTCAGGCAGACAGGGCTATGAGACTGTGCTTGAAGTCAGGAACAGGGGAAGAAAGCCGTTTTGTGAGAGGAGTCTTCTCTCTCGTTACACGTGTCCCTTGGTCTCTCTGCCAGGCTCCCTGACGGTTTCACCCAGTTGCGCAGTCTGGCACACCTGGCTCTCAATGACGTGTCTTTGCAAGCTCTGCCCAATGATATTGGCAAGTGAGTATACTACGCACTGTGGCCCCACCACCAATGCACAGGAGTGCAAGCAATCTGGAATCGGTCCAGAGAAGAGAAACCAGATACATTCCTGGGCTCAAAGGAATGTCCGAGACTCGCAGGCTAGAAGAATTGAACCTTTTAGTCTTGAACAGACAAGACTATTAGGGGACCTGACACAAAAATGGAAAAATCCTAAAAGACATCAACAAATTCAACACACTGGACTACTTCCCACTGTGAAACCTGAACCAGGCAACACAAGTAGGCATGCATTGAAAGAATAAAGATCATGCACAGCTTTACACAAAGGGTTGTGGGAGTATGGAACAGACTTTCTAACCAAGATGTCAAGTCAATGCTCTGGTATCTTCCAGGAAATGGATGGATGAGATTGTTAAAGCAGTTAGTGAACAACCAAATGAGCTAGATCAGTGGTTCTCAAACATTTTGGACCCAGTACCGCCCCTGATCAAACCAAAGCATCCAAGTACCACCTGCAAGTCATCTTCTCATAGGAACCACAGAAAATCTCAATGAGCAACATGAGCACGCGCACACACTTTAACACGCATACAATAAAAATAGCACTTAGTTAATTTGGATCATATCGCCTTGTAGCTGTTTTCCGACACTTGCTAACACTAGCAGTGTTGTCTGTGTCTGGTTCAGCAGAAGAGCTAGTGTCGGTGGCCAATAGGGTTACCATACATCCAGATTTTCCCGGCAATGTGTTTTCGAAGTGGCAGAGTAGACTGGGACTTATGCATTTCACACAGTCGTAGGCTACGTATTTGACACATAAACAAATTTTATTAAAATAGAAAATATGAAAACCCGTCTCAAGCTTTCTGAAACCGATTGAGTAAATTACAGATGAAAAAGTTGCATAATTTTTGATTATTCAATTTTTAATTCCCAATTTTTCAGTGCACACAACACATTTCCACGATCATCTGGCATACCACAGTTTGGCTCATTTGTAGCCCTTCTTGTGTTCTTAAATATAGATTGCACCACACAGTCACAAGGTACTGGCAAGGTTCAGTATTAAATAATTGACTCACATATGTTCAGACATGTAGACAGAGTCCCTATATCGTGCTCCCGTTGCCATCTTGCCAAAATATCTGTGGCTATAGGTCTGGCAGGGACAGAACTCGGCCAAGTGCTTGGATAACACTCATATGGCCCAGGTACTTGGGGCCCGCCAAAACCCGGAACCTTCCGCAAAAAACTGCAGATAGCCCCCTTCCAGCTGACTGACAGCCCTTTCTTCAGCCCTGCTCCGAAACTGCAGATCAACAGCAGCATCAACCTCATGACGTTACTGAAGGAGTTTTAATGGTGTGCCTCGTGCAGGACTGCTCCTGTCAGGAGGCTTATGTGGGAATGGAGGCCTTGGATCTGAAATTTTTTTTTTTTCTTTTTCTGCACAGTTTAGCCAACCTGGTCACACTGGAACTGCGAGAGAACCTGCTCAAATCCCTGCCCACGTGAGTAGGATCTGCACTAGGAAATGAAGCGGAGCTCTTTCCCCAGCAGCCTGTGAACAGCAACAAAAACAGAAAAGCTGACATGTTTGTTACCCAGATTAACTAGTTTTAAAGCTTTCTGCTCCAGTGAGGAATGTGCTTGTGCAATTTTTCTTGTGGAAATTTAACTGTGTGGTGATGGCCATACGCATGCCATCATACACAGCTTGAGCCACTCAGAAGGCCAGCTTGCCATATCAAAACTGCAGATGCTTTTGGGGGAACACTGAGCTACCCCTCACCAGTGCATGAAAGATATGAGGTTTCCCAGCTTCCCTTGTAGCAATAAGCTTTGACATGTTTCTTTAGGTGCTCTTTGTTTGGGAGCTTTACAACTTCTAGTGGAATAAGGAATGAAAAAGAAAAAGTCTTAATGACTGTCAGTTTTCATTCTCATTCACCTGGCACCTCCCGCTGGATCAAGTTTCATTTCTCATTCTTGAAATGTAATTTGTGAAATCTTAGATAATGGTAGTTAGAAGCCTAGCCTGACAGAATCAATTTTCTCATTGTTTTCTTCATAGAATAATTAGTGTAAGTAATAAGTTTACTTTTTTACATTGTTAAGCTGGTTAAGAGTTACCACCCACCAGTAAGCTGGCACTGACAGATGTGCAGTGAGAGAATAATTCAGTTGTTTTTTCCTTCGGTGAATATTGTAGCGGGTGGAGAGCTGTCTTAGTACCAGGCTGTTGAATTTTCTGTGATTTGAGCGATATGGACTGTTTGTGCTCATGGTGCAAACAGTTGTGTTTTTAATATAGATGGGAATTTTATATTGGTTTTATATTATATTTTATATTGGTTTGTGTGCAGTGTAAGGGCTGATACAGTGCCTGATATTGTGCATATCGTGAAACATGTTTCAACTGTGGAACACTTGAGTATTGAGCTGTGAAGAGAAGAAAAGCTGAGGTGGAGTGGCTCTCACAGCAGGTGATGACAGGGTGCTGTTGTCTGGGGCTGAATACTCTCCACAGTTCCCACATATCTTTTCTTTTTTTTGTGTGAAGAGAATTAGAACCGCCAGATATTTTTGTCATACCGTCCCGAGTCGGAATAGTCAGTTCTGTTTTTAAGTCTCCTAACACATCACAGGCATCCTTGTTGTCATACCGGGGGAGCAGCACCTACTGGAGGAGAGGCAGGTCCCTCACTGACAACAGTACACCCAGGGGTGCTGTGTACCCGAGTTCTGAAAGCCACCAAAGAGAGCTGCCTGCCTAACATTGGACTGCTCTCAGCAGTGACACGAGCCAGGCTCGAACCTGCAGTTGTAGAGCTCAGCCTGAGCTCAGGAGAGCAGCTACACAGCTTGAGCCACTCAGAAGGTCAGCTTGCCATATTGGAACTGCAGACGTGTGCTTTTGGAGGAACACTGACTTGTTCTCACATATGTCTGAGTTCATGGTTTATGTGTCTGCAAGGCAGTTTGAATGTGAAATCCTCGTTGTGTATACAGTGTGTTAAATGCAAGCCTGTCCTGTGTCTTTCCAGGTCCCTGTCATTCCTAGTAAAGCTGGAACAGCTGGACCTGGGCAGCAATGAACTGGAAGTCTTGGTAAGAATCTCATCCTGCTCTGACCAGCTTATGCCCCATTCTCAACGGCATCTTCACTCCATCCACACACACTGAGGGTTAAAAAGAAGGTTACAAGTAAGAAGAGACATTCAGCTCCTCGTTGCCATTGTTACAGGACCTACAACATGAAATCATCTGCTTTAGGGCCTAGAACAAAAAACAGTTGTTCCTCTTAACCGCATAAGATCATTTGTACAGGGCAGTGAATAAACTTTAACACTGTAGAGAATGAGAAAATGTAATACCTGTGTTAAAGCATGATTGACGTTTCGAATATGCAATGAACATTTAAAATAACAAAGAGAGTCACAGACTCCTCCAGCGCTGGAAGAACGCCCATCACCACTTGTTCCCTTTCTCTTTCCTAGCCGGACACCCTGGGTGCTCTACCCAACCTGCGGGAGCTGTGGCTGGACCGCAATCACCTGTCCTCGCTGCCACCGGTAACTAAAGCCTCAGTGACTGCACGTTCACGAGAGAAGCACAGTTCTTTAGCGCCTGCGGTTTACCTCTGTTACACAGGAATGGGAGGCACAGGGCTGTGCTCAGCTCCGGAGGGGCAGAGCTCATCCCTGTCTGGCCTGGGCTGCTCTTGATCGGTGGTTTGCCTCCTGTGGTAGCTCGTCTCATCAAGTGGCAGGGGTTTGCATTCCACTTCCTGGAAGCCTGCTGTTTCTTCTGGTTTTCATTCCAGTTGAGCTCTCAATTGCTTAATTGAGCTAACAAATAAAAAGGCCTAATTAAGAAAATTGTTTTCAGGTTTTAAAAACTGTGGAGAGTGTTATTTTAAGGGTCAGTTTAAGTTGTCCAGGGGTCAGCTCTGATTAAAACCAGAAGAGGCAGTGGGGCTCCAGGAGCAGGACAGGCAGGAGCAGTAGAAGGTGAAGCCCAGACCAGAGACTCAGCGGGCCAGAGCTCATCCTCGCCTCTGTTGGACTACGGAGACTGCACACCAGCCCCTCTCTTGAAGTGGGACGCCAGAGGGACAGCCGTTTCTATCACCTCAGAAGGCATTTTATTTCTCGACTGGGTCATGGCAGACTATAATAAAGGAGGCCTGCACTCAGGACACATATCAGGATAGGACAGACATCACAGGGCACGTACACGCTCACATGAGGTCAGGTTAGAGGTAGTGAAGAACCTAGCCAGCAAGTCTTGGGAAGGTGGGAGCACCTGCCTTTTGTGTAGAAGGGCTTGTGTTCATTTTTTATAAGGACAGAAACATTTTTTTAAACCTTACCCTGGCATAGGTTTGTGTTGTTTTTACCGATGATATCTCTGTCCGTCCTGAGTTCATCTTTACTCCTGTTTTGCACTCCAGTGTTTTCATTTCTGAATGTCCAAAATTCGCATCTCTGCCTGTTTATTTTTTTGTGTGTTTGTGTTTTCTTGAAGTCTGTTTCTGTCTGCTGTGGCCATCCTACATTAGGTAAACCGGACTGTCTCTGAAATGGCTTATTAAACATTTGCACTTTGCCTCTTCCTCATGTTCCCTCCTGTTATTTCTCTGTCTAGGAGCTGGGTAACCTCCGCAGGCTGGTGTGTCTGGATGTGTCGGAAAACAGATTGGAGCAGCTGCCCTCAGAGCTGAGCGGTCTGTTGGCCCTCACTGACCTGTTACTGTCCCAGAACCTCCTGGAGACACTGCCGGACAGCATCGGTGAGAGAACTGAAGAAGATTTACAAACGAGAGGAGTATTTAATCAAGCAGTTCAGGAAATACAGTGGAGAAGTTCACAAGAGCCCCCAGTTATTCACCTCGCCCCCTCTGAGCAGCTGTTCCTATGAAACATGGTAGTTACCCATCCTAAGCAAGCACTGCTGATGATGATGACTTAAGAAGAGTTTCAGAAGAACATGGAGTTGTTTTGTCCTCTCTTAACTGTACAAAGACTACTCCCAGTGAAGACCCCATTAGGAGAGCCGCTGTTGTCCTGGAATGTGCCTGAAAGCTCCCCTTCATCTCTGTGATCAGCTCACAGTGCAGTACACCTGAAACCACCCCTGACCTGTAGAGGTGTCCTGGAGTCATCCTGCAACCCGCAGGCTCTGACTAAGGAGCTTCCCTGTGTGTCAGTAATATCCCAGTTTGCTCACTCAGGCAACAGAAAGGGAGAGGACCTGGCTGCTTGGCTCTTGCTAAAGAGCCAGGCTTTTTATATAGTGTCCTCTAGCTGTTATGTCTGCTGCCCTCTTCTGGTGTCTTATTGTTCCTGCATCCAATTGTGACAGGTGAAGTCCCTGTTTATTAGTTATGCTGGAATTATAAAATAACATTGCTGACTTTTTTCTGTGAATTACAGCCCCACACGTTTATGCTTGCTGGGTAACTGGACAGTGTTGAAATCTGATAAGGAGATAATCCATCAGGACGCAGCAGGGTGAAATCTTCAGATCAGTGGCTAGATGGGCTCGAATGGCTTCCTCAGTTGTGACTCTTCTTATTTTGTGGTCTTTGAAAATCTAAGAGGGACAGCTTGCTGGGCAATGTGTTACAATATACAAATTATCTATGACGTGATGAAAAAAACAGACATAGTTTATTAGTACTTTTGATGAATTACAGATTTTCTAAATTGACAATATTTAATATGGGTTGTATTTTCATTCACCTTCTTATATCACAATATATAAAGGTACTAATAGCTATGAATGTGTGCATTTACTGCCAGAATACTCTGTGTAGCGTCTTGGAAAGCCTTCTAGTAACTAAAGAATTGCATTGACCTCTGTAATTGGCCAGACAGAAGCAGTTTGCTCAATGAAGACAACTGGCAGTTCTGTCTCATTTCCCTGTGTTGTTCATGTTGGCAGGATGCCTGAAGCAGCTGTCCATACTGAAGGTGGACCAGAACCGGCTCACCAGCCTGACGGATTCCATAGGGGAGTGTGAGAACCTCTCAGAACTGATGCTGACGGAGAACCTCCTGCAGGTACGTCTGCCTGTGCCCATATCATCTTCCTGGGTCCTGGGTGACCTTCACAGTGCTCCTCCACTCCACCACCACCTGCATGAAGAGCAGCCCAGGCAGCTCAGTACAATGGTGTAATCTGCCACTTTGTGTCCTGCTGTGTGGCCTTGAATCCTGAGTTTACTGCAGACATCGGAAGAAGTTTGTGAAACCAGTGATTTTCCTGACCTGCCTGAGCACTGACCTGCTTCAATTGTTTCTCTTCTTCCTTCTTAACCTCTTCATGGAAGCTCCAGACACTCCTGTCTGTATGGGCTTTCAGCGCAGTTACAACAGCTAAATTTGCGCTGTGATAAAGACAGAATTTTTCAAACATTTTACAGAGCACTGCACATGCAAGTGATCTCCAGTATCCTTTAACTCCAACCCTTAAAATATTAACAGTAGTGATTAAAAAAAAAACTTACATATTAATAAAACTCCGGACAGACTGCAATAATAACATGGATCGCAAAAGAAACCACATTTCTATTACTGTCATTTTAACTAACTTTGAGAATCAAAATAAAAACACACAACACCAAACTACACATCATTAAAAATAAGATAAGCTCTCTTTTAACAGTGTATTTCAAATTCTAATTCACTGACACAATCATCTTATCTAAGAAAATCATATACATCATCTCTAAAGATCTAACCTGGACTGTGAACACTGACTCTATCATGAAGAAGGCTCAGCAGCACCTTTATTTCTTGAGGTGCCTCAAGCGATGGGGGATGCCAATACATGTGTTGGTGAACTTCTACCGCTGCACTATCGAGAGCGTCCTCACCAACGGGATCACCGTGTGGTATGGCAACACCTCTTCGCGAGAAAGAAAGGCAATGCAGAGAATGGTCAATATGACCCAGAAGATCATCGGCTGCGGTCTCACCGAGATTAAACAGCTCTATGAGGACCGCTGCCGTGGTAGAATTCTGGCCATCACAGAGGACAGTCACCACCCCGGGCATGAGCTCTTCACCCCACTGCCCTCAGGCAAGAGATATAAGAGCATACGAACACTTACCGCTAGATTCTTCAATAGCTTCTATCCACAAGCAGCGAGACTGGCGAACACATTTAGCCATCCCCCTTGGACCACACCTACACCATCACCATCTACCTCTTTATGATTTCTTATCTATTGCACATCTCCAGTCATTGTTTACACGTCTGTATTGTTTACATTCAAACTGTCTACATGTTTACTTGCACATTGTCTATTGTTTGTTTGTACATTGTCTTGATGCACTGTTTGCACTTTGTTTTGTTTTTTACACTTGTTTTACAATCGAGAGACTTTCTGTAAGTAAGAATTCCATTGTACCAGTACCGGTTACATATGGCAATCAAGTTCAAGTACTGCTAATTTAACATTATTACAGAAAACTATAATCATAAAAGCCAAGATTTGCCAAAATATAAGAAAACCCAACATCCTTACTGTGAAGTTGCAAAGAAATATGTCAAGTATTGCATCCAAACAAATATAGGAGCCATATCACACTGCAACCCACTGAAGCTAAGCAGGTGTGAGTCTGGTCAGTACCTGGATGGGAGACCTCCTGAGAAAAACTAAGGTTGCTGCCGGAAGAGGTGTTAGTGGGGCCAGCAGGGGGCTCCCACCCTGTGGTCCATGTGAGTCCTAATGCTCCAGTACAGTGATGGGAACTCTATACTGTAAACAGGCGCCGTCCTTCGGATGAGACGTAAAACCGAGGTCCTGACTCTCTGTGGTCATTAAAAATCCCGGGGCGTTTCTCGAAAAGAGTAGGGGTGTAACCCCGGCATCCTGGCCAAATTTCCCATTGGCTCTTACCTCCTAATAATCCCCCTCAATAAATTGGCTTCATTACTCTGCCCTCTTCCCCACTGATAGCTGATGTGTGGTGAGCGCTCTGGCGCACTATGGCTGCCGTTGCATCATCCAGGTGGCTGCTGCACATTGGTGGTGGTGGAGGGGAGTCCCCATTACCTGTAAAGCGCTTTGAGCAATTATTATTATGACTTTTTGTTTAAAAAATAAATTCACCTGGAATTCAACACAGAAGGACAAAAGAAACAGGGGTCCTCGTACTAAATTCAAACTGTGTGTTTAGCTTTTTGCCTCTGTGATACCTGAGATTAGCTGTCAATTAGTGAAATTTGATTTAGAGATTATGGGGAGGTTTATAGATGTTCAGAGTACATGCCACATTTCATTTGCTTTCATTTGTCTGTCTGCCTGTCAGTCACCTAAGGACCAAACAGACTCCAATGACTTTCTTATCTTTTTCAGTCCTGGAGTCACAATAGGCTCTTTTTTGTAGCCTAACCCACCATAAATAGTCTCACTAATATAGCTTTAATATTATTATTCATAATAATGGAACTTTTATTCCATTGAGAAAATTAAATCTTTGTTTTTTTCTTCTTTTTATTTTGCACATTTCTTTCTAGTGTACTGATTTAGAGATCTTAAAAATCTGATGTTTCATACTTGATGCCCAAGTGGCCTGTGCTGTTTATACTATATCCAAGATAATTCGGGTTTGTAAGTGTACACTCATTCCAGGCAGAAATGATTTTTGGGGGGCTTTCCCTTTCTCTCTTCCTTCTTTTCCTAGCCTCTTCAGGCCATCCCTCCCTTTCTCTCTGATCTTTTCTGGAACCATCTATTCCTATTTCGATTGACCTCCACCTCTCTCACCTACTGAATGCAATCAAGAGAGTTTTATTGGCAGTCTGTGCTAATTGTGTATTGCTACAGCACTGCATTGCAGGATATGATACAGTTAAGAGGTATAAGATACAGTACTCTCTTTCTCCCTCTCCCTCCTCAGACACTGCCTCGCTCTCTAGGGAAGCTGAAGAAGCTGACAAACCTCAATGTGGACAGGAACCGGCTCACCTGTCTGCCAGTGGAGCTGGGCGGCTGTACAGGCCTCAATGTCCTGTCTCTACGGGACAACCGTGTTGCCAAGCTGCCTGCTGAGCTTGCCAGTGCCACGGAGCTGCATGTGCTAGACGTGGCCGGGAACAGGTGCCTGAAACACTCTTATCTCGCTCACCATCGTACTCTTTGCTGCCCTTTCTGTGTTTTCCACTACTCTCCTGTAGCTCCCTCTGCTACTCTCGCTCTTCCACTCCTTGCCTGCACTTCTTTTTTACTTTTTCTCCACCTCTGTCTACCTACCAAATGTCAATCTCGCCCAGGCTGCAGAACCTGCCCTTCGCCCTGACCAACCTCAACCTGAAGGCCATGTGGCTGGCAGAGAACCAGTCCCAGCCCATGCTGAAGTTCCAGACAGAGGACGATGAGAAGACGGGGGAAAAGGTGCTGACCTGCTACCTGCTGCCTCAGCAGCCTTCGCCAAGCCTTGGTGAGCCTTGCTTTCCCCTCAGGGCACGTGATACTGTGGGCCGTGGGAAACTTCACACCCCTGAGGCTCAAGAGGAAGTCTTTACCCTGTCTGTAACCCCTACATCAGGGCCTGTGGAAGATTGTCATCTGTGCACTGCTAAGTAATTATAGTTCAAGAGCCCAGGTGAAGTTACACCCCATATTGCATATTGCCCAGTTAGCAATATACAGATGCGTTTGGCTTGCATACACAGGATAGCATTACGTGTGATGTTATAATCAAGGAAAATATAGATGTAAACTGCTTTTTTAATGAATGACGTTTTGACATACATCAGGCATTGTGCTATATTGTGGCTTCAGTGGTACATTACTAAGGTAAACTGGACTATAGAGAAGGTAGTTCAGCTGCCATGCTTATGGCCATATTAGTTCAAGAATCTAATGAAGATATATCTTTAAAGCATAACAGTTATTCAGCATCCATATACGAACCATAGCAGTTTGTAGCTAGTTTTAACCAGTAAAATCTCAGTGAGAATATGGTGTACAATATTAGTCATCGTGTTATAGATAGTGCTGCTCTGTTTACAGTAAATTCTAGGGCTTAAGAGAATATACGAATATAAGGGCTTTAAAAACTGAAAACAGGAAGCACATTTTTATTTTGAGTGGTGAGACTGTATGGAACTAGTTAACTAGCTATATTACCAAGCCAGGTTGCTGAATGGCCTCCTCTTGTTTATAACCTTTCTTATGTTCTTACCACCTGCACACTGAGGTTATCATCTTTGTACTCATCAGTTCACTCAGGTCAGCCCATTATGCTGTGATGCCTGCGATTATCCAAGTGGTACACTCTCTGCAAACGGGAACAGCTCAACGTTTAAAAGCTGCACACTGTTTCATATTTAGATTATTGTAGGATTCAAATCATGATCACGAATAACAGGAATCACGTTCTATTCAGCCAGTCAAAAACGTCAATCAGTTGCTCTTGTTAATTTTGTAGAAGGAGGTTATTGGAAAGTCTGGTACATGCTAAACTTTAACAGAGTTATCTGTTTGCACAGTGGCTCGGCCCATACAAATTACAGAAATTTCGAATAGGTCTGTCTACTCTATGTCTGTTTCTGTCACAACCTCTCCACTGTGGTGTCGTTGTCATAATATAAGTCTTTGAATATGAAATTACTGGACCATCACATTCAGGATAGCACAGGGATTCATAGCATCACATCCTGCTCTAGTGCTGCTGTGCCAGCTGTCTGCATGCCCATCCTCCTGGGACTTCAGAGCCAGGATCTGGGTGTGTGTTGTGACTGAGGAAGCCTGTTGTTACCCTGCTGTAGTGCTGTTGTGCCCTGAGACAGCTCGTCTGCTGTTGTCTTACAGAGAACCTCCTGCAGAACAGTGTGGACGACAGCTGGACTGACAGCAACCTGAACCGGGTGTCGGTCATCCAATTCCAGGAGGAGACCAAGCCAGAGGCAGAGGATGAGGACACCGCAGCTGAGCGCAGGGTAGGGGTGCTATTTCAGCACAGACGCATGAGGCTGCCCCATGCCGCACCTCTCTGGCGACCCGCTGAAGTGCCAACCTGAAGAGCAGTGTGTAACCCTGAGTGCTGGTGTTGCAGGGGCTGCAGCGCAGGGCCACTCCCCATCCCAGTGAGCTGAAGGTGATGAAGAAGGTGATCGAGGAGAGGAGGAATGAGGGCTTCACCGCCCGGCCAGATGGTGATGATGAGACTCCTGAAAGAGAGGTAGCTGCAGCACGAGAGGGCCAGCCTGATCTCCGGGCTTTCGTCCCCTTTGAGCACCCAGTTATTGACTGGAGCTGAAAGGGATCTGATAAGGCAGTAACAGCAGTGAGACCTTTAATGTTGACAAATGCAAAAACACTAAGCTGAAAGAAGCTAATAATGACAGAACACTTAAGTGGTTATAGTGACACGTTTACACCTAGGCAATGTGGTGATGTGATAAAAAGGTGAACTAAATCTTAGACTGTATAGTCAAATATATGTATGCAGACCCATGCACACAGTCACACCAGGGCCACATTTCCCAGAAGCCACTTATCCTACCAGTACGTTTTTGGGCTGTGGGAGGAAACTGGAGCACCCAGAAGAAACCCATGCAAATATGAGGAGAACATAGAAACTCCATGCAGAATGGCCCCAAGAAATGGAACCCAGGACCCCAGGGCTGTGCCACCGTGCCACCCTGTCAAATATATATAGATGTTAATCAAGGGATGTTATGTTAAAATTGTCAGTCAGGCCTCATTTAGAATATTGTGTACAAATGTGGTCATCACGAGGGATTGGGTTTTGCAGGTTTTTGACTCCTGACTGTTTTCAGGAGAAGCGTCTGAGCGGGCTATCCAGTCAGAGGAGCCAGGACTCCCAGGCTTCCAGTAGCACGGCCTCTGCCAGCTCCCAGGAGGAAAGGCAAGGACAGGCTGACGCTGTGGGGGTGCCAGGGGAGGAGTCTCCCAAGGGCCAGGCCGAGGAGCAGGAGGAGGAGGGCCTGGGCGACGAGATGGAGGTGGAGTATATTGAGGTGAGCAGGTGGTGGTCTCAGGATCTGGTGCTGGAGGGTATATGATTTTATTTAACTTTTTATTGATTAATCAAAACATTCACTTCATTAAAGGTACAGTTATGCAGAGTACACTTCAGAGCATGCTTACAAGTATTGCAACTTTTCCGTTAATTTGTTTATCTCTGTAATTGAAAGCTCAACAGAAGAAACACTAGAAGACATTCAACCCTCCATGAGTCTGACAGCCCTTCTCTAAAGTAAATTTGGAAGACCAATATATCAGTCCCATTTGGTAAAGGACATTTTTATACTTGGTCCTCTTTCAGCTTGCTTTGTAGGGAGTCATTTTACAATAAGTAACAAGCAAAACGTTATATAAAGGTTTTTCTTGATAAACGGCACGCTCCAGTTGTGTACAGACAGAATTAATTGAGTGTTTTTAAATGCAGTTAACAGGATGTTCAGAAATTCACGAACAGCAGAAACTCACAATGTTGTTCTGTCAGAACAGATGAAATGCTGTGGGTGGAAACATAATTCTCTTTGCAGAGCCTCACAGGAATTTAGAGACTAGACTGTAGTCTTTGAGCAAACTGCCTTTTCCTATAGAGAAGCTGGTTTATACTTTTTAACCTGATTATAGTGAAGAAAAAAGCTTTAGTATGCTGAATTATATTTTCATTCTGAGCTCATCTGTGCCGTTTTTTTGTACCAAAAAAGAGTTCTTGGGATGATTTAGTGAGCTTCCACTCAGAACCTATTGCTTTTGTAACTACCTGTGGTGCATTAAGGGCTCAATGCTCCTATTTCCCCTGATTCTTTCAGAATTCATTTCAGCAGCTATCACTCCAATAACAGTTGAGCAAGCATTTTTCCTTTACACCTCTCCCCAAGGATATATAAATCTCAATTTGCATGAATTCCACTTTATGTAAAAACGTCCCATGGGTCCTGAAATAAAATTTTCAAGCTGCAGAAAGGTTACGATAGATACATAAAGAGCACGTAGTGTGGCGAGTTCCTCCGTGGTTTATTAGTGTAGACTATGCATAATGCATTCATTACCAAGACTCACTTCCACTTTAAGTTTCACTTTGTTTTTACTTATGTCTGGCACCTTTTGTATCATTGTGCTTATTCAGTTAAAATTCAGAGAAACTCATGTTGAGATCAGGGAAGCACCCAAGTAATTTTATTTTATGATTTACTGAGTGTTTTAGTTTGTGTTTAATTACTGAACAGTTCGCAGTCGGTACAGTGCAGGTTAAGGAAATGTATAGAGTATAATTTATTTTTGTATTAATTTTCATGAAAAGGTAATTCTCTTTCTCCAATGTTTCATTTACCGTGGTGTACATATTTAAGGGTTGTTAATTATTGTAATTACAGATTTTTTAAATGCTTTTTTCATTCATTGTTATTTCGTTTCTCTCTTCATATATAAAGGGGAAAAGTTTTCTCTCTCAACCTCTTGCTCTCTTCATAATTTGCATACTCACACCTTAACTGTTTAAGAAACCCAAGGTAATAAACCCTGGCGGATCTGCAGTTCTGCTCTTCTGTCCCTCCTTCCTCGCTGGCCGGCACAACAAGGCAGATAAGGGATCTCTACAAGATCATGAGTGGTATTCCTCTATACTGCATGTGTTTACGCAGTGGCTGAGAAAGGGGCGCTTCTGACTTTTCTAAACTGGAGCCTAAGTTTAAGCGGGGGAGTGCGTGTACCTAATCAGACACATGTACTGTGTCGCACACTCTGGCAAAGCCATTGCCCACCACCCTTTCACAGAAATCCAGAGGAAGAGAGCTGGCCGCAGGGGCGCTCAACATGGCTCGCCCATCTTTTGGTTCTCTCTCTGCAGCCAACAGTGCACTTCGCCGAGGAGCCCATCATCCGGGGGGGCGAGGAGGAAGAGGAGGACGAGGAAGAGGATGGAGAGAGGAGCGAGGGAGAGGAGGAGAGGCCGGCCTTCCCCATGGAGAAGCAGCGGCTGATTCGAAAGGACACACCACACTACAAGAAGCACTTCAAAATCACCAAGCTGCCCAAGCCCGAGGCTGTGGCTGCGCTGCTGCAGGGCCTGAGTGCTGAAGTGCTCCCTCCGGCTGAAGATGGCGAGGGGCCAGAAGTGGTTACGCAGCCCCTGCCAGGAGATGAGCTGGACTGGGGCGAGAGCAGGCTGAGTGACCGGGGCAGTGCATCCTTACAGCCTGTCAAGGTAAGGCACTGCGTCCGGGCTGGCGGCAGCTGGGGAAGACAGGAGGGCAAGAGGTTACAACTGTTCCATTCTCTCTCACTACCAGCCTAAACCTCGACTATGTTGGGCTCTTATAGGTTATGGCTTTTGTTTTTACATGCTGCTTATTTACAAGTCAATACACTGCGTATGTGCTGAAGACTCGGATCGCTCAACTCCCAAAATAAGATTCTAGATGTTGGAATTAGAGTGCTCTAGGAGAAGAAGAATTCACAAACTAGTTAAACTGCAGTGAAATTAATGTTTAGACTAGTTTTAGAGCTGATGTGTTCGTTTGGTGTTCATTAAAATGAGCATTAACAGCCTTCCTCTTCCTGTAGACAGATTAGCAATTTCTCTTGACTACAGTAGCTCATCCAGTTTTCTTCAGTGGTCATGAGGCTTCATCAGCAACATCCTCAGCAGACAGACAGCAGAGCACCATGATTGCCCACAATGTGGCTGTAACCCTTGTGAACCCTTGGTCTTCTGGCCAGCAATCAGATTTTAATGAAGGGTCCCAGTCATCACTATCCACTTCACAGCTCTAATCTGCATGCCTAGCTTGTGCACATTATCTGAAGTTGGTGTGATCAACACTGAAGGCTGTTTCCATATGGTCTCAAGTGGAATGGATAACCCCCCCCGCTATCTGCTGCCTGCCTTACCTAGCGGCCTCCGAAGGAAGGAAAAATAAACAGAATATAATAAGTAAATCCCACATTAGTGTCAATCAACCCTTCGTCACCATTCTGAAGTCTGTCATTTTGTGCTGCTCATGGTCCACTAACCGTTTACAGGAGCCCAGAGGTATGGCAGGTGCAATCAGTTCCGGGTGCTTGTGGCCACATTTACAGATGAACATCTACTCTTCTTCTTCCTCTTACTCACACACTCACACACTCACACACACGTGAGTGGACCTTACTCACACAGCCCGGCCAGGCGCAGGACACAGGATATCCATTATCGACAGTTCAACTTGGCACCAGGCTGTCTGGCTTTCTCCTGCCCCTCATCTGGAAGTGTGCTGCCCTGCTGGAGGGCCTGTCCTACCCAAGCCGTCAGCCTGCCACTGCTGCTAGTGCACCCCTGACCAAGCCATGCCCCTGTCTGCCACTGGGGCAGGTACAGCTGTCGAAATTGCTGTCAGACTGGTGCAGTGATGCTTCACACAGAAGAAGTTCATTACTTGTTCTGCTAGTTTCCCCACATAGTTTGGCGCCTGCACCCCTTTGACATCCACACTGGCACCAGACGCAGATTGGCTCTCAGTCTCTGGCCCTTGCCTGCGCACGCTGGGGGCCACATTTCTTCTTTCTGGTTGATGACATGTTGAGTAAATTTTTATTTTTTTCCACATTTTTGATCTACCTGCTCCCTCTCCCGTGGGCACAGCCTCTTGGGAATAATTCCTTGCTCGTAGGCTCAGTTGTCGAATGCGTTTTGCTTTTGCGTTATTTTTTTTTTGAGAATGTGTTGATTTTATTATTAATTAAATAAAAAGGCAATCTTTTTTTTTTATCTGAAGGATTCTTAACATGGGCTACAAACGCAGGCAAACCCCAGGATTCCCTGGTCTCACCCTCACTTCTCTTCTGTTCTGGCTCGGTTTAGCACTCGTTTGGCCATCGCTGATGCAACACCAGGGCTTCAGCTGGGTCCTCTCTGTACTCTGACTGAAGAATGCTCTCCTTAGCTCACGTGTGAATACATGATTCTTCATCAATGTATCAGCAGTCGTTTGCTGTCAGAAAGCAAAGTTGAGGCTTTGGTTATTAAAGGTAGTTGCAGCCAATGGTGTATAAGTTCATTTAATTTCCATTGAATAGTGATGAACTGTCCTAAGATGATTCATTGTCATTGAGCAATAGAGAATCCGTGTCATTGAGCAATAAGGTAAGGATAGGTCTTTGGCTTTAAGGTTAAGTCTTATCTGAATGGAAATCTAGCTGGAGAAATCATTCCCAATGTTTTTCTTTGCCAAAGGTAAAGGGATGTGCAGAGCAGAGTTAGTGATTTTATTACTATGGCACAATAAAAAAGTGAAATTACAAAAAGAACCATAGAATATAATTTTTATTTCTGCCAACACAAACAATCAGAGCAGACACGCAGAATTACTTTACAAAACAGTAATAACCTCACTTGTCTGGATTCAGAAAACTTTCATTTTAAACATGGAAGTTCAGAACATGTCAACATCTGTTTATTCCATAAGTTTAAATGGAAAGGTGTTTCACTCTGCCATGTTCCTAGGTTCCCCGATGCTGCAATGCATTCATCAAGCATGGGGCATTTCAAAATGATCACCAGGACCCCAGCAGCTGGCTTCACTTACTATTTAAAGCTGATTATTTTGTGATTGTACGGGAATCACAAACTGAATCATGTAATGGAAGTGAAAAGACCTGCCTAGATAATGGCCTTTGAGTTGAAACGTGAAGCATGCTGGCTCCCTGCTTTCAGGGGAGCAGCGTGGGAGGGAGTTCGGCGGCAGAGCTGTGTCTGAGCTGAGCCCTGCTGTTGCAGGGGGGGCGGTGTCTGAGCAGGGATGGCGAAGAAGGATTGAGCAGTGGTGGGCTGGGGACCCAGGGGCTGCTGCTCACCTGAGTGTGCAAGTGGCTGTGCTGGCTTCTGTGGGTTTGTGTCCCATTACATCGGTGTGTGATTGGACTGGGATGTGTGGCTTTACTGAGGAGTGTCTGTGTGGTGAGTAGGGGTGCACTGTGTGTGTGTTTGTGATATTGTGGTGAGGTGTGGCAGAGGTGGAAATGACCAAATGAGATATTCAGACCACTGCAAAGGACAGAGGAGGGGGGTAAAATTAGTCAGAAAAACCCATGTTGGTCATATGCAATAGAGTCTGGTTTCTAAAAGATTTTGTAGACAGGTTTTAAAAAGAAGAATTACAGTTTTTAGAAATGTGAATTCCCGTGTCCATCAAACAAGTAGATGAGGTGTGTTTTTCTTTCATTGTTGTTTTTTTCTCCTGTTAGTGCTGTGCTAAACATGGCTAATCCTGAAGATCTGCACTGGTGTTGCTTTTGATTTCTCCTGACCTCACGTTTATTTGTTGGAATTGATTATCTGGTAAATTGAGCATCAATTTAATGGTTGTTTCTGAGCAATAAGCAGATGGTGCTTTAAGCCTTCTGGTTCTTTGTCATCTAGGGCCAGAATTTGCTGATTGGAAGAAACTTACTCACTCACTCAGAAAACAAGGCAGGTGCCAATTAACAACGTAGACAGTTGTTCTTTTGTGAAGAGCCCACTGGTTACCCTGTTCTAGGTGTTTTTCCTGTGGTCATCAGAGGTGCTTTCAGCAACAGGCCAAGCCTAACCTGAGGGACACGATGCCTTCTGATCATTGTTTCATTGTAGTTGAAATAATCATCAGCCTGTATACCTACTGATCACAGTAATGTTTCAACTTATTGTATCTTTGTCCTTATTTGAGCAATTGAGGCATTTGTGCCACAGGGCACTGTAAATTAGTTTTGAAGACAAAAATGAAAATGTTTGTCCTGTTACTTTAGCAAATGGCATCTGTAATTTGTTAGTTTCTAAGAGTGCAAGTGATTAAGGATACTAGCTTATCACAGTTGGAGGAGGCTCTTAAAGACCCGAAGCACTGAGACCCTCTCGGTTAAATTGATTTTTTATCTTCAGTCTTCCTTTTTTAGGGAACAACTGATTTAACCCTGACACCTGTTTCCTGTGAGAGCAGGGTCAATGACTATTTTTTGAAGGCTGGAGGGAGCTTTAACATCTGAATTCCTTTCTGTGTTCTGCACCTCACCATCTTCTTTCTGGGAGTTTCTGACAGGGCAGCTCCGTTTAGCCAAACATTGTGTGGTCTGCCCTCTCTACGCCATGGGTCTGAAGTTTCCGCCTCTGCCCCGGTTTGCATCTTCATCAGGAAGGCTGGGACACTGCTGGTGTGTGCTGGTGCTGTGCTCAGTTACAACTGCAGTGAGACACCTCTGGGAAAGTCTTTCATTTCAAGACGGTGCTACCAAAGCTTCTGGGAGTCACCAGCAACCTTTACTCTCACAGACTCACTCAAATGTCTTACAATTCCAAGCTGAAATGACTCGCTTTCCAGTGCCATGTGATTGTAATTGATTACACCACCCTCATGTGCTGTGCCCTGTGTGTCTGTCAGTTGTTCTGTATGCTTGTCTGTGTGGTGGGTTGGCAGTCTGTTGGTGTTTGGTGCGGTGAGCGTGTTGTTGGGGTTTTTTTTTTGGCTCCACTAATCCGCATGCTTCTCGCTGGTTCCTGTCCTAACAGGGGGTGTCATTTGATCAAGTCAATAATCTGCTGATTGAGCCTGCTCGAATTGAGGAGGAAGAGGTCTGTACCTACTCTCTTTCCCATTCGCTTTCCCTCAGTCTTGCTCTCTCTCACTCAACCTGTTCACTCACCTCTCTCACAAGAACACAGATCCACCATTAACCCAAGCCAATCGCCAGAAAAGCCAAGTTTGCAATGGTCAAAGCAGTGCAACCTGTCTGGAGGAAGAAACAAAAAGAGGAATCCAGTTTCAGTGCATTTTACATTACATCTTGTTTTTCCTATTAAGTCAGTCCTGTACACTCCAGGTATCTTATAAGTGCTTGAGCTTATCCCAGCTGTTAAAACTACAGTTTACTATAGTCTAACATGATTGGAGCCTGCAGTGTTCTGATAACATCTGTTGTAATTGCAACTGTCCAGCTATGATTATGGAACACAGGTTCCACCCAAATCTCCACAGAGGAAAATAATCAGTAGATCATGTAATTCCTCCAGGCGTTGAATCTCTGATTGTGGGGCTGGAGTTCCTATTGTTGCTCCTTTGCCAGTAGGTTCCACTGCACTCTTTCTTGTCCTCTCTCCTTCCTCTACCTCTCCATCCCCCTTTTCTTCGCTCAGGCTCTGTATGCTGTTCTGCTGGGGTCACTCAGTGTTGACCCTCAACACACAGTGCTGAGCACCAGTCATGTGACAGGGACTTGCAGCGCTGCCGCAGGAACTGAAAAGAGGCTGAGGCAGCAGAAAACTGGTTTATCTTTCAGATAAGAGAACAGCATCATTCTGAGGATCATAGGCTGTTGTATTTAGACTGTGGCAGGGAGAGGACTGGAAGAAACCTTCACTTAACCTTTGTGATTTGTACACTGAGCTATTTTGTCTCCCTTGTTTTCTCTAATTGCTCTAAATTAAACTGTAGCCTCTTCAAGTGAAGTTAAAACTTCTTGGATGGACATGGAGACCATCCTAAAGTGACAGAAGGTTCAGAGCATAGAGGAAGTAAAGATTATAGAGAAGTTTATAGCTCCAATTTAGTTTTATTATGCTCTTCTGAGTATTTGCTTTTGCTGATAATACAGTATTACGTTTGATGCAGTAAAGGTCTGGCCTTTTTAGTGCTAGAATATTTTGTTGCCAGATACTGTACCTTTATTTGAAATATATTTGCCTCACTTATGCTGAAAAATGTATTTCAATTCCAATAAATACAATTGGACAATTTTCTGATGGAACTGCACAGTATTCGGTTTCTAGTTTTTGCTTTTGCTAAACTGTTTGCATTCAATCTGTTCTTTCACGTTTTCTGATCCCAAAAACAGATATATCTGTAAGCCGCCTGCAATACATTCCTGTATTCCCTGGACACTGGACACAAGCCAAGAACTGAAATTTGTCTCATATGTGACAATTTGTATTACAGTTTGTGGTTTCTAGCAAACTTAGTTAAAAAGGTTTCTTTAGTCTTAACAGTGGTTTCTGGCAGTAGTCCTGCCTTTAAATAATTTGGTGTCCAGCATTACTCTTACAGTAGTAAACATTATTACTAGTATTAATGCCAGAACTGTGTATACTGTTAAACTGTGTTATGGAAAAGCATGGAGCTCTAAGTAACAGGCAAAAGAGGCCATTGCAATGCAGATTTAATGGAGATGAGTTCCCAATGATCCTAAGGATTGATATATGAAGGCAACATAGGGTTACCGGTAACAGCTCCAATACTATACTCCACAAATCATAACTGATTTAAAGCATTTTATAGAGAAAAACAGTAACAGTAGTTATTAGAAGCATTCACACTTACTCATTGCCTGGATATTTTTGGCACTATTATTGCACTCTTGTTTGAGACAAGTTGGATCCAAAGCGTTTTAAAAGTGCAAATAATATGGAAACAAAAAATCCAAACAAAGAACATTGGCAACTTTATACTCTAATTTTTTTGTGCTAAACATGCAAATATTAATCAATACATTTTCTCTCGGTTATTTCAACTTTAATATGGATTTTCTTTATTTTGCTTGCATTTTAAACATTTTGTAGATTTTTTCATTATTTGAACCAAATAATGCACCAAAACAATATGCCTTTAATGAGCAGCTTGAGATGGTGAAGAGGTGTTTTAGTTGTGTCTGCAGCACAGTAATGTGTTCAGATGTTCAGAGCGTGTCCTGTTAGACACAGGAGCCTAACTTCACTTGTTACCACTATTAACTCTGCTTAGTGTGATATGTCAGGAACCCGTGTTTAAAGATGTTAACTCATGCACTGCTGAAACATACATGGGAATCCTTATGTGTCTATTCTTTAAATAACATTTTATAGAGAGAAGAGTTTGAACTGGCTACTGCTTGTGCAAGGGCTAGGAGGCTGGGTGGTAACCATTGTTAGGATATTTATATAGTATTCTTTGTTCATCATTTCCAACTAATTCACCACGTTCATAGGCATATAAAGTTTTTTTTTTAGCCAAAGTAGAAACATCCTGAAGAACAGAACTTGCAAACCCTGGAGAAGATTGACAGTTTTAAAAAAAATGTCAGTTGAGTGGTTTTTATATCTCAGCTCAGAGCCCCAAACCCTGTGACCACACACGGGAGAATGAGGAAGTATAGGCAGAGTGTTCTGACCTGTCCACCATTGAGCCTCTTGTCTTTTAACACATCCAACAGAGTCCCCTGCTGGAAGCACAACTCCAACTGGAGGAGAGATGCATGCCTGCAAGAGCTAGGCATCTCTGAGAGAGACTGCTCAAGTAATCCCACCCTGCACAGCTGTTTGATTGCCATCGCTTTAGGCATCCCAGTCCCAGTCAGTCCCAGGTGACATGACTCAGGCTCAAACGTGCGATCAGGCAAGCCACTTGGGAGGCTCTGGGATGCCTTTGTCCAAAGCACAGTCACCAGAAATGGAAGAAAATTGAGGGGCCCACCATTGGAGAAACAAGTTCTAGCCCAGTTTGCATGTGTTGAGAGAATTCCCATGTCACGCTGCTGATGCTCACTCACAACCCGTGGAAGGGCACGGATTATTACACGGGGCCACAGGGCTGTAAAGAAAAGGCTTTTTAAAGTTAATGAACGTCAGTCTCTAATATGTGGTAGATGTGATTGTCCTTTGTTACCTTTTATCCAGTGTGGAAGAAAGAGGTGTCTTATATATGTTCTCTGTGTAGATAACATCTTGTCTCTGAGAACAGGTTTCCTGTGACACCCATCACAGAACACCCCTCTGGTAATTTAAGGAAGGTCCACACAGGAATTGGACAGGTTTTTGCTTATAAAGCAGATTATTCAGTTTTAAGTCTTAATAGAAAAATGTGTACTTTTAGACTGAGTTGATGCCTAAACTTATATTAATTTCTTAATTCAGATGAATAAAATAATTGATGCTGCTTATGTGAGAGGCCTATCTACTGTTCATGCTCATTTTGCTATTTCTTCTTGATCTGATCTAGGGTTCTATCAAGCTGCTTTGACAAAAGTAAATAAGCATCTCCAGTATAGGCAGTGTAACTCACTAAATACAAATCAAAAGAAGTGCTACGAAGCAATTGCATCTTTTCTGCTTTCTTTATTTGTATCCCCCCTCTCCTGACACTGCTCTGTTTTTTAGGAGTTTCTTTCTAGTGTCATGCATACTAGGGACAATCTCTTGTTTAGGACTTCTGAAAGGGATCCACTCAGTAAAGCAGGTTGGATAGGGGGAGTTACTTTCTTCATTCATTCAGATTTTATTTCATTTTGCACACATTTGCACACACCCTGTTTATATTTGACTTTGGTTTTTTTGGTTTTTGACTTTGGTCAAAAGTTCAGGTACAAAAGTTCAGACTTTGGTTTTTCACTGACCTAATTGATAAGAGATCAGGGCACGGGTTCAATTCTGCAGCAGCAGCAGAGGAGTATGGCCTCTTGTAGTAGTTACACAGTGTCCTGAGGAAATGACAGGTTAAGCCTATTCAGGCAATCCTAATAATAGCCTGGAGTCACATGTCTGCAGCAGTAAAAGCTCCTAGCAGTAGGCTTTCTTGATAAATAAGCCATTTGACAGAGGAATCTTGTCACTTATATATTTAATTCCCAACTGGCTATGCAGTGTATTTTTGACGGCGTGTTTTGAAAACAAAGCAGGTACTGATGATTTGTGTATACAGACAGCTGAATTTGTACATAAATTAATTAAGGATCTTACCGTGACCTGTTTTCTTTCTCAATATGAAACGAAGCAGTATAGCAGTTTATTCAGACTATATTCCTAGGAAAGGTGGTGCATGTCCCTTGTAAAGCTTTTAATTTGAGTCTGTAGGATTAAAGTCACATCTGGAGAGATCTTCTGCAAAGTGAACGGAATAGAATATTTGATTACTGTGACTGAACCAGGGGATAAAGAATTCAGCGAGCAGTTGAGCATCAAGAATTATGTCCTAAGTGCGATTATGTGCCATGTCACCCTGTGAAAGACATATATGTTCCTGATTTTGGAAGAGTAGATTAATTCTGGGAACAATCAACTTATTTCAGTCTGAGCTTTTACTCAATAGAAGAACAGTGTAAAGCCTGTGTAGTGATGTGTACCTCAGCTAGTTAGAGACCTGAGCGTCCCCAGCTTTTACTCTCCAACTAATACTAATCTTTCCCACTCATTTCCTTTCATGTCCATTATGCATGACCTGCTGGCAGTAACATTCAATCCAACTCAATCTGATTGTTTGGTAAAACAGGGGTGCAGTTAATTGGATTATTTTATTATATATCATAAGACAAACACAGCCCCAGTACTAGGTGTGTATTTTCCTTGTTATATATACAATATATATTTAAATTCTGCAAATCTGTGTTTTGTTGTTATTGTTGTTATTCTAGGTTCTCTTTTCATCTCCTCAAAATTGAAGGTGGTAAAACATCGCAAGCTGTTTGGCATCAGGGAAAAATGCTTTCTTGGCTGCAGGTCAATCAATATCGCAGGGTGTACATTAATTAAAAGACATTTTGAAAAATATACTAGGAGATGCAGCTTAGAGTTTTCTAAGTTGTTTTTTTATCAGAGCAGCATCAGAGGAGAATTGAAAGATGTGTTGCCAGTGGTCATTGTCCACATTGCCCCAGATTTGCTTTTCGCTCTGCATAGTGCTGATTGAATTGAGAACCTAGCCATGTAGCTGTCTGGCCATTACGGGCACAGCTTCGTTTTCTCTGGTGAATCTTTTAAGGAAGTTTCACAGACTAAACGCAACACAGCTTCTATAGTTTACTGTATATCAGTTAAACGCAGCAGCAGTTAGTACCAGAATGGATGTATTTTCATCATGTTGCTCATGAGTACTGTTTACTTCAGCTCTTATTTCTCGGCTTTGTTTTGTGGAGTTTTAGTGATGGGGATCTGTGATACTTCTTTCAGTTAAACCACCTCATTCTAACCCTGCGTCTTGTCCTTTTCCTGCTGCGTTTAACCCCTGTGTTCATCTTCCAGCTGACGCTAACTATCCTGCGGCAGACTGGGGGCTTGGGAATCAGTATTGCAGGGGGGAAAGGCTCCACACCCTACAAGGGGGATGACGAGGTAAGGGGAGCTCAGGGGGCTAGTGTCTACACCTTCTGGTCTAGCAGAGTACTTTTGTACTTTCGCCCAACGTGAGAGAGAATCCCATGGCCTTGTACTACTGATTGAGAGTCATGACTGCTGTGCTTTGAACACAGGTCATTCAGTATTTAAGCCAACAGTAAATTTTAAGAGTAAGACATTGAAGCATTAGCTGCTTTTGACATAATACAAACAGAATGTACAGGGGATGAAGATAACTGTGCAGGGTTATTTCATGCAAACGTCAGCTGCACTCAGGTTTATTTTCATTTTTTCCTGACTTGGCTCTGACTGAGCCTCTCTAACTGGCTGGAGTGCTCTTTCACTGCCAGGTGTGGTGGAGGCAGGAATCATCACATGGACAGGTTCCTAGTTTCAAGAACGTCTTTTTACAGGGTCCTCTCAGGGCTTTACACTTCCTAGTGCGCATTTCTTTTATTCACAGCTTCAAAACTTGACAGATTTTGTTCCCTTTCAGTTTCCTCTTGTGTTCTTGAACGCAAAGAAGCCAAACTATCGTGGCCTGGCAGTTTTTGGGCTAAGTTACAACAGCAGCAGTTCTTAGTCTGTCTCCTGTCGCAAGTATTTTTTGAATCACCCTGATGTTCAAAGCCCTCCAAAGGAGACCAATACACTGCACATGCACAAAAGTGTTTTGTTTAGCTGACAGTTGTTCACTACGCGACACCGGACCTGTGGGTTATTTAGAAAAGACTGACTCTACTGTTAACTGGTCATAATATGTCCAACTCCTGAACAGGTGAAACCCTAGTACTTTTCTCTTCCTGCCACTGGACTGATTTAGCAAGTTTATTTAATTCTGACAGCTCTGATACTAAAGGTGTACCTAATAGGCCACTATATGACACCAACAACCGCCATGTATCCATGTTAATCTACCATGTTCCAGTACACAGAGCACAGAGCTAAGTGCATTGCTGTCTGGGCAGAAGTTTCAATAAGCTAGAATGTAATGACTCCAAAATCCCTGAAACCTTTGACTCCAGAGGATTGGTAATTTAAGGATGTTGATTCAACTGGTTTTCATTAGCCTTGCCGTTAGGACTGTGACTTGTCATGCTATCCCAGTGAGCTCATTGTATGACAGTCTTTACTCTAAATTGGCAGTCTCAGTTTTTTCTAAGATTGGTATCTATGATGTCTGACCAAACAATTGCCACAAAGTGTTTATTCCTGTGACTAATGGAAAATAAGCGTCAGTACTATTGTTATAGTTGACGATTCTCCCACAGGGTGTAGCATTTCTGAGTTCACATTGTGATTAGAGAGAAACAGAAAATAAACTGTCTGTGCTAAGAGAAAGTGGAAACGCCTGCCTCATTTTACTTTTACAAACTTAAGAAATGCAGTCATTTTAATTTTTCAGCTATTCCCCCATGACTGCTGGATTTATAAAACATTTCAGTTAATCACACGTCTGCCAGCCTTTTGTATAGTGTCCTCTTATAGAGTGGTCAGACTATATCCCCCGTTTGGTATCACAGAGCCCAGTGAAAACTCCCAGGTGTACCTACTCATTCTGCCTGTTCTGGCTCATAAATCCATTAATGGTGCGTGAAAAGAAATGAGCTTTACTAAACACAGGCAGATCCCAATAAACAAAAATGACCAGCACTCAGCTGCTGTGAGTCCTCTCTGTGACCTCACTTGTTTCCAGCCCTATCACGCAAGCAGGTAGAACATTGCCGTGCCCTCAGGGTTTGTAGAGCTGTTCTTAGACCAGAGACATGCCGAATCAGGAGCTTCCTGATTTATTTTTATATTTGAACATCTAGGTAAGGTCAGGATTGAGTCATAGTGGAAGTAGTGACTGTCTTTAACAGATCACTGCCTGTCTTAAGGAAATCGGGTAGCAAAGAAATTGCTGAAAGAAATTACACTTCTAAGTTATCTTCAGTAACACCTACTATCTAGATGCTCAGAAATCAGATAAGAGATAGGTTAAGAAAAAAAACCGGACAGGGGTGGGATTTAGGTGTTTTATTTCAGCATTTTAGTACTGGGGCATCTGGTGTGGACAGCGTACCAGAGGTCCCCCTGGGGCTATATCGAAGGCGGCTGTGGTCACTGGACCAACGCCTGTGTATTTTTCTCTCCAGGGCATCTTCATCTCCAGGGTGTCTGAAGAGGGGCCTGCTGCTCGCGCTGGAGTCAAAGTGGGAGACAAGCTGTTAGAGGTACACACCTGCTTTAACCTAGCTTGTTTAGGCACTGTGGCCTAGAGGCTGGTGGAAGTGTGGCTGTATTTGTCTATATTTCTGCTTTTATCCTTCATTGAACACTTAGGAATCGGAATAGGACTTATCTCCAGTAAGATATGCCTGTGCAAATGCTTTTATTAATTTCAATATTAACTCTCAAGGTCTGTCCTCTAAATCGAAAAGCCATGTAGACATTCATTACATGCTTCAATAAATAGATTGAGAATAGAAAGTAATGGTCAATTTCCTACCAGTGTACCATTCTATCACAGAGTTTTTTTTTACAGACACAAGGAATTGTCTATTCCCTTACTGTATCCTATCTCCTTTCTCGGTCTTACATGTTTTCCGTGCCTGTCTGTTTCTCTCCGTTGTACTGCATGTACATCTCTCTACTCCTGCGCATCTCTGTACGCGTCACTCTGTCTGAGCCCGCGTCTCTGTACGTGTCACTCTGCGTGTCTCTGTCCACCCCAGGTGAATGGTGTTGACCTGCATGATGCCGAGCACCACAAGGCAGTGGAGGCATTGCGCAGCTCTGGCTCGGCGGTGTCCATGACGGTTCTTCGTGAGCGGATGGTGGAGCCCGAGAACGCCATCACCACGACGCCGCTGCGGCCCGAGGATGACTACTTCCCCCGCGAGCGCCGCAGTGGCCTGCCCTTCACCCCCAACAGCCCTGGCGCCTCAGGCCCCTGCCAGCGCCTCTCCACCTGCCTGGTGCGCAATGACAAGGGGCTGGGCTTCAGCATTGCCGGGGGCAAGGGCTCCACACCCTACCACACCGGAGACACGGTGAGTCTGACTGCAGGGTGTCTGTTCATGTTGTCCAACTTGAGATGAATATGAATATGCTAAACTAACAGAAATACTAACAGATTATATTACAGTACGCTGTTATTGAAAGATGACCCCTCAACTGCTCCTCTAGCTCAGATCTGGAGGAGCACAATTGGACTGTTACAATAGTTTGAGACAAAGATAATGGTATGGACAATGGTAGACTAATACTTTGTGATCAGGACAGGTTTGGGATGCCTTCTGAGTGGCTCAACGGTTACTGGAGTTCCTACGAGTGCACGCCCAGACAATGGCGCGCAATTGGATGAGCATGACTGAGTGGAATTAGTCGGCTAGGGCTGTCTTGACTCCCAGAGACACAGCAACCCCTGTTGCTTCCTTGGGCGCTGGCAAGCTTAGAGTGCTGTTGTTGAGGGACAGACCTCTCCTCTAATCAGCACGTTACAGGACTGTGGTGCTTGTGATTTGTTAAAAGACATTGACTCAGAGATGGGCTACTTTCTCATTATTAGATTTTCATAGCTGTAAGCTGAGATGTCAAAACCGTAAGGGTCAATTCCAAATTCCAAAAAACACTGGTGATTCTTGAAAGAAAAAAATCACAGGCTTATTGACTGCCAGCAAAATGACACTTTCAGTTCTGTGACAGGATGGAAGGTAGAGAGTGTTACTGCTGCAGTCAGCTTTGCACTCTGTCTTGTGCTGCTCACCTCCTTTTTCAGAGCCCAGGCCCCGTTTGGAAGGTTGCTATGGGGACAGGATTAAGTATAGAAGCTTGTGATACCTGATCGGTCCCACAATTTTGGGTGGTGTTGAGCTGAGGGGTATTTTTGAGCCACATAAACAGCACGCTGACCACATGTTAGCTGGAATACCGATCTCTCTCTCTCTCTCTCTCTCACTCACACACACACACACAGAGCTCTGGGGTTCAGTCAAGCGAGACACAGAGAACATTGAGTTTCTGCCTGTACTGTAAGTTCTTAGTTGTGTAGCTCTTCGACATGGAATTGATACAGTAATTTTGTTTACTTTTTCATTTAGGAATGCCTCTTATGCCTCTGTCACATAATTAAGAATGGTGTGTTTGTAAATAGCTGTATGTTGTTAAGATTAAAGGTTACCTTAACTGCAGCAAAACTGGTAAAGTGTGGGCACTCTTTTGTTTGTGTTTTGTTAATGTGCTATAGTTGGAACTCTCTAAAATATTGTTTGGCAGGGATAAGCTTGGAAACATGGAAGTTTGGTGGTCTTTGCTTGTGTTTCGTTCTGAACTGCAGGGCCGGTCAGGGATTTAGCAGAGCTGCATTCCTTCAGATGAGACTTATTGGGGTGATAGCGGTGTCATCTCATATGATCTGGAGAAGTGCTATGTCAGTGGGACTGGCTTGCTCTGGGAGTGCTCCCAGAGAAAGGATAGCCTTTCATTATTAATGTAAACATAATTATTTCTTAAATTAATAGCAATAATTTAGAAAAAGGAACAGAGCTTTATGTGTGCTTTTTAATGGTTTTGGAGTGTTTCTTATCTTTTGTGCACTACATTACTGAACTACGTGTGAATGGTTTATTTGTGGACCTAGAGCATGGGTACGTTTTTAACTCAACTGGAAAACAGGGCTGTGTAGTTGCTTTTTTTGTACAAACTGCACAGTCTTCAAGGGCAGTTCTATCAGCTGGGTCATCTGGTTTTGTGATATCTTTCCACTGTGAGGGCACATTGGTTTGTTATCAATACTGTCCTTCAATGATGGGATCACATGTTGCTGCACAAGCCTGTTATAGCAGTACATACCCCTATGTCAACACTTATCAATTGAGTTGTTTAAATTTATGAATGTTAAAGTAGTCTGTTCCCCGACCCCAGCTGGGCTGTTTTCTTAAACACTTAATGGAGTCTGAATTCGGATCTGAATTCCCATGTGTACAAAATCTGAGAGATTTCTTACTGATTTGTGGAATTCTTAAAAAGTTATTTTTACGAAAGTGCTCTTTTATGCTCTCCATTCTTCCCTGTATTTTTGAGGTTGGTCTGTAAAAAAGTTAGCACCACCCAAAAATATCATTTTTAAGACCTTGCATACATGCATGTCGGTATTGGTGAGAGACTTGAGCTAGTTGCCTGTAGCCTATCGATTTGAGAACCTGGTTCCAGTCCCAGGAAAGCTACAGCCAAGACTTCTCTTGCTGTCTGTTTCAATTCAACGTTGTACCCTAAGTACAGCATAATGGGAATATGATTGCTAACCAATACAGGAGGTCCTAATCAAGGTTTTGCAGAACGTAAGTCATCAATGTGTAAAAGCAAGTCATTTATTCTGTTAAGAAATTCAGCGATTGTTTGGATTGAAATCATAAACACCTCCTGCCAGCACCAGAGGTGCCCACTTCTAACTTAATTGAACAAATTACTGGCTGAACTGAACACACCCTTACATTTTTAAACATTTTTAACTAATGCCTCTTCAGAACCTTTATAACAGTTGTATATGTTATTTCTCTAAGAACCTGGTCAGGCTGTTTGCATTTGGGTTTGAATAACTGGTCTCCATGCTCTTTGATCGCAGGGAATCTTCATCTCTAGAATTGCGGAGGGAGGCGCTGCCCATCGAGACGGCACGCTGCATGTTGGCGACAGGGTGATCACTGTAAGTGCCACTGCTTTATTTCTTTCTGAAGATTTGTGTCTCCTATGTAATGAAGTGCTGTGCGTTCCTTCTTGCTCTCCCTTGACAGTGCCAGCTTTTTCAGAGGAGTCGTGAGCAACAGATCTAAGAGACTCTCCCATTTCTCTTTGCCTGCAGTCATCCCCTCACAATCATTCACCCAAGCACACTTTTCACTGTGAGAGTTTCCCTTCTATCTCCCTTTTTTTATTTAGAATCTCTCGTCATTTTATTATTCCCACCTAATTTGAAAGAGTCACTTGAGTGATTTTTTGGGCTCGCAGCTACGAACCCTGTAACCGCACACAGGGAAGAGTGAGAAAATGCGGGCGAACCACTCCAGCCCACCCACCTTCGAGCCTCTCATCTTTAGCACAGACTACACAGCTTTCTTTCATGGGAGGATCAATGCTGATTGGAGGAGAGGCACTCCCCCCCTCACCAGCAGCACCGCAGGCCTGCAAGCGCCCGGGTGGCAGCAGGAGAGCAAAGAGTATCTTTGAAAGTCCAATAATCCCATTTTACCCTAAATATCTAAAGTAAAGTATCTAAATACTGCCTAGGGAGACCCAGTCACAGCTGGCTGGCTATGTGACCCAACTCGAACATGCGATCACGGAGCTTAACATGCGCTCAGGCGGCTGCCTTAACCTGTTCAGCTACATAGCTATTATTTTTATTTTTCTCTCTCTTTACATATTTGGAATCTAGTTAATTCTGAAATTGATTACTACTCAATTTGTAATCAATTCATGATGCATTGGTTAACTGTAACCCTGCACTCCTGTGCTCACCTGTCAGAGTTGTTCAGAGCTTTTGATACAAGCTCCCCAGTGCCTTTATTAAAGTTAGCGCTCATCTCTTATTGACATCGCTGTAAGCTTGCAAGAGCCTGGCAGGTCCCAGGAGTCTGCTAACACTCACTCATGCCTGTTATTTTACTTCACCTCTTTTCTCATAATGTCATGAATTTCACACTTTTACCTAATGGTCTGGATCAGGCAAACTCGGGGTCTTTTTGATCCCATCTCTTAATTAATTAATACCCACTCTTAATTACTCTTAATTAATTTGATTTGACCCATCAGCTCAGTTTAACTCTTTTCTCTTTCTTGAGCCACTCACACATGGCATCACTTTACAGGTCATTTTTTGTCCAGTATACCATCGAGTACTCCCTGGCTGCTTTCTTCCTTTCCCTCTTAATGTTCCCTTCTCTCTTCTGTCTCACTCCCTGCTCCAACTCCATATGCCTGTCTTATTCCTGTCAATTAAAATGTATATACAGCTTATATATATATATGAAAGGATTATGAACAGGTGACCAATCTAAATGCAGAAAAGTTGAGATGATATGTAAAGATGAAGTGTAGATCTAAAAAAAATCCTTATGCTAGCAGCTGACCATCTTCTACTCTGGTTATTGTGCTGATATGCAGTGGCTTGTGGCTGTGTGCTGCTCACAGATTAACCCTCCTGTATGTTCTGTGTACCTGTTTCATTTCCTCGCACTGTGGAGACTCTGTTTTAAAGATGGTGATCTGTTCTTTTCGGAAGGTGGTGGTTGCTCCAGTCTTGCATGATCGGTTGCTGTATGTTCTCTCTCTCATGTCCTTTATCTGCACTGTGTGTGGTTGAGTAACATGGCAGTCTGACTGTGGCAACTCTGTTAATATTACTCCTGCTGATATTGAACAGTATATGCCAAACAACACTGCATCACCGGAGCCCTGGAGAGCCTCTCACTTTTTTGTTTGTTCAAAGTCTGCAAGGATTTCATATTAAATTTAATTTTAAATGTTTAATTTTCTTTTTTTAGCTCTTTTCTGCTATCATTATGATTTATATTTTTAAGTTTCCTTGGAAAACAACAGCAGCTTTGCTGTGGTGGTTCTAGGAAAGGAGAAATCATCTTGTCGATATGAGCTCCTGTTTGGTGTGATGGGAACAGCCCCCTTTGTGGCTGGACAGACCAGATCTGTTCTAGCACACCAGCTCCTCTGTATTCTGGATGCTAATCCATTGTCCCTCTCTCAACCCTCCATCCCCAAGGAGGGGTCTGGGGTTACTTTGGTGATTCCTCTGCCTCGGCCCTTCTTCCACTCTCTCCCCCCTCTGATTCTTTTTTCTTTGGCCCTCTCTGCCTCACCCTCACTGTTTGGAATTTGCATGGCACAACTTTAATCCAGCCTCGTCTGTCTCCTTGCCTGCTGGTGGATGGTGGTGGTTTGGGGGAAGGGTGGGCAGCGCCTGAGAGCTAGCTGTCATGGTAACAGCATGCATTACCATAGCAGATGCAACCTCAGCATATCAGCCAATGGTAAGAGCTGATACTGTGTGGTCAGTGCTGGCTTCTGTTTGTCTATATAAATTGACCTATGGAGCTCCAGTCTGTCAAACCTGTGTACAGGAGTGGTCTCCATGGGAAAGGTAAAAGCTTTCCCAACTGATAAACATTGTGATTAGTGAGTTATCCATTTATAATGTCATTATTGTGAAATTGTAAAGGCTTAAATTAAACTAAAATTATTTTAAAACTATTATTATAAATTAAAATGCACGAGGACAGTGGTTGTAATCTGTAACTTTCATATTATCTCATGCTAATGTGCTTCGTGAAGTAATATGGCTTTCCTGAACTTAACATTGTATAGTTTCCCCTAGGAAACCAGACAAAGTATAATTGTAATTGTAATGCTTCTTAATGAAAATTATAATCATGAATAAGAAAACTTATTTTCCAAGAACACTCTTCTGCAGGGCTCAGTGTTCATTGTAAATCAAACACAGGTTAGCAGATTCACATATTAGTCAGTATAAAACCCTAATAGACATCTCTTCTCTGTCAGATGTTTCAGTCTCGGGGAGAAATGCCCCTTTTTGTAGAATTTCAGCACTGACAAATAATAAAAGATAAAGATTCCCCTGAGTAGGACCTCATGGGTAGATGATCCTTGTGTAACAAGAAATAAACATGTTAGGTGCAAAAGTATAAATGTAAAATATAGGTCCTAGTTTTCAGAATGTTTTGTGTTCTGTGGGTTTTCTGATGATGTACTGTAGGGGGCAGCAGCTATCTGTCTGGGTTTGTGCAGTGTTTTGACATGAGGGGAGCAGCTGCCTCTGCAGCAGTCAGACATGGACTTCTCAACTCCACTGTGGGACAGACAGGTCTTCTAGAACAGTCAGAGGAGCACAGGCATGTGCAGTAGTCTGCATGCATAGACACAGGACTAGGCTTGATGGCGTCCTTTGGAACTGGTGTCTCTAGGATGTGGACAGGCAGATCTGAGGCAAATAAATACACACAAGAATAAACACGTGGAAGTCCTCTTAGCTTTCACTAACACAGAGAGTAGCAGAGCAGGAAGCCAAATGGAACACAGTCATATACCATTACAAAGCAGGAACTCTGTAGCACTTAGTATTTAATTTCTGTAACTGTCCCTTTGTGATTTAACATAAATGATTTTTAATTTTCTGAACATTCTTGCATAACAAAGAAGTGGTTAGGGCAAAAAATGAATTGTAGTGGAATATGCTAAGGCTGTCAATGCTGAGATAACTAATCACAGGTGTGTATTCATAGCGCACTAGAATATTTTGAATATATGACAGCCCTCATCAAATTGTACACACAAGAAGATAGCAACTGAAGTAGAGGCAGGCTATGTTTACAAAGAGAGGGTGTTATGTTAACAGTTTCTGTATTCTGCTGATCACAGCGTTTTGTTTGAAAAAGCCTTGCTGAGCTGAGCATTGGCACTGGCAGAACAGCCTGGAGATCAGAGCTGAGTTTTCTTAGAGTGACAGTGAGCAAAGCCCCAATAAAAGCTTTGCACCCAACCAAAAATATCAAGGAGACCAAGTGCCAGGTTAGACATTAACAAGACACAAGAGAGATCTTTATGAGCATCAGTGCAGCTGACTCTTCAGCTTTTGTATCTTAAAGCTGAGTTGAATGCATAGTCCTCCTGACACCTCCTGGTTTGTATTTCCTTGTGCTTAGATCTAAGGCACTGTCGTGTTTTACCCTCAAGGCTACTGGCTTTCCCACAAGCACAGAAATACATTTTATTTTGTAATGTTATATAGGCATCTATCACTGTGTCACACTGCTAAGTCACACATCACATCTGCCTTGTCCTCTTGCTATTCTGCTGTAGCAAAAGAAGCCTATGTCTGAGCTGGAAAGGGACGGTTTAATCTCCCTGCTTGCATTTGTGCATTGAAGATCAACCTTGAAGAGTGACTTGATCTTTTTCTTATTGTTAACAAGTGCAAGTATAACTCTGTTCTAGTGATTCCCAATAGAACACAATTGCTGTTTCTATATACTGCCTTGCAGAATGTGCAGCTTAATATAAATTTTAGAGAGCCAACTTCAGAAAACTGTCTGGTAAAGGTCTAGGAGGCTCAGAGACCTTGCAGTACCTATGCGAACTACACTTCCCATAAACCCGCTGGGTGACTTCCTGTAGTGTTTCTACGTCGCAGGTCGCCAAGATGCCTGTCAGTTCCGGGTCAGCATCTAAGTAGGTTCCTCAGTAATCACACTTGTCCCTGCATAATTATTTCTTCCTATTATTTGTTTCCCTGTTTGTCTGTCTTGGCTGAAGGCTTTTCTTCTTTGAACTTGAGCTCTTACTAACACTGTGACAGTCTGAATGTCTTGCTCTAAGTTTACCTAGCTGTGCACCAGGGTCACATTTTGCCTGCTGTTTTGCTAGAGAGAATTTGAATTTCCCAAGTTTGCATTTCCTCCAAGTATTGACGACTTGTCTGAATGTCTATATATCTATTTGTATACTCACAAACATGGAAACCTTTTTTATTCATATTTATCTAGTAGGGAAATCTAAGCTATTACTTGGTTATTTAGTAAAAGGTAAAGGGTTGAAAAAACATTGTCACAGAAGGAGATGTCAGAAAAAGATAATGGAACTGTGAAAAACGTTCTTCACAAAAAACATCATGCTACATGATAAAAATATCTCAATTTGCTTTTTTGGGCAAAAAATATCTCAGTTTGCTTTTTTGGGCAAAAAAGATCTCAGTTTGCTTTTTTGAGTTTGCAGATAAAAGTGATTTTTTCTTTTTCTCTAAATCCATCTCACACTGTTAATGCTGTAAGGGCTTGTGTGAATATTGTGAATATGGGTTAAGGGTTTTGTGAGGTGTGACAGCAGTTCAGGAGGTTTGACACAGACAGACCCCAGACTCTCACACCAACCCTGCTGTTGTATCCTATAACCAGCCATATAAATGGCCGTATAGTGGAATTGCTATAGGAGCCAAATGAATTCTTATAAAGAAAAAGAGAGCCTTTTTATGGTAAATACAGTCATTTATTTTGAGAGACCATTGTATACCAAATTCTCTTAGTTAATATATATACTAAAGGAGCTCATATATATGGGTCTGTAGGTGCTTTCTCTCATATCCATTTTTTTGTGTTGTAATTCCAGTTCAGAATTATATTACAGCAATGCTTGGCTTTGGACTGCATTGAGCCTCATCTTACCAGGAAGTGGCAGCACTGACCTCACTAAGTTAGAAATACTTGTATGTATATAAACAAGACAAGATGTTGTGAAATTAACACAGCTCTGTCATTTTAACATCACTTTCAGATAGTGCCACTAACATCCCTCTGTCAGTAATTAAAACATTAATTGGGTTCTTAATAGAAATATAAGAGGGCCACCATACAGCAAAAGAAAACCCAACTTTCAGTTTCTGTCCTAATGAAAGGCAGACTCTCTGATGAGCTGGATTCCATATTATGAACAGGAGATGACGCTTCTGTTCATGATGCCTAATCCAGCTCATTTTGCAGACAAACGCTGGCTGTGTCAGAACCCCTGGTTGAGGGTTTTGTGCATAAACTGGAGCAGCTCTTGGGCAGTTTCTGGGAGAGGCCCCCTTCCACAGTGACAGAGGAACGTGGGTGGTCGGCAGGCATGGTGTGTCTGACAGCTGGCTTTGCGGGTTGTTTTAGATCAATGGTGTAGACATGACAGAGGCCAGGCATGATCAGGCAGTAACGCTCCTTACCGGCACCTCCCCCACCATCACCCTGCTGGTGGAGCGCGATGTGGGGGACCCTGCGGCAGACAGCGCCGGCCTGGGGGGCTCCCCGGCGCTGGCCCGCGCCCGGCCTCATTCCCCCCCACCCCCTGAGCCCTGCGACACCCCTGACCAGGAGGACATAAGCGAGGACAGGGCCTATCCACAGGACAACCACCTAAGCCGCCAGTTGGAAGACGAATACCCCATAGAGGTGAGAGAGGCCTGGGTTGTGACTGAGGCTGAGTGTGTTTGTGGGGTTGAGTGTGTTACTTCAGGGAAGTGAGCAGAGAGGGGGTGTGGGCTGTTGAAGTGTGTTCTGAGTTGTTTATTTGTGTATCTGAGGAAACAAGGGTCTGAGGAAGTTGTGGAGTGTCTGAACTGCTGTATGTTTGTGCTTCTTAGGAAGGATGCTATGGAAGTGAGCAGTTGTTGTAATGGTGGTTAATGATGTGCTAGAAGTATTGAGTAGACATGGGTAATATAAGTAACTCAAACAGGGCTGCAGCCAGCTCCTGAAGCTCTGGAGGTTTGATAAAGGAAATTGGAGGTAATGAAAAGTGGGTATGTGCCAAATTCGGCCCAGTCTGGCAAGTTAACATCCACATCCTGTCCTGACAGGAAGTAACGCTAATGAAGGCTGGTGGTCCCCTGGGGCTAAGTATTGTGGGAGGCAGTGACCATGCCAGCCACCCGTTTGGCATCAGTGAGCCAGGGGTCTTCATCTCCAAGGTAAGGCTGACTGGGAAACAAATAGTATCTGGGCAAACCTGGGTCTCAGTCTGCATTCTCTCAACCTTAATTACAAGATCTTTTTCTGCTTAGTGAATTAATTTAAGTATTTGGTTAAGCTTTACTCATAAAATGGGGTTAGACACACTTGCATCTCCACATAGGAGTAAGGAGTATGAATTTCTCCTGTTCGCTCTCGGAGGTGCCCCAGACAAGCTCCAGTTTACACAACTTTTAAAGTCAGATGCATAAAGGTAAATCTGTTGTTAATACAGTTATTTCAGTTTTGAAAAAAGTTGTTTTGCTGGGACAGTAGAAGTCTGTTTTTTTTATATCCTTCACATATAATAGGGATGAATAGTAGGTCTTAAATGTTTTTCCCCCAGCATGCTAATTTGATTCCATTCTCTAAAAACACTGTGTAATGTGTAAATAAACAGTAAGATGTACAGTAGCAGACATTTAAGTATCACCTGCACAGCTCTGGTGGTACTTCAGAAGGTGGTACATTGCCGAAGGGGTTGTATACAAATGCAAGACTCTGGCGCTGTGTGTCCAGGTGATTCCCCAGGGGCTGGCAGCTCAGAGTGGTCTTCGAGTGGGAGACAGGATCTTGGAGGTCAACTCCATCGACCTGCGGCATGCCACACACCAGGAGGCTGTCCGTGCCTTGCTCTCCAACAAGCAGGAAATCAGGATGCTAGTGCGCCGAGATCCCGCACCGCCTGGCATGCAGGTGAGCCCCCCCTCCCGTTTTCTGAGTCTCTAGCGCTTATCCGTCAAGCCAGTCCATGGAATTCTTGGGAGGAAGGTTGTATGGATTCCTGTGGTTATGGACCTCTTTTTAGTCTGTTAATGTTCGGCAAGGAATAATCCATATTCTGAGGCTGTTCCAAGGGTTCCAACCTTCTCTAACCTGCTTTTAAACATGCTGGGGTGTATGCAATAAAAACGCTTGTAGAAACAGAAATCCTTTCCAAAACACTTCTGAGTGAGGTCTCCTACACGTCCAGTGAATTCCCCATGATCTCCCTGTCAGGGCATGTGTTTTAAGAGCTGGAAGCGTGCTATATTTAGATCGGATGCTGCACATTGGTGGTGGTAGAGGGGAGTCCCCATTACCTGTAAACCGCTTTGAGTGGAGTGTCCAGAAAAGCGCTATATAAGTGTAAGCAATTATTATTATTATTATTATTATTATTATTATTATTATCCAGGATCCAGATGCCAGGACTTGTCGTGGAGTGACTGTGTGTCTGTTTCCTTGGCAGGACATTGTTATTGAGAAGCTGGCTGGTGAGAAGTTGGGCATCAGCATCCGGGGAGGAGCCAAAGGTCACGCGGGCAATCCCTTTGACCCTACTGATGAGGGCATCTTCATTTCCAAGGTACCCCTACGTCTCCCCCTCTCTCACACCCTTCACACCCTGTCGAAAGGGCTGGAGCGCGAGCAGATGTGTGGCTTGACCGCGAGGTGACAGCGCCCTCTCCCCTCAGGTGAGCTCCAGCGGCGCAGCGGCGCGGGATGGCCGCCTCCAGGTGGGCATGCGGATCTTGGAGGTGAATGGCCACAGCCTGCTGGGCATGACGCACACCGAGGCCGTCAGGACCCTGCGAGGCGTGGGCGACACGCTTGCCGTGCTGGTCTGCGATGGCTTCGACCCTAGAGATGCTGCCGCTGTAGAGGTGAGCTTCTGGGCTTCGTGATGCCATCCAGCTGCCTGAAAGGACAACCATCAACATGACCCATTTTAAAATGGGCTCAAAGGAATGTCCCACACAAACAGGATAAAAGATCTCCACCTTCTTAGTCTCGAGCAGAGCAGATTTCAAGGAGACCTGATCCAAATGTTGAGAGTCCTCAAAAGCTTTGACGGAGTCAACCCAGTGGTCATCTTCAGAATAGACAGCGAAACTCGAGTTCCCAAGAGGAAACCACAAAAAAGTGCAGTTGAAACTGCGAACAGGAGGCGCTTCTTTACACAGAAGGTTGTGGGAGTATGGATCAAGCCATGTTGAAGCTACATTATAAAAAATAAATGTTGCTAAATAATACATCACCAATATTAATGGACTTATGGTCAGAACCCATTTCTGTTTAGCAGTTCCAATTCTATGTCCAATTTCTTTTTTAAGTCATTTTCAGGTACAGGAACTAGAAAATGAGATAAATTTTCCTCAGTGGAATTGACTGCGTTCCTGTACTCTCTAAACGCAGGGTGGGTCTGGTCACTTGTCATCGTATTTTCATCCTCTGTTGTCTGTCTCAGGCCTCTCCAGGTGTCATTGCCAACCCCTTCGCTGCAGGCATCGGACGCAAGAACAGCATGGAGAGCATCTCCTCCATCGACAGGGAGCTGAGCCCTGAGGAGATGGACATCATCCAGAAGGTAGGTCTGGAAAGGAGAGGGAGTCCTGTGTGCTTTATTGCATTGCGAGGCGGTCCTCAACAACACATCTTGAGATCTCCTAGATGTCCTTCTGTGACTGAAGTTCAGATTTAGACTGATAAATTATCAATTCAGATAATTATGCTAATAAATACAGTTTAAAACCCGAATCATCTCCTGGAGTGGTAAATGATTCCACATAATTTTAAACAAAAGATGTGTACGTGGTTTCTATTTGCTGTCCCAGAGAAGTGTCTCTTTTTAATTGGACCAGGTTATTTCTGTTATACCCACCTCATGTGCAGTTGCCAGTAGTGTGTTTTTCACATCTTGGCTCACAGCTACAAACACCCTGGATGCACATATACACGGGAATGAGGGGGTGTAGGCAGACTCCTACCACCCATACTGCTTCAGTCTGCTCATGTTTTAATACATCACAGACACACAACCCCCTTCCAGATATTCGGCACTGATCAGAAGAGAGCCACAAATGTGTACAGGCAGACCCCTAACTACAACCAGCCTGCCCACGTGATTCAATCTGCTTTTAGCAGGCACCACACCCCCATAAGGGATACACAGGCCTGCAAGCACTTGAGAAGCTGCAGGGGTTGCTGTGCCTCTTGGAGACAAGAGAGTCCTGGTTGACTAATCCTAACCTACCCCCAGGAGTCGGTGCTCAGCCGATTGTGTGCCGGGCTAGGCCAAAACCAATCACAGGTTGATAATGACATGACCCAGACTCAAACCCGTTATCATACAGTTCAACCTGTGATGGGGTTGAGCCACTATGTAGCAGTTCATAATATTTTCTGGTTTTTGGGTCAAAAGATACAGTACGTACAATGGCTGTTTCTGTGTGTCCATCTTTCTGACCAATGTTTATGAAATTCAGTAGGAATAGGAGGCATTACTTGTGAGGACTATGCTGCTTCATGTGGGCCATGCAGGTCATTGGCCTTCTTGTTTTACACGCTCCAAATGTTTGGAACCATCAGTTGTTGTTTTTTATTTCTTGGCTTACAGTTTTAGACCCTATACCCGCATAGGAAGGAAGTACCATTTGTCTTTTGATATGCTACAGACTCTGTAGCAAAGCAACATCCAGCAAGCACATCACTGATACGATGAGAGGCATGCGGCTCACTTATATCACCACAAATTTGTGGCACCCATGAACTTGCAGAGTTTCCCCCTCCTTGCCGGGTGGCACTCTGTCGATTTGTATTGTCTCTTGGGTGTTCCCTGTCACAGTCAGGTAGTGACATGACATGATCCAAATTCACAATTATGACAACAAGATCATAGAGCCAAACCCTTATTAGTAAATTTGGGAGCCCCATGTCTTTTGAGACAGTATTTTCCACCATTGTTATTTTTCTTTTTGCAAGAGGTATGAAAGAACTTTTTCACAAAAGGTGGGTCAAGAGTCACTGTAGTTCAGTTGTTCATATCAGCGCAGTGTGGCTATCTAACCTGTCTTCACAATCCCGTGTCCCGTCTCTCTGTGTCTAGGAGGTGGAGATGGTGCGTGAGGCCTCTCAGTGGGAGAGGGAGGAGATAGAGAAGGTGGTGAGTGGAACCTGTTTTCCTCATCTTGCCCAGAGAAGGGTCATCCAGTCAGAAGTCGGGCCTTGGGGAAACTTACTTTTGAGTACTGTGTTTGTTTTCGTATATTAGCTTGTATTTTGGGTATGTGTCAGCCATACTTACTTAATTACCTGAACAAAGAGTCAGGACAGTGTGAGTAAACTTTTCAATATAACACTTTGAAAGCACCGTTTGAGCCTTCTGGAAGCTCTCGACAAAAAGGCAGCAGTGACATTCACTCCTTGTGGAGATGGCAGGGAAAGATGACCAGCTCAGAACCCGCTCCTAGTAACCGGAAGCTGCCTACTCTGTGTGCCTCACTCATTGCCTTGCTGGGCTTTTTTTTACTACAAAAACTGCCACAGCTAACCTCTCCCTTTCCTGCCATTGACTTGCTGTATTTCAAAAGGAATGAGCTCTTTTCTAACAGTGTGGAATCTGGTTCTCTCTCTCTCTCTCCCTCGTTCTCTCCTCTGGCTTCCTCTGGTGGGTGTCTGGGTTCTCTGTCTCATCTTCCTGTTCTTCCTCCAATACTTTAATCACACACACCCCTGCCCCCCACCTGTCTTCTTTCGCTCTTCCTGCCTGTGCTATGTGGCTGGTTGCCCCCCACTCCTCTCCGTGGTTGCTCTATCCGTGCTGCTGTGCTGCCGAAGGAGCGAATGCGCCTGGAGCGCGAGGAGGCAAACCGGTTGCTGGAGGAGGAGGCCGAGGTGAGGCGTTCATCTCTACACACTCCTCCCCCAGCCCCGTCACATAGGCTCAGCTAGCCTCCAGACATCTCAGGGGAATCTGTTTCTCACAGGAGCAGTTTTTATAAAGGGAGGCCAACCTAAATTGTCTGCATCTTGCCAGACAACAGTAGTCACATTCCATCGAAGGGAGACCGCTTTACTTTCTGTTTGAGTGGCGTTATAGTTGTGTGAAAAATGGCTGTCAAATTTGTAATTGGTTTGCCTTTATTTTAATTCTCACTTCCATAACCCTTTGTTTGAAGGTTTATAAAAATGACATTTAAAAAAATATATTTTTAAAGCAATGATGTGACTGCATAAATCATCCTAGAATTTCATTCTAGTGGTTTCTACATCTAGTGCGATGGGGACAATATACCTTGGTCTTGGTCTTGTACTAATTAATCCTACCAGTTCTTCAGGAACCCAGAGTACCAGGGAACTAAGGCAAACGTTTTTATGTAGCCAAAATGTATGCAGTAGTTGAAATCGTAGAAACACCCAGGCACACACTTTCTCTACTCCAAAATAACTTTTATGGGTTGCTAGAAGTACTTACTCCATTTTTCTCTTTTAGGTTGCCTTTTTGTAAGTAGTGGAAAAACAGTACCTGTGGGGTACCTTTAGTCAGGGTTCTGGTTTCATGTTATTCTTTAAAATTGAAGCTTTGGTATTAAACGTACTGTAGAACGCCCAGTGCAAACAGTAATACCAGTCCAGCACAGTTGGTCACTGTTCTTTCTCTTGCTCCAGAACTTCAGCCCAGGACCTCTGAAACTGGACTACAAGACCCTAGCCGCTCTTCCCACCACAAGCCTGCAGAAAGTCACACGGGTGAGCAGAATCACAGGAACATTTTTTAGACTGGAATTTAGTGTTGGGTGATATTAACTATTCTAGATTGTCTGATTTCCAGAGAGCGCTGCCATTTAAAGTGGGTAATTCTGGTTTAGAGATCATATATAAGCAGCACTGCACCAGACATAGGGCTGACAAACACACCTGTATTTGGTTGCTTGATCTCATACATCGAGATACTTCTGTAGAAGGCACCTTTGTGACGGATGTGTTAAAGGAAAACTGTTATTCTACGTTTTAGGTTTGAGGGTAGTCATTCTTATCTATACCAGATTAGCTGCTAGCCACAACTAGTTTCACAAGAGATTGACTGGCTCATTGGTAAACAGACTCTTATGATTTCGCGAGAGAGCTGGTTTTCTTTTGTGGAAAGCACTTTTCTCTTTGACATTTATTTCTGTGACTGAAATAATAAGAGCAGAGCAGTAGCTCAAACTGGGAGTTAATAAACTACTTTGAAATCTGTAAAATTCCCGATCCTGTTAAATCAGTTCATGACTAAGGACACTGAAGTATTCTGCAGCAGATTACTGACTGAAATGATTATATGACAAATGATAGTGAGTGAACTAGTCTGTTGGCTAAAGAAAGTGTCTACAAACATAATTATATCAAATCTCACATGCTTGTTCTGTCTCTTTGGGACTCCTGCATGGTATCTATGACCTGACTTGTCGTTCATGAGAGAGTATACTGTATGTGCACCACAGTAACATCAGGCTCAAGTTCCAGCTTCCTGTTATTAGTTTTCAAACAAACTGGCTTATTTGAGTGAAATCTTCACTCTTTATGCTAGATTCTTAATTACTATTATTACAGCACAGCTAGTTACTAAGCACTTTGAGTTGGGGTTCAAAAGTGTGAAATGTTTATCACAAGCTGCATATTTTATTTTATTGTTGAAAACAAAAGAATACAATGCAGGTTCACGGACTTGTAGGCAGGATTTATGAAGGTTCTTCCTGTCTTGGAAGGCTTTGTTCTGTGCCAGCAGTGATTTCTAGTCCAGCTCAGAATAGCTGTCTCACCAGGGCAATGTGCTACATACGATTCCACCAGCCAGCCGTTCTGCGTTTATCCCTCAGGAATCTCCCACTTCAGCCTGTGAGCGCCACAGTCCTGACCTCTGACCCCGAGCAGGTGTTCTGAAAGGTGGAATTCCGCTTTCCTGGGTTCCACAGCGACAGTCGGTGTTCTGAATCCCAAGCCCTGTCATCTGGAATATAACGTTTCCTAAATCATTGTAGCCCATTCTCAGTTGCAAACATTCCTGTCCATCTCCATGACATTCCTGTTAAATTACCATTAAATCACAGACTTGAGCTTGTATGATGCAACTGTTGTGAAACCTGAACAAAATCAACTTGATTGAAAAGATTTAAATCAGTTCTAAAAAGGCAACTTAAACAGGACTGATAACAGTCAGAGCTGGGCACCCTGACTGCCCGAGCAATCGACTTGGCCTTTTCCATTGTTAGCCATTGCTGGAAAAGTATTTGGTGTTAGAAGAGGGTTGAAGTCATGACCTCTAGCCAGGAGCTGTACTGTCTGCTCTTGAAGAATGTGCCGAAAATAACTGGTCAGCTTACAATCGTTTGACTTTTAAGGCTATGCAATGCTGAAACTAGGAATAAAAAATGTTACAATGGTTCAGAGAAAGGGTTTTATAAAATATTTTCCTTTTTGTGCTTTTTTGTGTTTACAGATGTCTGTAAATATTGACTTTCCTTGGCCATCTTGTGCCCAGTGGGGCTCTGACCTTTAAGGAAAAGTGTATCCAGTGCAGTGTCTGTATATGGCAGAGGCTGTCTTTGGTGAGCCACTGTCCTGCAGGAAGTTGAATGTTGTCTTTCCAGATAACATGCTAAGGCAGGAGTGGAAACCACAAGGCCCTCTGTAGATAAGAGTTTGCTGACACTGTAGGTTGATCTCTGTACCTAAACCTTGTTCCTGCAGGCTGGGTGTTTCTTTGGTAAGCTCAGTGTTATACTTTGGTATTAAACGTACAGTAGAACTACATCTTCTACAGTAAACATACATTTTCTACATCTTCAAGTAACCGTTGAAGAGCTGCGGGACGTAGGTAGATTGACCCATTTAAGTAACATGCTGTCTTAGGTCATTAGATGCTGAGTTGAAATGACAACCCGAGGAAACACCAGCCCCCCAGGACCAAGATTAGACTTTTCTGCTGCAGAACAGCCATTGCCAGGAGCAGTGACTAAGTCTTACATGATCGTGTTCTGCCTTAAAAGGTAAAGTCTGTAACTCTGATGGGAGTACTGGCCACTGGCCACAATATCACTGTAAAACTACCAGTTTCTCTTAAAAGAAATTAGTTCTGTGCCCTTTGGAGATTATACCTAAACTGTCTTTAGAAGTTGTATTGGAAATTAGTCCTGGTTAGACCTCATCCTAGACCTGGTGAAAAATAAAGTGCAGTTGTTTTGAATGACAACAATGTGGGAATATTTGAGGCGTGCCATGTCAAAAAAACTACCTAGTGTAGTATTGTGTTGGATGATTATAGTTTCAAGGGAGGTGTGGGCTCATTGAGCCTTTCAAGTTTCTTCATAGACACAACTTTGGACACATTTGCAGATAACAGGAAAATCATTAATGACAAAATTCTGATTCAAGCACAGTAAGAGGGCATAACGTTTTTGGCTCAAATCAACATCATTATATGTTTATATTCTTTCCCAAAATGACCAAGCGTTGCAGCTCCTTTCGGGCTGTTATTTGTGAAAATGAGGCAGACTTGTTTTTTTTTTTGTCTTGTCACTGTTGATCCTTAATCCCAGATCATCATAAAGATGTGGTGCTTCCTCAGAGAGGATGAGGAGGCAGGAAAGGCAGTGTGTCAGATTCTGTTCAGGCTGTTCTGAGGGAGAGGGTATGAAGAATTTGGCAGGGGGGGGCGGGAACGCACAGCTGACGCCTCGAGGGGCACTTGTCAGGGGATATTTTTAGCGCTTGTGGGACAACGGGAGGGGACTGGAAGAGGGAGAAGGGAGGTGTGCGGGACAGAGCGAGGGAGTCAGAACGTGCGTAAATCAGGAGAGCCTCACCACTGCCTAATCCTGCTGCCGGCCACTGTGAGTCACCGGGACTGGGTTTCTACTGCCTTTCCACGATGGGGGTTTTTATAACTCGTCCCTTTCTTCTCTCTTTATCTTTTCTGTAGCTCTAGTTGCTGTAGTGAATGTGTGTTTTATTGAGTTTGCGTTTTGTGAATGTGTCTAGTCTCAGTTTCATAGTTGGGTCGTTCTGCTTGTCCAGGAATTTTATGGATATGACCGATGGTCCTGCTTTCTGGTCCTGCTTTCGACACAACTGTTTTCTCTCAGCCCCACTGCAGGCCGATAGGAGATGTTCTATACATGGAGAGTTAAAGTGCTGGAGTAATTCTGGCAGTTGTTTCAGAGATTCTGCTTCTAGAGGGCTGTCTGTGTGAACCTCCTAGCATCTTGACAAGCTACCCTTGGGTAGTGCTCTCAAATAGGAAATGCTTTTTGTGTCTGAGTAAGATATTAGAGAGTTCTGATGTGCTTCTGCTGAGAAATTGTAAAACAAGGACCTCCTCGATTCTCGGAGGAGCAGTCCTCTTTTTGGCCCTATTTGCTAGCCTGTCTAAAAAAACAGAATAGCAAACATAGCAAAGTCCCAGTAGAGTTTATGGCTGTAGATACTTGTATGTAATAGAAGAGGTTGAATGAAAGATTCTGAGATTTAAGTGTTTCAGTTCTTGAAAGTTTTTGTGATTCTGGCAAATGTTTTGATGATTCTGAGATTGTTAATGACATTTTTTCATTTTTAAATGTTGCACACTTTGCTTGTCGGGGCACTCTTGTAATGTTCAGTATACTAAGGTGCTCTGCATCACCATCTGTAGACCTGAGTATTCAAGAACTTTTGAATATGGGCATCAAACATGCTTTTATTTGTTATAGAATTCATACAAATTGCAAGGTCAACATAATGTGATGCTGTATTGCCTATACTAATATGCACTGAAGAGAGAGAAAGTGTGGTCTACTGTGTGTGAAGGATGTAACTGATTGTAAGGTTCACATGGTTGTGTTAGGTTGTGATTTGTAGAGTGCAGGTGAATTTGATTGTATAGGTTGTGTTGTAGTGCTGTGTATTTTTGTTTTGTTCAATAGAGAGAATGGTATGGTATGAGTATTTTTAATGTAATTTTTTATGTTTATTATTATAAGAAGTAGTGCAAACTTAGTTTTTTTTTTCCTGCAGTTAACCAACATGTTTCTGGAAGCCAAATTTAAGATTAGCAGCTGACTTTGGTCCCTTTTTAGTTCTGTCTAATGGTCAGAAGGACAGGGCCAGAGGAAGCTTTACAGAGGATAACTGTCACACCTCACCAGTTGATGATGTCAGGGTTGGCCAGCGTGCCACCTGTTCACACTTGTCACATAGAGTTCGGAGTCGTGGCTGGAGAACTGTAGGCTTCTTCCTCCTCCATACCTCTGAGCCTTCGTCTGTCTGTTGGAGTGAGGTGCAGGTCTGATCAATACACCAGCTCTAGCTAAATTTAGTGCGAATAAGTTTCGGAATGTAAATGTTTTAAATGGCCAGTCTTCTTGATAATCTTTGAGCAGATGCAGACAAAGTGCCATGACTTGGTGCACTTTCATGGTTTTTCTGCAAGGAGAATACAGGTCTCCTTTTGGCGAAGGTGAGACACAAGGACTTGTGCCCAAGTGATTGCTTTGAAACCCCATGAATAATAAAATCAGCAGTGACTTTAACAATGTGAGTTTGACTCACAGGCTCTCTCCACAAATGAAGCGCATTTAGCAGAAGAAGCCCTGCCTTTTAATCAGGGCTGTGGGCAGCTGTTGTGCTGTGCAATGCAAGTGTAATACATTTGGATGTCAGCAGCCAGCAGTACTGATGTTATGGTTATTTATGGTCATAGGCAGGGGATCTGGACAGTATCAGAATGAATCTAAGTGACACCGCTCACCACTGAGAGGATTAGCCTGTCAGGAGTTAAAATGGTCAAGGTCTTATCCTACAGAGTACTCCACCCACACTGGTTGCCATTTTAAGATGAAGCCAAGAAATAACTTGTACAGTGGTGATCCTTATGATGTGATGGTGGGTTATACGAGTGGGTTGGTGTAAGCTGTTGTGAAATCTGTTTATACTTAGTATTTATCAGTCTTATTATATTGTTCTGTTGTAAAAGTGGATGGATTTTCAAGCAGTGTAGGAGAGTTCCTCCGTCCAGCTCTTTACCAGGGAAGGATTGCAGAAAATGTCTGCATTACCCTAGTAATGTGGCAAGTAATGCCACATCACCCTAGCTAGTGATGAAGCCATACAGGCACAGTATCCCTAATCAAATGAGGCATTCGTTTTGAATATGAAAGTTGGCTTCATCCCTCTAAATTTGCTGTAATCTGTTATTGTGATGGGAGGGTATTTGGTGTGCTTTGTCCAGTCTCACAGCTGGAGAGATACATCAGGCAAGAGAGGTTCTCTCTCCCAAGGCATTCGGGATACAGCTCCAGAAAGGATTTTCCTACCTTCACTGTAGGTTTCTTCCTCACTCTTCTGTCTCTGTCACTTTAGTGTAGCTCCTCTGGTGGCCTTTTAAAGGTATCAGATAAAGCAGAGTGATCTCTGAGTGTTTTCTTGGTTTGCTGTTTAAAATGGGGGTGTGGAGAGTTTAAGATGTGTGACTGGCTTGAAGAAGGTTAATGTCTCAGTATTTACTGTAAAGCTGAGAAGACAGATGTCTGAGGCCTAGATGATGTCCATCCCCTGTTGTGATTGAATATCTGATAAAGAGTGTGAAATGCCTACGCTTGCAGGCAGGGGTACAGAGTTTTTTGTTGATTTATGCTTTAAGAAGCACTCAAGACGTAAAAATCTTGAGAAATCAAAGTTAAATGGACCTCTTCAATTTTCAGCTTGATAAGGGAAGTCATCAAGGCATCTTCTTAAACTTTTGTTTTCTGTATGCTGTGCACTAGTGATGTTACCAGATTTGGCTTCTTCAGGTGGACAACAGTCTTGTGGATGTCCAAAGCTACCATCTCTGATTCTTGCACCTCAGTCGTCCTCTAGCTTTGGGCAGACCTGTAGTGAGCCCAGCAGAGCTGTAATTCTGATCCCAGGTTCACTCTCTTTCTGTCTAACTCTCTCTTGCTTTCCTTCAGCTTGATCTCTGTGCCACTCACACTGATCTCATGGAGGCCTCCCTGCAGGTCCACGTTAACACACCCATTAAACCATTGGGGTTTAAGACTGGGGACCCCTCTGGAAGAGAGCGGAATCCTTTTCATATCGGGCCTGATGTCCTCATCACTGCTTCGCTCCCCTCTTGCCTGAGCGCGGAGAGTGATGCTAGGCCCATGCAGGCCAGACCACAGCCTGCTGAGAACAACCTTACAACCGTCCCATACGAGATGAGACCCCAGGCTCCCCAGGTTTCCCACAGTCCTTCACAGCAGATAATGCCGCCCGTTGTGAGACACGAAGCACCTCCTGCAGCAGAGGAAGCAGAGGAGAGCCTGGTGGACTCTCAGCCCATTTGTTTCAACGAGAATCCCTTCCTGGTGGCCAACCGAAACGGCAAGGGCAAGCCCCCAGGGGAGCGCGTCCTGTCGGGCCCACCAGTGGGCTACGGCAGGAAGGGCCAGCTCCAGACCAGCCTGTACTGCAAGGCAAGCCGGCACTTAGTGTCCTCTAGTGTGTGTGCACGTGTGGACCAATCTCAGCATGTTGTGGCCTGCTGCCCTGCTGACATGACACTGGTGCCTCCTCACAGCAGTCCTTGGCATGGTGTGTCTTTGTTGCCTGGTTGTATTGCTCGTGAGCTAATGTAGGTATTAAAGATCATTCCCCCATACGTACGTGTGCTCATGTATGTGTGTATGAGTCACTACATACACAAATATGTGTACATATACACAATCAGTGCAAATGGCTGTTTTTTCCTTGTATTGGTATAACACTCACAGTAGGACAGAATCCTCTTATGAAGACATTGTCATCGTGCAACTATTAATCACCCAAGATATGTTAATATTGTCCAAAATCTAATTTTTAGCTCTTACAAGCAGACAAGTCCCTCTTGAGGAAAAAAGTGTTAATGATAGAATGCAACATGAAAGAAGTATAAAAATGTAAGTGTTCCACATGTGGATAATTGGGATTATGTCCCAAATTTATTCTGGGCAAATAGTTGCCTCATTGTAAGATCTGCAGGGGGTTAACATCATTTTGATGCTTTATTTTCCCAAATTGTTTACAGTAGCACTGAAGCATGAACATGTAAGCATGTTCCTTTTCATTGGAGTTGTATGCATTCCTGAAAGCTACAGCCTCTCCTGGATTTCTTCTTCACCTGATTTACAGCAGCAGGGTATCAGGTGGTTTAAGTATGAAACAGGTCAACTGTAGGTCAGAGGTTTTACCAGGAGAGCTTGGAGGAAAGGACAGCCAGCAGCCCTGAGGTCTGGGGTAAGCTTTGTGATTGGATGATGGGTGAGGTGGCAGGGCTGCTCAGCTCTCTCTTTCCACCCCCCCAAAGGTACAGGCCTCAGGATGTTGAGGAAGAGGACTTGTGATTGGATGGAGAGGGATCTGACTGTGTCCACATAGCTGTTTCAATGAATAATTCTTGACCTTAGCACTAGATTCAAGGTTCAAGGTTCTCGAAATGGTAAAATGATATAATCCCCTTCCCTAAGACTACATGTTTCCTGTGGATTGTTTAATTTGGAGGGGATGATATTTCTTCTTGAAACAGTGTAGGTGTAACTGTATTGGGCAGGCATATGATGTATTTTTAAATAATGTTAAAAGTGAATAAATAATTATACAGAAACTGACCAGCATGCTGGTATTGCGTACTTTCTGTGCTAGATTGTACTTAACGGTGGTTAAGTAGAGGTCTAACAGTTCATAATTTTCACAAAAATTGTTTTTTCAAATTTAGTGAACCATTGACTTCAAAATACTAAAAATGACATTTCTTTAACAATATTTGTATTGTGAAGTTCTACTACCCTACCATTCAGTTTGGTCCATGTTAATTGCAATTTTTGTGTCTGTCAAATTCCTGCCTGACACTGAGTTAAGAAGTAAAAGGTAGCTTTAATCTTAATTAAAACGCATTCCTGTGGAAAAACAAATATTTTGCGGAAATGTAGAGGATAACACTTGAAGGAACAGGACTTGTGCTTGGAAAACTGTGCGTTTTGCATCTAATCCAACACATATCCCACTGCCACAAATATCTGCTGAGGGCATGGAATTTATATGTTTTATTTTTTGCACTTGGGGCTAAGCTTGGGCACTAAATAGAGCATCTTGGTTCAAATGCCGGTCATGGCTGGCATTCCTCTGTGAAACGCCTTCTTCGGCAGCCGCTAATGTGGGACGATGTAAAGAACTCTGCCTTTCAGCAGGGTCTCCTTACATGGGAATCTCAGTGGGCCCTGATTAGACTGACGTGGCGCTCTCGATGTTGAGTTGCTAGTTAGCTGTGCTGCTTACAGTGACTCTTTGGAATATTAGCAAACTAGTTTTTATGCAACCTACGGGTTTAAATTGAGTGAAAAGGGAGATAAATGCAAAGACCGTAATTTAGTACGAAGCAGTTTGATGTTGACAAGCCTCTCATTGTTTTGTAATTTTTTGCTTGTCAGATGCCTTTATCTGGTCCTTCCTATCTCATTATAATAGATGCGACTCCGGGTAAGTGTGTGCACAAAAAAGGCCTGTATAGGACTTGTTCTTATTATAACTAAGTAAAAAATTTAGTGTACAGTTATCCTCATTATCGTAATGCCTTGTTAAAAATATCAACGCCACAAGAATACATTGGCATCATGCAGTGTTGTAGGTCACATTTCTCCATTCAGGGATGTTTTAGAAGACTTGCACATCTAGGAAGATATATCGTATTTTGTCGCATGTCAGGGTGCTAACACTTTATCAGGTAGTGGATAGACAATTGTAATCTGGTTCGTGTACAGTCATCACCCAGAAAATCACCTCAGACTGGAGACGGTGGTTTTGATTCTATCCTTGTTTGATTTTCAGTCGTCCTCCTCTGAACCCATGGGGTTGAGCAGCCCCAGCAAAGATGCCCTGTACTCTCCGTCTTCACAGCCGGTGAGTGCAAACCTCACGCTCAACTCCGTGCTTCAGTACGGCATATGATGCACAGAGCTGCACTGACTTTACTACAACATGTTAAATCTCTGAGCGTTATTCACACACAGCTCTATTCCACTTTATAGCACTGCATATCGGCTAAGGGTTAGGGTCAGAAAAGATCAGTTTCCATTGGTCTGTTGGTATTTTCATTCCTAAACTGGAGTCCCATGTCTTCCTGTGTTATTCTTTATGTATTGTACATCTATTTGAGTATATGTTATATGTACAAGATTTAGTAGAGCCTCCGTTTACCTCAATACAAGAATTTCTTCGTCGTATCTATTGAGTTACAGTATTCTCTAATCTTCCTTGTATGTATCACTTACATTATGCCATGTCTGTTTTTTCCCTTCATTCCTAGCTTCAAACATTTAACATCATATAGCTTTAAAGAACAATTGGGCAACATTCATGGTTTAAAACATTTAAACTCTTTTAGAAGAGAGAAACCAAAACCTCTTTTTACACCTTTTATATACTCTTCCTTGATGCCTTGTCTTCTTTCCATTCCTTGTTCTTTCTCTCTTCCTCCCACGTCAGCGTGGCCCCCGGCAGGGAGACGCGCTTTGTAAGTGGCCTATGAACCTGGTCTGACATGCCGGCCTGCAGCTTCTTACTGTACTGCCTGACGTGAACGGGCTAGGGGCAGTCTCTGGGGCAACCCTGGGGTTTCTGAGCAGTGAACTAGCAGGTCTAGTTGAAGGCCACCAATAATTTAGTTTAGTCAGAGTCATTGTGGCAGCATTCTAGCCTGTTTGGCCTACTTTTAAGGAACCTGGGCCAGAGAGAGGGTTTTCAGGAATCAGGCTGAGCAAAACTGCTCTAGGTCATGGGTGAAATCCATTCATACCCTCCACTCCAGTCTGAAAGAGATGGGTTTGCTTGTCATTCGGACTAAAACTGGTGTGAACCACAACACAGAAGTTGTGATTCACACCTGTTTTCATTTTCAACTAATTTTCATTTTTTGTGGTTTTAGTTGCTAGGAGAAATTCTAATGATGGGTTGTAGTTCATTGTGACTCGAAAAGTACTTCTAACTCCGTGTTCAGAGCTTAAACCTCCAGTTCCCCAAGTTCTTTCTGCAAGATCCCAACAACGTTAAACACCACCAGTGTCCATGACTGTCTCTTACACAGCTATTTATCCTTCTGCAGGGGTATTTCAGTTTTTATGAAGCCTTTCGTACCCGTAAGCGTTCTCAAACGTTCCCTGCTTTAAAATGAAATGAACTGTGTTTTTTAATATTAAAGACTGCAACAATGGTCATTACAGTTACAGATGTTGCAACAGCTTTTACACTTCAGTTGCAGCAGAAACTTTTAAACCTTGATCTGAGTCTCAGAGGAAATAGTGGTCAGGTGATCTGTCTGACTTTGTCTGCCCACACTGTGACTTATTTCGAGTCATGTGAAAATATACTAGCAGTCTCCAGCCCAGCTTCATGTCTATTGTTTGGTATTGTAATACAGAAGATCCCAGTCCAGTCACCAGTTGTTCATTGCTCAGTGTTTGCCCAGATACCTGCTCTGTATCTTGCAAGTCCTTCTTAGCTGGCAACTTCAAATAGAATTGGTTTGATGCAGATTGCACTTAACGAGTGGGAATTATTTTATATTTACCAGGACTTACACGTCTTATACTTCTCTGCTTTTACAGAAACATCCTTATTTATAATTTAATGATGCAAATGTGATGATTCAGACTGAATTAGAATGCAAAAAGTAGCAGAATCAACCCAGAATCCAGAGAAAACAGGTGTCTGTCTTGCTCAAGGTGTGTGCACCAGATGCCTTCATTGAGAGTGATGCAGAGAAGAGGAGCATTCTGTGGCCATAGTGTGCGCATAGACTAGTAACTTGTGACTAGTATCCCTGTTGTGTTCAACAGCCTCCTCTGGCCTTATGGCCTCTGAGAGTAAGGTGTAGTCATCTATTTTGACTGTACTATTGGCTGTACCTCATTACTTTTCCCTTCAGTCTTGATATCTCTGTATAAGAACACTTGTCTTTTTGTGTGTATGTTTCAGGCTAGTATTAATTTCCTCTCCAATGCAGCTCCCAAGGAAAACAAATCAGTGAGTATCTAGAAAACAGGCTGGGCTTTAGAAAAATGTCATCCTCTATAGGAGTGATTGCATTGGATAAGATCCTGATCCCTGTTTGCAAAGTCTGAGCTTATCAAGGCCTTTCTCAGTATGACTGATTCTAGTGCATTACAGTGATATAGTCTTCCATAGTAATTATTTCTGTGAACTGCTCCTGGTTTTATATCCCAACTCTTTACTTGATGAGTTAGTAACTGCATGGTGACAGACATGCACTGGAAAGACAGCTGAGCTAGTGTAGGATTTTCTAATGCACTGTTAGAGTTTGATATATTGCAATCATGTTGTCTTTCTGGTGCATGTCTGTCACCATGCAGTTACTAGCTCTGGATGTAACACCAGGGACAGTTCACACAAATCATGCCCCCAAGCTCTGGAACTCTCTCCCCAAGGATACCAGAGAGTCACCTTCTCTAAACTCCTTCAAATCCAGACTCAAAACCTTCTTCTTTAGAAAAGCCTTTACTTAACTGGTTCCATTCTTTACCCCTCTGCTGCTACAATACTTAGCAGCTTATCACCATCCACAGTCTCCTCTGTGTATTGTAATTGTGTTTTATCTTGTGTATTATTTTTATTTATTGTTGTCATTCTGTAAAGCTATTTGATAAGCCTCCTTTAAAGATGCTATATAAAATAAAGTTAATTGTTATATTATTATACAACAGACTGAAATATTAGACTTTATGTGATTCACATTTAATTCAGTTAATGTATTCATGATATAAGACTGCTTTCTCAATTTAGGGGCACCCCTGCTTCTTGAACTGGTGGCTTCCAGCTCTTCCTCTCAGCTTTCTCTTTTCTCCCTGCCTGATTGGTGCAGCTAAGGAATTTTATTTACAGATTCATTGTTGATAGATCTTAGCACTGACATTGGCAAAAAAGAAAAAGGAAAGATTGGGACTTTTCCTTCTCTTCTTGTTGTAATTTCTGCCTTTATGTTTTCCAGACCAAACCTGGCGTGATACAGCCTCTCTCTAGGCTGTGGCAGAACGCCCCGCCTGCCAGTCAAGATGGCCAAAGCAGTCCCAGCTCTTTCCAGCGTGGCCTCCCTCTCACAGAGTCCCACACTTCTGTAAGTGTGCCTCAGTACTGTAAAAATGACTAGTAAACCACAGTGTGACTCCTACTGAGCACCTGGAATATATACAGGGGAAAGGCATATTCAAATTCTCTATGGGAGTATTTCCTAACTACAGACCTGTCCAGGTTGATCAAATCACCAATTAATCGTTAAATGTTTTCAGTGCCGACCAGTGTAATTAAAACTTTTGTTTTGTGGAGCCTGAACAAACTTTTCATAGTGCACCTAATGTGCACAACGGTCTTTGTGCTGTAGACAAAATCAGACTGGACTGTTCACAGGTCTTGAATTCTCGGATTAGAGAATCCTGAAGGTTCAGAAGGACCACAGGCCCACGTGTGTGTTTTTGTGTTACTTGGCTGGTTGCACAGGGTTTTCTTTCTCTGCGTTGCCTTTGCCCTCACCTCTCTCCATAGGAAGAGGGGGACCCGCATGCTGTCCCTTTTCCTCCCGCACTCTTCTTCCCGAACTTTGTTTTCCTATCTGACTCATCCTGCCCCTTTCTATTTGTCTTCTCTCTCCTTCCTCCTGCCTTTCTCCTCCTTGCAGCCATGCGCCCCCACCCCCCTCTCGCCTGACGAGTTCCCCGTTAACGTCAAACAGGCCTACAAGGCCTTTGCGGCTGTGCCCAGTGCCCACGCGGTGCTGGAGCTGCGGCAGGTAGGCTGGATCGGCCTGCTGTCACAAGAGCCTGGTGTCCATGCTGGCAAGGGCACATACCTGTCGTGGGGTGCAGTTAGGGGAGCTGATAACTCACTGTGGTTGGTTTCACATTTATAGTGTGAACAAACTGCGCTTGGTTTATCAGGAAGGTTGTGCTTATGGCTGTGAAGAGCATATTTTGCTCATGATAGTAGCATCAAGGTATCTGCACTCCTGAGTTCTGTTTCTGATTCTAAGTGTAATATTGAAATGTCTCAAACTGGGTAGCTGTTGTTAAGTAAAATGTCAATATTAAATAGAAGGCTGTAGGAAATGGTTTTAAACTGAGTGCTACATGAGTGCTACATGAATATATTTTGCAAGGGAAACAAAATCTAGCATTTCTTCTGGGTGAAGAGATCTACAATCTCCCTTTATTTGCAGCACTTTTAAAATAAGTGTGTTTTGTTTAATTAGCTCTTTTCTTACCCTAGTTTGCTTCTATTTTGAGTTGATATTTTTTCTGCTTTTGGAAATTTTTAGCTGTGTGGGGAAATCTTGTCCCAGCAGGCCTGTCTCTCACTCTCCTGTATCCATTGCTCTTTCATCCTCTGTCTCTGTGTTTGTCTACAGGAGCCCTTTGTCCAGACCCGGAAGACCAATGCTCTGCCCCTCCAACCTTCCCCAGAGGTCAGACCCTTACCATCTCCTGCTCAGGTCTCATTTTCAATAAATATAGTGCCTTTTCATGGCGGGGGACACAAGGGTTCTCCGCTGTTGGACAGAAGCGTCTCTAGCAGGCCAGCTGCCACATGAGATCCAGAATCGGATCAGATTAAACCCTTTTGCCAGTTAGTAGTTATCCAAGGATCTCATCCAGACCTTTCTTGATAGAAGCCAGCATATCAACTTCAACAACATTTTTTAATCTTGATGTTTTTTATTGTTGTTACCAGTGTTTGCCATTTTTCATGATGGAACTTGATCTTTGTTCCTTCTGTAAAATCAGAGTAAAATGCATTAATTATTTTTCTGTGGAGTATTTCTAAGAGGTTTGAACTGAACATGAACTGGACATTACTAGTTTCTTTTCCAGAATAAAGCTTCTGCATTTGCACTGATTAGAATTGTCAAGATGCCCCTTCAAACACTTCTATGAAGAGGCAGCGCTGTGAACACATGGAATTTCACATATGGGAAATCTGATCTTTCTTTGTTTTTACTGAGAAAGAGATGTCTCTGCTGAAGTGTTTTGGCTACTAGGTCAATTTTAACATAACCTTGGTAACATCGTTAAGGTAGCCTAAACCAAAATATTTGAACAGCTAACAAGAACACATCGAGTGAGTGCGCATAGGCAGGAGACCAGCTGGCAGTGATATACCAGGACCATGCAGGTGGTCTGCACCAGTCTGGCCCTACTGTGAAGCCAGGGGTTCGAGCCAATGAACCAGTCTGGCCCTACTGTGAACCAAGGGGTTCGCAAAGGACAAGAGACAAGCTGGCACTGGTCTGACCCAGTCTTGTCCTGCTGTCGAGGTGGGGGGCTGAGCCCTGTGTTGTGGTCCTTGCAGCCGGAGCTGGAAAATGAGGTGTTTGTGCCAGAGGAGGAGGGAAGGGGAGAGGGGGAGGGGGCGGCCGCAGCCCCCTCCACAGCCCAACGCCCCCTGGCCTCGGACAGCGGGGACCCTTCCTCTCACCGCCAGGACTATCTTAGCCTGGCCGCAGTGCCGCGCATCACCAGGCCCTCCCTGGAGCTGCAGGTACCCGCGCCCATGCCGCGCTGGCACCGAGCAGGATGAGTTGCTGGCCGGGAAGCTGCAGGCAGTATTTGTGGGGTTCTAGCCCTGGCTGTGATCTCTTGGCTTCTGGGCGCAGTGGTGATGTGGTGACGGGCAGGGAGCTTTCCTCGTTGTGGTGGTTGCCATGGTCCTGTGGCGCTGGGATTGGGACCCTCCCTCTCCGTGATGCCACCCCATTTCAAAGCAGCACATTTTTTTCTTTGCTGGTGTGGCTTGATATAAACTAGCAGTGTAGAAGGAATTTGTAATGTACATGCTTCTGGAATACTAAAGAAATCCAACAATGTAACTATTTTCTCCCTTATCTTGCTCTAACACTGTTTCATTGGCTTCTTGGTTGAGTACATTTTGTCTGTTATTGTGTTATGTTGGGACAACAAAGTTTGAATTGAATAACAATGTAATGGACCCAGCAGTTACCAGCATTGATGGTACCCACATTGCTTTCCCTGAGCTCCTCCGCACACACAGGGTTGAATTGCAAATACAGGCTGTCCTGTCTGACCAGGGATCCCCAACCCTCCGCAGGTTCCCACCTCGAGTGGGTTGGAAAGCCCGGAGCAGCGCTCCTTCCGGGACAGACAAAAGTACTTCGAGATCGACATGAAGCAGCAGACGCTGGACAGCAAGCCCAAGCCACGCGTCTCACTGGTTGGAGAAGACGACCTGAAGAAGATGAAGGAGGAGGAAGGTGAGCCATCACTGCTAAAGCGATTCATTCAGATTTACCAGGAACATACTGGACCCATTATTCTTAATTGATATAAACATTTAAGTTTTCGATTAGATTAGTTTTAGGTTGTTAATTAATACAATCCTACTTTGGTCTTTGCACAGCACTTAGATAAACTCATAAGGTTTGTGTTCAGTACTGGAACACAGAACCAGACTGTCCTCCTTTCCCATGACAGAGAGTTACAGGCCTGTCTTTCTGTGTGTGTGTGTGTGTTCCAGTGAGGAAAATGGAACAGCGGGCCCAGGAGCTCCTTCTGGATGAGGAAGACGAGGAGGAGGAGGAGGACCTGGCCAAGCAGATGGCGGAGATGAAGGCCCAGGGGAAGGTGGTGATTGACGGGGTGGAGTACAAGATTGAGAGAGTGGATGGCCACAGCTCCACCTCCCCCACCACAGGGTACTGTACTGCAAGGGTCTCTGACTTAGCGGCCACCTGTGCACCAAGGCTGTAGGCCAAAGCCAGCTCCCTCAGAAGAATGCTCTGTGAATGTGTTGCAGTGCTGTTTCTCATTTAACGCTGTGGTTTTAGTTCTGTTCATCTATAAGCTGATGAAAATGTTGTATGTTTTGTTGAGTTAAACATTTCTGTTTGGGCCACCACCAGCTCATCACTGACAGCAACACGGTGCAGGAACAATTTCCATTAAAATAAATAATTTTAGTTATTTTATCTAAGAATGTAGCTTAGCATTTGTGGAGTGGCTCTGGACTGTAACGTCTGAACTATAGGAAGTGTTTATTTAGACCAACTGAGAATTCTGCAATGTTTTTGTCAGATTGATCCTTACTAATTCACTGCAGATGAGTGACCGTAGGCCAAGCCTGTTGAACCGTCTGTCCCCCTCTGTGTTCCCAGGCTCCCTCAGTCAGGAGACAGGAGAGGAGACTCACTGAGGAACTCTCTGGAGGATGACTTCAGGCCCGAGCAGAGACCCAACTCCATGACTGGGTAGAAAGACCTGGCTCCTCCTTCTCCCCTTGCTTCATTCCTGACACCAGCGCCTTTTACTTCTGGGGCTGGAGATCCACCAACCAGTAACAACAGGCTTTCACAGCAGTCATGTAGTTTTTATTTTCATAATAAGAGACTCATACATGTTCACAAAAGGGGAGTATTTTAGATGTGAAGTAAAGCAGAAACTATTTTAAAATAAAATTCTAGTTGGAGGTTGGATGGGATGACTGGACTGTTGTTGGAGCTTCAAGGTTGGAGTTGGAGGGTGATTATTATGCTTTACTGAAGACTCTGGATGATTTAAGATGTTTTTTCAGAATATGGAACAGCAGCATTTTCTAATTTCAATGAAGAAATTGCATTTAACAGAATTGGTACCTTTCAAACCCAGCCTTAGATAACCACATTTTATATCCCAGTCAAACTGTGATGTTATGTTTAACCTTTATACTAAATACTGATTGAAGTTAAGATTCTTTAGTGACAGGTTTTTTCCACCTATAAAACAGAACACAGGTTACAAGCAAGAGGCCATTCAGGCCATCTAGTCCACTTGGTAGTTAGTAGTTGATCCGGGGATCTTATCCAGATATTTTCTGAAAGAAGCCAGGGTTTCAACTTCAATAACATGGCTGCTTAGCTTGTCCATACCCCCACAACCCTTTGTGTAAAGGATTCCCCCTGACTAGAGTAGGACAGTAGAGTAGGACATCTCCTTAAGCCCCAGAATATACATGGGTGCTAATTGTAAGAGTTGAAACTTTGCAGGACTGGGAGCTGAGAGCACCTCTCTTGAATTCCCCCTGGTTCAGTGTGAGGTCTGTGGTCATTGGAGATTGTTTCTGTGTGCTCAGCCTCAGCCCAGTCTACCCCAGTGAGCCTAGCGCTCCGATCCGCACAGCCAAGGCGGAACGCCGGCACCAGGAGAGGTTGCGCATGCAGAGCCCGGAGCTGCTGGTTGGCCAGGACAAGGAGCTTTCGCCCGCAGAGAAACGCGCCTTGGAAGCCGAGAAGCGGGCCATGTGGAGAGCCGCACGGTATGCGCACAACCCACTGGGACTCTGACCGAAATATAAATTTCATTTACTTATGATGCTATTCTACTAGCTGGAAAAGATCCAGATGCCATTTAGTCTGACCCCAGCATTATACCTCTCCCGTTTTGCTGTGATTCTGTGGCCTTTTTCCCTTAGGTCATAGGTCATTGGTCAGCGAGGGCTCGAAGGGAGCTTTTGAAAGCATGCTTATAGAAAGCAGACTGGTGATTGTGGGGTTGACCATTGGGGAATTGTGGGTGGATGTGCGCTCACATGAATCATTTCCAACAGGCAAAGACATAAAGGCCCAGTAGCCCAATGAGTACATTTTTCCTCCTGGTCTGTCTGTTGCATCTGTCTTTTCCCATGTTTACTTTTGTGAGAAACCATTAGAGGCAAGCTGCATTTCCATTGAAGAGAGACTCTTTATGATATGCATATAAAAAAGTACAACAGGTATCTGGAGTAATCAGATTCATTTTTACCTCTAAAAAAACATTAAAGTACTTTACGAAGAGATGTTGCAATTGGGCAGTGCTGAAGAAGACTCTCTTCCTCTTAATGTGAGCACTGAGGTCAAATAACCTTTTCGGTAGCAGCTGACTGTCCCAGACAGATCTGTGAAGGATAGGCAGGTTGGTCTGTGTTCAGAACTGGTTTGAGCGGGGAGCTAAAAAATAAGTAGCGATTAGTTTCTAGCTGAAAGGTAGAAAGGCAAAAAAACTATGTTTTGGCAGTAAAATGTGAAGGAAGCCAAAATGTAGTTTTTCCATCTTGCTACTTTTCAGCACGGAATTAATTGTGTTCAGAATTGTGTGGACTAGAAGAGATTGTGAAGCTGTGATCCCTCGCTGTGCAATCTTCTGTCTTCCTCAGTTTTTGATTTCTGTTCCTGGTAGGTGTTGCATCCCCCCCCCACTTCCTGTACTTTTTGGTGTTTTACTTCCCATTTCTCTGTTTTTTCCAACCTTTCTCTTTCTCTGTGTCTTGTGTCTCTGTTCTTCTCTTCTGTTGGGCCTCTCTCTCCTATCTGTGCTTGAATGTGCCCCCTCTGCCCCTCCTGTCCTGCTCAGACCCCGGGGGCTGGAGGAAGATCTTAGGCAGTATGAACAGGACCTGGCCAAGAGGCTGTACCAGTCTCGACAGAGGGCATCGCAGGGCGCTGCCGCCAGCCCCCTGCCCATCGCCTCCCAGCACAGGTCTGCCCACTGACCTGCATGGGTTCCGAGAGGTGGGGGGAGGGGACGGGGAGGTCTGGATTTGTGTATATTTGTACACGCGTACCCCTGATGTCAGTAAGGAGGCACTCTCTTTTCACCCTCTCCTCATATTTGTCTCCCTCTTTGGCACTCTTTCTCACTGGCTTCTCTCTCCTTGTCTCTCCAGTCCAACTCCCTCTTATTAGGGCCTCTCTATATCTTCCAGGATGAAATCTCTGGAGCAGGATGCTCTGAAGGCCCAGATGGTCATTGCCAAGTCAAAGGAGGGGAAGAAACGCAACACTCTGGACCAGCTGGCGGAGTCACCCTCTCCTGCCCCCACACCTTCGCCCACACCCCTGGAAGGTCAGGCCTGCAGCACAGTATCTGTAGCAGCCCCAGCAGTATGGTTCTGATCTTTATGTGACACTGGTTTCCTTTACTTGCTCCTCTCTTCTGCCGTGACAAATGAGCAGAATTCTGAACTGTTAGTGTAAATCATTTTTAATTTCGTAGCACTTATTTTCATTGTGTTATCTAGTGAAAAATGAAGCATAGATTAGTATCGGTTTGGGCATCAGTGACACCATGTATTTGGACAGTACACTTAAATTGCAGGACATATGGTTTATTAGTAGTTCTAAAACTACTGCCTTAATATTTATTGCTAGAAAATGTATTTGGTATATTGCTGTGTCTGTTCGAGAGCTCAGTGGCCTGTTGCTCTGTTCTTTTCCATTCTAGATTACAGCCCCAGAAGCGTGACGTCGCCGGGGAGACTGGTAAGATGCTCTAGAACCTTTGTGTGACAATGTAGCTGAGCCAGAGTGTCTCAGTTCTGTCAAGAAGATGGTCTTTTATATTATTTCCCTCTTCTGGCTTTACTGTATGCCATTATTTTTATACCTTATTGTTGATTTTGTTGATATAAAAAGTTAGCTCCACTTTAATCTGGGATTGCAGGAAGAGTTTATTTCCGAATGTTCCCATTCTTGACGTAGCAGAATTGGAGCGATCATATTAAACCATGTTTTCTCCTTAAGATATTCAAGTTGATATCTGATGACTTTAGTAAATTGTTTTCTTCCTTCAGTAGTAGCTTTCCTTTTTTCACAGGGCATCTGTTCTCTTCTCACTCCACTGTGAGTGTGCAGAGAGAGAGGGAAGGAGGGCGGGGCCTTTCGTAAAGTCAGCCCTAGTCATCCCCTTGGCCCCTGACCTTTGTTTATTACTATATCCCTGTCTGCAAGCGGCTTGCCTTATATCCATGAACTTCCCATCAGAATGAGCCAGACCTAGCTAAAGAGGAGAAGAAAATGAAAGTTACTGTTGCTCACCGCAACCTAGCAGTGCATGTTTTCCTGTGCCCTCATATAGATAATGTCTCAGTCTCGGCGATGCTGCTTCTGTAACCGAACAGCAACACAACAGGTCAGACCAACATCATCACTGCCATCAGACTCGCTCTAACAACAAGACCTCTGCTTCTCATCATCACTCCCATTTTCATTTCCACACAACACGTTTTGCCCTTGTCAAGTCTCTCTCAGGAACCTCAACACAAGACACACAGACACCAGGTAGCTTTAGCTCCATCTCAGTCTGTGGTTCCTGAGCTCAGAGTAAAATATATCTTTGTCACTTGAGACCTCTCCTACAGTCCGGTAGTACAATAGTCTTACACCTTTATGGGATAAATGATAATGCAACCCAAAGAACCATTGTTCTTTCTTGTTGTTTATATTAGAAAAAAGTAAATAATTTACTTTTTATTGAAAAGTAATCTACATACTCCTAAGCTACAAAAGACCATCTCTATCAATGTTTGTAAAAACAAAAAAAAATAATCGACCTGTTTGAGCATGGCCATGGTGGTCACCACTGCCTTGCACCCCTGGCCCTGCGTTCCACCCAGGTGCACCTTTCTGTGTGGAGTTAACATGTTCTCCCCATATTCAGATGGGCTTCGGTTTCTTCCAACTTCTCAAAGCCGTGCGTGTTTGATTTGACTATGCTAAATTGTCCCAGAGGGTGCCTGGGCTCCCCATTTCTTTACCCCAGGAGATGCCTCAGACTCTGAAAGAATTCAGTGTTGAGCAAGTGTATGTAATATTATCCTAACATTTTAAAATAAGGAGCAGTAGACACTATATTTCACACTAGCCCATGTAAAGCCATGTATATGAAAACCAGTCTCTCAAACCCATCCCAACCGGTGACACACTCCAGGGCCATTGACAAGTCCAGGAAAAACACACACCTTCACTGTGGTAGCATTCTATCCCTCCTCCTCTCTCACTCCTCTCTGCTGTCCCTTCTAGTCCCTGTCGGAAAAGAAGTTTGACTACCGACAGTTTGCTGCAATTCCTTCTTCCAAACCTGTATACGACATCCAGGTATCACCTGCATGATAAGCTCCCAGAGCTCAACACCCCTTCTTCTCTGCAAAACCCCCACCTATTATTTCTTGTTACATCTCAACCCTCTACCCCAAACCTACTAATGCCTACACCCCAACATGCTGTGTGTCTAGGTAAAGAAATCCGGGCAACAGCACCAGATTGAATCACCTCCTCACTTGTGCCCTGTCAGCTCTCATTATTAAGGTGATGAGTTGAGTATATCAAGGTCATCATGAATGATCAATTAATGAAAATTCCACAAAAAAACATTTAACTAATATCCAAAGTCTGCATATTATTCTAAAACCACCCATTTGTATGGATGTAAATAAATAACCCTGGGTTTAAAAACCTTTTGTTGGAGCACATTTGCTGTCTGAGATGATTTACACATTACTAGATCTTGGGGTGAATTGGCTTTAATTTCTGGGGACCCCGTGGACAGAGTCTGCTTCCCCAGATGAAAACTATTGCTCTGAAGTATAGCTTTGAACTGAGATGCTCAAAGAAGGTGCTTCTGGGTTGACATCAGTTTCATCTTGTATTTAGATTACTTTCAATTTGATATTTTGCTTAATTTCTTGGTAATGATAAAGGTTTACAACCCAGATTTGAGGACCAGACTATAAAGACTGCTGATGTCTTCGAAGCCACCAAAACAACTGTGCTATATTTTGACCTGGTATTTAAATATAGAACATTCTGCTGATTAGAACAGCTGCAGAAGCTTTAAAAAGCAGAGTTACATGACATGACATGACATTCAGTAGTGATACAACTTAAATATTTACCCAAGAAAAGAAACTTCATAATGATCTCACAATGGAAGAAGGTCCTGGGACATTGTTTACATTTGTTCTGGATCAGCATCTGATATTCATTACCTGATTTCCCATTACACATAAATGGAAAAATCTTCGTAACAATCACTAGGAAAGAAACCTCCACTAACTACCACACTCTCCCCTTTCCTGAGACCAGGTAAAAGTTGGACCCCTTCCACTCCACCCTCACCATTCTCTACCACTCAGCTCTCTCACCAAGTGCAAAGGCTCATGGGACTGATTTCAGACTCTTCAGTCACTCCACTAACCAGTTGTCTTCAGTAACAACTCCACTGTCTCCTCCTCTACTTTGTTCACCCTGTGTGTCCTCTAAAGGGACCAGCGTCGTTAAACAAGGGGGTTTTGAGATGCTGAGAGAGCAGGAGAAGCCTGCTGTTCTGTTTCAGCTGCTGATGGATTGTCTGTGCTCCCGTCTCTGTGTCTTAACCCTGTGGGACTGGGGGTTGGGGGGCAGTATTGAGTTTCCTAATTGTTATTGTGTATTTTGAGTTCATTAAAGACTGTCATTCCACACTAATAGGCCACCAGATGGATTCAAATCTATATGCAGCTAAGCATCAAAATAATTTCCCCTCATCTTCAGTACCACAAGATTGTCTGTGAAGAATGTGGTTTTGAAAAATATACATAGTTGTGTGTTCATTCATCTTTTGGTATGAAAATTCAACTCTCCAAATTAAAAAAATAACCAGACCTAAATAACCCTTAAGTAAGTTACATTCAAAAGATAAATGATGTTTTGAGTGTATTTCCCCTACATTTTTATCTATACAGTGCAGTATTGATTGAGGGCTTTTTTGGCTCTTTGATTACGTTCTGAAAAACACACTTGGAGGGGAAACCACTGTACATGGTTCTTTGAAAAGCTCTTACTTTGGGGGACTGGTGGACCTCTGAGAGGGGAATGAAGTGACAGTGTTTGTGTGTATTAATCTGCGTGAGTAACACACGGGCGGCACTCTTGGCCTTCTCCTGGAGCCCTGGGATGAGCTCTTGCTCTCGCAGGAGGAGAGCTCTGGGCGCCGTGTGAGCCTCAGCGGAGAGCAGGTGCCTCTGTTCTCCCATGGGCGCTTTCCATAGATGGGACATCCTGACATGGGCTCGGGGAAGCGTGGAGAGTGCTGCCGCTGGAACACAAGGCTGGACTCTGTTTCGTGTCAACTTGAGGGAAGCATGTCCACAGTAGAGTTGGGGGGGGCTTGTTGTCTTGTACGCTGTGGATTAAGGATGTGTCTGGTAATATGAAGTGTGTGGAGTGAGCGCTCTCGTCCAATGGTGTCTGTACTGGAGTCTGGTCTGCACTGTGTTGTATTTCTGCATGGGTGACAGAATGCCACGCATGATATGCTGACCCCCCCAGTGCATGTGACCCCCACCCCCAAGACTTTCCAGGCCTTACAGTTACACAGATACCCAAAAATCCCTGAACCAACTTCTCACCCTTTCCTGCCCCCATGACATCACTGTGCCACATTTACTGTTAGTAGGGCCCCTAGAAGTCCAGCAGTCCTCCATTCTCTGGGACCTTGAATTGCTTGTCCTGTTTGGATGCAAGTGGTGTCCACCATAGTGCCTGTATCTCTGCAGGCTGGTTTGCAGATACAGTTGTATCTTTTGTGCTATGGACTGTATACTGATTGATCTGACTCAGGGGGCACAGCCTCTTGTTCTTCTGCAGAATCAGTACAGGATCAAGAACCTTTCCTGTTAAGTTCTTTATCCTCTAAACTCTGTCACTCTGTCTTTCTGTGGTGACGTGAATATTTTCTACACAGAAAATAGTGGATTTAGCAGAATGAGCGATGAAGATATTTGAGTGCCTTTTGCTCGTAAAAATACTTTTTTATGGTTTTTACATTAATGGAGTTAATGAATTGGCAGTGGCCAACACCCTGAAACAGATTAGGAAACCATAATGATAAAGAAACAAAGCGTGACCCAGTGAAGTGTTCTGTCCTCTGTGCTTCATGCCAAGTTATTTTTTATCTGATGTCTGAGAGGTAGACAGAAGTTCAGCCAACCCCCAACCCACCTTCCTGTGAATCCTGCCCTGGTGAGATGGTGGTGGTTCAGGGATGAGGGATTTTCTCAGTGGAGGGTCTGTTATTCCTGTCTTGTCTGTCTTCTGTTCTCACCCTCTGTTCTTCTCTTTTAGTCTCCGGACATCAGCGGAGACATTCATTTCATAGACGACAATTCTAACAGTCCAGGTGAGTTTGTGTGCTCTCTTGCCTCTGTTGCACAGAGGTCTGAGTTAACCAGGGGTTTTAGGACCATGCTGGTCTGTTACGTGACTGGTAAAAGTACTTGGAAAAAATATTTTTTTATATTTTCTATGCCTTGCGCACTGGACATGCGACTGAAAAAGGACATTTAGAAATAATTAATACTCTCCAATAAAACTTCATTTAGCACCAGTTGTCAGACAAATCTTTTATGGGGACATAGTGTAGTTTAATTAAATAACTAACTTGCTGTTTTATTGCCATATTGTTTATCAAGTGTTTACAATACAATGTCTACTTGACAAAACAAAGTCTTGATTTTGATAACAAGCACTATTTACCTTAAATACAACCACTATAAGAGTCAGTTTTTCTCTTGGAGATGGTTTCTCCCTCAAAGTCAGGTGTCAACTAATGTTAATGCTGTTTATAAACACAAGAGAAACAAGCATTCACTTGCATATACAGTATCCTAGAGAAAAGTTTGTCAACATAACACAGCTACAGTACATATAACTGGAAGGCTTTGGGTTAAACTCCTAGACCAAGCACTGCTCTTGTATCCTTGAGCAGTGTACTTCGATATAGATGTTATTCAATTTGGATAACAGCAGCAGCTCAACAAATTAATAGTAGTTTGTTCAGTAGACTGCAGTACAGGGATGCAGGAGGTAGTGCTTCTTCAAGTAGAACCCATGCCAAGCACACAGCATGTTTCCCTTTGTTGCAACAATACCAAAATTCGTTTGATTGTATGGGGTCTTCTGAGGAGTTTTATCATACAAGTGCGATAGGAATGTTGTATAAGAAGTGCAGTATTCCACTTTTCTAGCTGTCTAGTTATTTTTCCTTTTAGAGTCAGCTGAATTGCCATTTCAGTTTCAGGTTCCTATCTAAAGGCTTGAAAGCTGTGCGCACAGCTGGCAGTATTCAGCTACCTGGAGCTGGAAACTGCCAGTTTAACTATTTATCTTTGTGCCTTTCAACAGTGGCATAAACAGCATATTTAAGCATATCCTGGGTTCAGAGTTGATTGTTTTAGCAAACATAATATACTTTTCAAAGAGATTGTGGAAGTGGGATTTTTGGTGAAATGTGCTCATGGTCTTGAATTGCTTTTCAAATTTTAATTTAGCTCACAGAGAGCCCTTGGCTGAGGCGAAATGGAGAACCTCAAACAGCATAGGAAAAAGAGCATTACTGAACATTCACTGTCTCTCTTAAGACTAGGAAGCATAAACTATACTGGATTTTATCAGACATTTTTTGATTTGTGCTTTTCTTCAGTTTCTCGTTTACTGATGGCAGCCTAATTATTCCCCTGATTCAGGTGGATTCCTGGGATAAGCGGCTGTGAGATTTTGGTAGGATTTGAGTCTCTCTCTGTCACGATGATGATTTTATTCCTCCTTTCTGTTTGCTTCTCTTCATGTCAGTCTGCTGCTGCCGGCATGAAATCCTGGAAGGAGGGTGGGAGGGGTTTTACTATCAGGGCCCATTAACACCTTCCACAATGTTTTCAGCACAAAAGATGTTTTGCAGTGGTGCTTTATTCCTCCCTTTTTCTACTCTGCTTCAGGTGTGCAGTGTAATGGCAGTGCTGTTGATTTAAAAGATATATTAATGCATCCCTTGACACTGTGACATCCTTAACGTCATCTGATGGGATGATTTTTAGAATGAGTTGCTTGTGATGTTCGTGTTCTTCAGTATTGTTTAGTTCCCAACTCTGTTATCTCAGCATTTCATGGAGTATCACTGTGTGACAGCTGGGCCCTGACTCACCAAACCAGCAAGTGCTTCTCCTAAGTAGGGATTATATTTCTTTTTCATTGCCGTTTATTTTCCTTTAATTTCACTGGGAAGCCTTGGATTACCTAAACGTGAAGTCAGTGGTCTCAAAAAAGAAGTTAGCTGGACCAACACTATTGTAATTGAAGAGCTGACAAACTGTGCTGATTAAGCAGAAAAGCTGTTATTTTAGCTTCGTGTCTGTCTGTAAAATCTGACATGGCTAAACCTGCTAGGCACTGAACATCCTGTTTTTTCTCCAGTGGCAGGAAAGCTTCAGTTGTTATACGAGTATAAATATCCATACAATTCCAAAAAAAATTAAATTGAGCATCACTGTGCAGAAGTGGTACTGTGCTGAAGACTAGCGAGATATGGCAGGCTCAGTTTAAATTTGAAACTGTGAGTGTAAGATGCTTTGCACTGTAACTGCCCTGTCTTTGGTTGTAATTTCACTACTGTAATTTTCAACCATCAGTGTCAATAAGCACAGGAAATTCACCACATCTCTTGACTGATTTGAAATGTACTGCAAGAGGGGTTTCACTTACCAGTTTCAAAAAGAAAAATGGCACTTGCAGGTTTCCACAGGGACATGCAATAACAGACTGTAGTGTCTTGCATCGGTGTCACTGGTTTTGGTTTTCAGGTTCTGTTGTGCTATACTAATAAATCTCTGAGAGGATCAGCTGCATGTGTTATCAGCCTCCTGGGCAGCAGAAAGCAAGTGCTGACACACAGTGTTTGCTCAGGGATGGAACTTAGAGGCGCTGACATTTTTGTATTAGCTAGAAAAGATTTGGCCCACTTCTATGCACTATGTGGCTTTATTGTTATATTTGCCAACTTTAATTTTTAATATACTCAGACTCCTTTGCTTTTGATATTCATTATCTTGCTATTTGATATTTTTACTGAACCTAAAATGTGTTTTAATTATTTGCAAAAATTCATCTTTGACCGAAGTATAGACAATGCTGGAGCTGAGCTGACACTGTGAGGTGGCACTAGAACTACTTCTGCTCCCGAGGCACTGATGGTCTTCACATTCTTTAACCTGTCCCTCCAATCTGCAGCATCCTCAGACTAGCTCTGCCCTGCCCACAGCCCCACGCAGACAGGCCAGAGCAGTGAAGGAGCAAAGGGACAAATGAATCATCTAACCTGCTTTGCACAGGCGTCTTCCTCAGACTACTCATGTCAGCAGGCTTCTATAGCATGATGAAACTACTTAACATGTTGAAATCCATTGTGACCAAAAGGAAGCCCTGTGTCTCTTGCTGCTCACACTGAGCAGCGGGTAGAGAGGGATCTGGCACTGGTGGAGCTGTGAGGCAGCAGGCACTCTGGGGATGGCACTCCCTCAAGTAACAAATCGCATGGCATTGCAGTGGCAGCAGCTCTGGGCTCTCATTACCAGAGGGAGAGGAAGGAAGGGGATGACTTTCACAGGAGAGAACCTCCTTTTTGCAGGCTGTCCTGCCAGTCCAGGTTACAGCGGTATAGTGTGTGATGATTTTCTCTGGTTGCTCGTTTTGGCTCCAGGGTAAACTGACTGGCCGACTCGCAAGCTGGGAGGAATTTTTGGGAATCCTGGAAGCAGTGGATAGTAGTTTGATCTGTACCTAGATTGGGTCTTTCCACAGACCATACCTGAATGTATTTCTCAGTTAGCCCAGATAAAACACATTGCCACCAAAACGTGGTACAAATCAGTAGTTTTAAACCCTGACATAAGGGCTTGTTAATGGCTATCAGTCAATCACTTTCATGCTATCTTGGTCAAAACCAGACAGGTGGTGACCCTATTTATATAAAATACAAGCTCTAGATCCATCTATGCCTGTGTTCTTAATGTGAAGGTGAAGTTCAGTGGACGTTCAGGGCATTGGAGGTTGAATAAATCTGAATGGAGTCCTTTTGCTGGGATATGGGAGTTTCTGTATCCCTGTTTCCATTCCTCTTCCACACCGTGTCTGTTAATCATTGTACAGTGTCTGAATTCACTGCTGCTCTGTCCACTGACCATGGAATTCTCTCTCTCTTCCCCTCACGTCTTTCTTCCCAGCACCCCCTGTGGACACAGAGGCAGAAGTGCACATCCCCCTGCCCACCACCTCTGCCATAGAGGAGATGGCGCTCTACAGCAACAGGAGGAAACTGCGACACGGGCGGAGGAGCCTGGAGACAGCGGTGCCCACATAACACTAATGCAGATAGACAGTGAGAGTAACAACGCAGTCAGACTGACAGATAGGGACACACACAGCTGGGCAACACATGGACCGATAGACTCCCAACACTAAAGCTGCTGTCTGCCGACTATCTCAGCTCTGTCTTTGGAGGGAGGTGTCTGGGGGGTGTTGCCTTTGGATGCAGAACCTTTAATAGACGCTAAGGGTGTAAAGGCAGGGGGGTTAGCCTTTCTGTAAAAAAGGCCACAAGTCATTTCTTTCTTTTTCAGTTTGCGTTTTAGAAGCTGAATTATTTTAAATGGTGACTAATCATCTTTTTGTTTTTTATTTTCCCCTTTTTTGTGACCAGCTTTGTTTTTAATTTGTGTTACTTTTAATGTTGTGGAGATTTAAAAAAAAAGATGGCTGCGTTTACTAACTATGTAAACCTCAATTGGTTGTAAAAATGCAGGCTTTGGGGGTTTTTTGTTTGGGGGTGAGAGGGCATGATGTGGAAGGGTGTAAATATCCAGGGGCTCAGACAGCTTGTCAGCTGGTGGGAATTGTGGACACTTCGCTACCTTCACTGCTAACTGAATACAGGGCCTTTCAAACACTACATTTACTTCCTGCTCAGCACAGTGGTATGGCTTAGAAAAAATAACAAAATTAAACAGCCCCAGTTATTTGTTTTAGAGTAATTTATTGTTTTAGCAACTTGTTTTTCATTAAAACTTTTTATCTAGATGTAATAGTAATAATGCTGCGATACTGAGAATTTTACACTACAGTAAACCCAGGTATTGTTCAGCAAGCAATACCAGTAGGCTGTTCATGAAGGTGGTTTATAAATTAGAGAAGCAATAACGCTAGAGTTGGATGCACCAGCAACTGCAGATCAATATGTCCAGCAATTAATAAACTGGCTTGCCTCTCGACTTGAGCCCCTTCTGCAGTTTCTTTTCAGGATCTTGAAAGATTCTTGTTCAAGAATAATTGCATGACTGTAAAAACAGCCTAATGTGTTATGTTGTTAGGTGGCATTCATAAGGATGAAGGAATGTCATGAATTATTCCCACCATTCCTGCATTCTGTATGCCTCCAAAAACTTGGAATAAGGACTGAGGTGGGCATTCAAAGGCACAAACCACACTATTTGCACATATAGGTTTTTGCAGCTACACAGTGCAAAAAAAGCTTGAAATGAAACAGGCAATCATGTTTAAAAGTAAGAGCTATTTCTGTATGCCCTATTTGCAATATCACTCTTTTCATGGACCACGTTTTAACCCTTTTAAAAGTGTAAAAAGGCTGTTTCAACTTTTTTCTCAGTTTTGCAGATTTTCTTCCTTCGTTTTGCGAAGGTTGCAGCTGTTTTTTGAATTAGAAGCCACTGATTCCCTCTGATGGTGTGTTAATAATGTACAGATAATGAAGAGAAAATCTGAGCCAATAACCACACACTGCCTGGCACTCCCTGCATGTACATTGTCAGAATGATGGGATGCTTTTTTTGTAGAGACTTAATTTCTTTAGACATACATATAGCTTTGTAATTTTTTCTCCTAATTCTTATTTTGTATTAAATTCAGAATTATTTTTTTCACATCTACTGTTAATCAGAACTGATGGCTATGTTAAACAGGCAGAAAAGAAAAAGTGCTACATTGATTTTAATTTACTAATTGTTACTATTTTCTTGCTAACTGAAATTCAGTTTGGGTCATTAATCTGTGAACTGATTTTTTATTAGGTAACAGTCTTTGGGGTGGGGGGTTTTCTGGCAACTGGGATTTATCATTTGTACACAAAGCTATTTAATTTAGTTTTTCTTTAAATTCTCTTGGGGGGCTTTTTCCAAATGGGAGGTGTGGGGGGCAGTAGCTCATCCAAGACTGTAACTAGTGAATTTGTACAACCAAAGAAGTCTATTTTGTGGTTCAGGAATAATAAAGTTTACTTTTCATTTTACAGACTGATTCTGTCTCCACCTCTACTGTTTTCAAAGAAGCTGTTTTCCTCTGCTAAGATTGTTGTGGAGAGAATAAGCTTGTAAACACTTTTTATCAGTTTTGCTCTTTTCAATGCCATGGTGTTCAGTACAGTGAATACAGAGCCAACCATACCCATAATAAAATGAGCAGAATTGTTATATATGTAAAATGGAGCAGACACAGTCATGTAGCTTTGGTTTGTAACCCCTTCAACACATGGTGGCCACTCTTTTGCCAATGTGATATCTACAGTACAGGTACAGACATGCATTGGAAAAATTGGGCAATTCAACTATATTTGTCCATATTAATTAACACCATGGAGTGGTTTGCATTCAAAAATACACAAGCATATTCTGAAGCTATGCAAAGCTATATATTCTATATATATTAAAGGCTTGGCTCAGATTTCACACAGACTAGGTTTTTAATGGTATCTTGAAATTTTCCAAGTAGTTCTTGATTTGCCTCATGTATGTTCGATAATACAAATACATGACAGATTGTTTCTGTTCGACACCTGCCATTACATTTTGATATCCATTTGACATAATGCATTCAAATTATTCAGACATGATACCAACTCAAGTTTTACAACAAGCATTATTGTATTCCTAACTGTGAATTGCTAAGAAAATCTAATTCCTACTTTTTCACTTTGTATGCTCTTAAATATTCAAGTTCAGAACCCAATTGTTAAAAAGGTGCAGCTCTTCCAAATAGATGAAGTCTGTTTTGCCCACGGCTGGCTGATTTATTGCAGTAGCCTGTGGTGGCAGGCTTGTCTCAAGAGAGGCTGAGGATAGCAGGCAACTTGCTCCTGGTGTTCTGCTGTGGTGTGCTGACTGCACCTGTCCCCCTGTGCGGTTGGGGCCGAGGCGTGGCTTTGGCACGGTTCTGTGAGGACAAAGTGGGAGACTGCTACAGCTTCTTACACTGGCGGCTAGGGTTTCTTCTCTGACTGAAACTCTTCGAGTGTGTATTCGGTCATTTGAAAATGCTGAGATTTAAATTTTCACTTTTGGTGATTTAACTGATGATACAGTAGTTGAACCAGGGTACATAATGTGAAAAACTTTGAGGTTCAGTGATGTTAATTTATTCTAGTTCAGATTTCTTAGCCACCTTGTGAGAGTCCATATATGACAGCGAATCTAGCAGAAAAACTTAAAAAATATTTTAGTTGTATAGAAAGATTAGATAAATATATATATAAAGACTAAATTGTTCTGTTGCTTGTTGTGAAAGCTGAAAGTCTATTGAATTGACTCCTATTGAGGTACCATGTAGGCCCCTCGGCAGCTGTTTTTAAAGTCCTATCTCACAGTAGCATCAGGAATGTAGTCTTGATCAGGTCCCTGTCAGCGTGTGTAGGGGAGACTTGACTGAACACTGTGACCCACCCGCTTCTGAGCCTTCATGTGCGCGTTGTAGAAGGAGATGGCGCGAGGGCTGGCGGCCAGCAGCTTGTGCCGGAGACGGCTGAATTGTTCCTGCTCGTCCTTGTCCTGTTGGGACAGTAAAGAACACTGACTTTCCGTGTTGGAAATGTATCACATCTTCAACTGACAAAATTATAAAACTGTAACCAGAGAAATGCGCCGTTTTCCTTTATGTACAACTTTCCATTCTATTCCTGTTCAAAATCTAAGCAAAAATGTACATGAACAATACTGGAGAGGAGACCATTCCAAAAATACAAATTTATGGTTAACCAGACTGTTAATAATGAGATCCATCAAACAAATGTAAAATACGAAGGTCTACAGATATCACAATAAGTGGTCTGGAAACTAGTTGTTTTTTAATGCTGTAGCTGAAAGAAATTCAGGTGCTGTCCAAATTCTTCACAACTTTTACATAACATTATTCTAGGTGAGAACTTAAATTATATTTCACTTTCATCGCATATTTGTTGAACACCTGTTAAACAATTGAGGAATAAGAAATTCCAATGGAATGGAAAGGATAAAAGGCAATAACTTCAGCATTACTATAATTCTCCAGAACACAACCAACAGAAAGGGAACAGGGGGAATCTTGATTTGAACTTTGATTTGACCAGCAGTCTGAAGACATTCAGGACTTACCAGTGCTGTGGCCTTGCTGATGGGGATAAGCCCTGGGCGGATCGGACCCCCAGCTCTCAGGACACTCTGGACTTCCTCCGGAATGACAAACGACTCATTGTACCAGACCTCAAACTCTGTTGTCACACATGACACAGGCCTTAATGCAGGAGTAAGCACTTCAGTTGCTTCAGTCATCTATTTTTTTTTTAGTTTGTGTGTACTTAAATGTTTTACAAATAAACAAACACAGTGGCTTATGTTGCCATCTAGAAGCTGTGTGGTCCAGTCCAGGTCTGGAATCAGAAAATGGGGCTGTGAAAAACGTGTGATTTTTTAAGCAACTTAAACTGCTGTTTGCAAATCCCAAGTAATATCTGGGCCAGCAGCCATATCACCCTGCAACTCACAACTAGCAACCCACTGAAGCTAAGCAGGTGTGAGTCTGGTCAGTACCTGGATAAGAAACCTCTGGGGAAAAACTGGGGTTGCTGCTGGAAGAGGTGTTCGTGGGGCCAGCAGGGGGCACTCACCATGTGGTCCATGTGGGTCTTAATGCCCCAGTATAGTGATGGGGACACTATACTGTAAACAGGCGCTGTCCTTCTGATGAGATGTAAAACTGAGGTCCTGACTCGGTATTGTCATTAAAAATCCCAGAGCGTTTCTCGAAAAGAGTAGGGTGTAACCCTGGCCAAATTTCCCATTTGCCCTTACCAATCATGGCCTCCTAATAATCTCAATCTATGAATTGGCTTCATTACTCTGCTCTCCTCCCCACTAATAGCTGATGTGTGGTGAGCGCTCTGGCACACTATGGCTGCTGTCGCATCATCCAGGTGGATGCTGCACATTGGTAGTGGTGGAGGGGAGTCCCCATTACCTGTAAAGTGCTTTGAGTGGAGTGTCCAGAAAAGCGCTATATACGTGTTAGTAATTATTATTATTATCTGTGAATGGCAGACTCCTTAAATTAAATTTAGTGTCAGTACTTGATATGAGTAAAACACTAGTTTAGCTAATTTAGAAACCCTTGACCCATACAGAAATTCTGCACAACCTAAAGGCTAAAATTGGGTATTTTTAAGAAGCCTGTTCTTGTAAGGGAAGCACAGTGCAGCATTACCGGAGAGCAGCCTGATCCTGCACTGCTCCACCAGGTGCTGGCAGTATTGCACCTCAGCCCTGGTGTTGCACAGCTCCTTGTACTGAGAGCGGTACAGCCCCTTCAACTCCTGCAGGCGCAGCAGGGCAGCCAGCTCATCCTCCTCAATCACGGGCTCCCCCTCCGAAGTCAGAAACTCCCCTGGACAGACGGGAAACATTCAAAGATAAGCAAACTCTGTTCTCAGACACAGAAAAGACCATCCTAAAAAGGAAGACACATTTACATTGTAAACATAGACAAAACCTCATGTGGCAAAGCTAGTCACATTTAGCTACAGAAAAACTAAATATTCCCGCTGGGAGATGGAGGGGAATGCAACCAAAAATGTGGTACTGGAACCCAAAAGATCACACGCAAAGACTATCAGACCAGCACTCAGTAAGGCAAGCCAGGGGTACAGAATGTAAGCCAGTTAATTAGAATTACAATTGATGCTATCTTGCTTACATTTTAGCTGCTTTCTCTTGTTCATAAGATTTTATCTGACATATAATGGCATACAAATGCTCGACTTTAATCACATGCAATTGTGCTTTTGGTTTGTAAACTGATGCATCACATTAACAGAGTGCCAACCTCTATCAGTTTTGGTGCTTACCTTGCTGCTGGCGAGTCTCCCTTCTCTCCTGCAGTGCATTCTTAGCTTCATCGATCTCCTTCTTTGCCTGATTGACACTATCTGTCAACTCCCTGAGCCACTGCTTCCTCTCCAGAAGGATTTCTTTGTTCTCCTTCAGGATGCGGTTAATCTCACTCCCTCGCTCTGATTTGAACTCCTCAAAGGCCTCTGCCCTAGGGGGAGGGGAGCTAAGGGAGAGGGTTATAGAAAATGGCTATGTTTGGGGATTGTCATGTAAATGTACAGTACATGGGTGAGGGTATGAGTAGGATGTGAAGGACATAGTTGGAGTCACTGGATGGTTAGAACTGGTGGGCTACATGATGTAACATCTTTCGGATGCCCTAGGATTCTTCAGGAAGAAATTCTGCCTGTCTAGGCCAGAGGTCATATTTCTAAAGAGGTTATGGAATTATGGAAAATGTGGACAAGTTCAAATATGCATCCTATATTTCTGCATTGCATAAACCCATATGCATTGTAAAAAATTGAAAGTCCTTCATCTTTGGCTCAGGGCAACATTTGTCAAAAAGATTTAAGAAACTTCTTACATTGTGCTGGATGAAGTCTCCTCCATCATCTATCAAATTATCTAATTTAACCTACTTCCATTCCCACTGTAGCTCTTGAGTAAGCCTATATGTAGATGAGTGAATGCGTTGTCTTACTCTGGGCGGCTGTGCCGCTCCTTGTCTGCAGGATGGAGGCACTGGCTATCTAGGTTCTGTGGCTCCTGCTCCCGGCTCTCCAGCTCCTTCAGAGATACACTGAAGTGGTTCGTTCTGGACAAGGAGTTCATCTCTCCTTCCTTGCACAATCCTGGACTCCCTGCATTCTCCATCCTGATTGGGCTGGTAAGAAAGCATCAGGAATATACTATAAATGCACTACAGAACACTACTAAAGACTCTTTGGGCATGTAATACTGCATCAAACCAGAGCATCCTTTCATTAGATGTTACCATGATATCCATAGGCATAGACTGCTAATGCCAGTTTCCATGCAATCACTCAGGACAGGGGAACATCAAAAAACCTGAAAATTGCTAATGTACAGTAGCACCTGGCCATAAAAAAGGGTGGCAACCATACCACGTCATTATAGACCATTGAACCTTACTTCTATACATGTAGTTAAGGAAATTATAATTACAACTAAACTAGACAATCATTAGTATGGCAACAGAATTCTAGGGAATAGGAAACACGGATTGAAAAAATGTAGGCATAGATCTTTGTTTAACTTAGATTTTAGACTTCATTGAACTGGCTTCTGCAAGATGCTAACAGAGCATATGATACTGAATATATACTATCTATAGAAGGCTTCCGATAAAGTTCCTCACAAAATATTATTAATTCAAAGACAGGCTTGTGTTTGGACTCTGAAGTCATTATTGGAGAGAAAACAGATAAAGGGTGCATTTTTATTGGGACCCCTGCTCTTCCTAATTTATATATATGATTTAGACTCTGGTATAGCTGGTAAACGAGCCCTATTCACACGATACCAAATTAGGAGGACTTAGTAAACACTTTAGAAACTGCCAAACAAATTCATAATGATACAAAATTAAAAACTCCTGGTGAATAATCAGCATAATTCTTTTATAATGCACTCCTTGAAATTAAATCTGCTTTTTCTTTGCCTGTATTGAACTCAAAATTGCAGGGCTAACATCACAGTGTTTATGCAAAAAACATTTGAATGTGTAAAATGTATAATTTAGTTCTTCTGTAGTGTCATTTTTGCTTATACAGTACACAAAATGGTGTAAAATAAAGCTAAATGTAGAATATAAAACTGTGATTTTTGATATGCAGATAAAGTGAACAGTGAAGTGTCTGTTTTAGTAATTTGTCTGTGAATGTGAGGTGAATGCCTGTACAGCATCATGCATTGTGCATCGCAGGCAGCCCCGAATTTGTGTAAGGAGCTGAGCTCACCTGTCTCTCTTTGGCTTTGGCCTCCTGGGGCTGAGAGGCAGGACAGGCTTTGTTGATGGGGGGGCGACTCCAACCCCAAATCCACGCCCATCCACTTCTCCCACAGTTTCCCTCAGTGCTTCAGCCTGAAACACAGGTTGGGCTGAGCCAGACACTCAATAATCAGAGAAATGAAGTGCAAGATGGGAAGATGGAAGATTCCCGTTAGAGATGTGTAGGCTCTAACAGGAAGGTAGTGTTAAGTAAGACAATCTGCAACTGAAGTAAGAGGGAAACCATATACAGTGATTTACAGATTCTTAACCATCCTGTTACTTAATTTAAAAAAACACTTCACCAGGTCTTATTAAAATAACCCTTGTGCAAGTGTGGGAAGGATAATGGCGGTGAGCATGCACTATCAGAAAGGTGCAGTTTCAAGCTACTTGTCAAATGGAAGACTCATGTATCTCTCACTTTTAGAACTGCAGTCTCAAGGGCTTCCAGCAAGCCACTGGGATCACAGCTAATCATGGATACCTTGATGGACTGTCAAACAGCACTGGCAACTGGAGACATCTGATCGCATATACAGTAAGTAATGAATGATGTATAGGATTCAACTTGTGCTCCAAATAAATGCCTTAGTTGATTGAGAATTCCCCTAAAGCCCTGCAATGGACTGATATCCCAACCAGGGTGTACCCTGCCTTGCGCCCATTGCTGGCCAGAACTGGCATTCAAGAAGTAGTTAGAAAATGCATGAATGGACCCCCTTCATTTAATTTTTAAACTATGCCTATGTATAGGATATAGATGATGTTTATGTATTTCTTGCAGCTTTCCAGCATAAAGTATCCAAAAATTGTATGTATACTGTATATATAGTCATAAACTATACAGTTTTATAAAACTCTTGATTGGTAAATACTTTTGCTTATGCTTCTTTATGTACTGTATTTCCAACCATTTGGAGTTTGTTTCTGGGTTAACATGCCCTCCATCTTCTGAAGCATAAACACCTGTGACAATTTGAAATAGAAAAGTGAAAAAGCTGCAGCTCCTTATGAGAAATAACCAAGAAAATTGAAACTTTACTTTAAATGGTTACCATTATTTCTCAGTTATTTCTTCTCTGGTGTGTAGATGATATGCAAATAAAACACCCAAAGAAGGCTCCACAACTGACTATTACTAATCTGAAAAATAAACCCTTATACACAGCAGATGAGATTACAAAGAAGAAGTGCTGTGCAACGTATTGTCTATTTAAGATGTATCTACAAGTTCAAGAATCTCCTTAGATCAAAATAACACAATAGAGCACAACTGCAACAGTATATAGTAACAAGTAATAGGTTTATTCCATGCTGAAAAAAAGAAGAAAGAGAACACAACGTTTCGGCCGTGGAGCCTTCTTCAGGTGTGAGAAATAACTGAGCACCTGAAGAAGGCTCCACGGCCGAAACATTGTGTTCTCTTTCTTCTTTTTTTCAGCATGGAATAAACCTATTACTTGTTCCTTTGCAGCCTACGCATGCTGACGCAGCTACCCACCTGAACTACAACAGTATATAGTAGCCCACTGGACTATAAATACCCACTTGCCATGCTCAAGCATGGGCTTAAATAATTTGAACATCTGAGTGAATACAGAAATGATTTAAAACAGACATGTGCAAATCATATTCACTTGGTAAAACTGCAACCCCTTTGGTTTCCGCAGCTGAGGGGTTTGTGTTTCTTAAAAAGAAAATCAATAAGCTTTGCTTTAATGCTTTATGTTCTAGCTACAAGTTCACTCTAGCCAAGTCTCCAAAACAATGCATATAACAAAATCCCTTTCTTGCACCACCATTGTCTTTTTTGAAACATAGCCTTGCTCTAACTCTTTATACCCTTTTACTTTAGGAGAAAAGTGTCTTGATAATTTATCATCTCATAAAATTCATTTCTGAGCTGTTTGACTACATTGATTTTCTTATGCAAGATTATCATTTAACCCTTTCACTTAAAAAACAAGGGAAACCAGGGGCTTGCACATAAATATTAATCAAAAACAGACTGGGTCTGTTCACAAGCTGAGGATTGGAAAAACCTCGTAAATTTGTACAGCGACTGTAGGGAAATCAGTTCAGTTAAGTAACTATAAAACTTACTATAGAACCATAACCATAAACCTCAGCACCTTCATTCACAAGAAGACAAAGTGTGAGCCCCTCCCTGCCCACTGCAGTCACACCCACCTTGGCAGCAGCACAGCTGCCGGTGCTCTGGGGACGCTCAGCCAGGGTGAACTTCTGGCACAGCCGCACCTCCACTTCCTGCTCCTGCTGCCTGCAAAAGGCACAGCTGATGTCAGACACAAGCAGCATTTCCTGACAGTCCATGCAGGCTGGTAACGCACAGAAGCATGAAGGGATCAGCCCAAATTCTGCCTTAGACAGCAGTATAACAAAATGTGCCTTTTTTTTAACACGGTGGGAGTATGAATAAATTAAGCTGAGTGATAAAATATGGCACTAATATTCCTACAAATAGTGAATAGTGAGTACAGGTAACACAACTGTACAATAACAATCGATGATCTGCAATCATAATCCAATTATATCACTGAAATAAAGGCACTAAACTTATTTTTCCAACATGCTGAGCTACAGTACTTGTATTATTTTCATTAATTCACGCACATATTCTTGACATGACATTTAGTAATTTGGGGGTATTAAGGATAGCTCCTCTGACAATTAAACCAGAAACAAGGTCAGACTGCTGGCATTTCTTGAATACAGGAAGAGCAGTGCTTGAAAAAAGTTACATACTGGCATGTATAAAAAAATACTATGGTAATGAATTTGAGTATTTGCAGGATATTTGTTGCTTATGGTTAATAATTGCAAAATTAGTAACAGGCAGAATGTTTTGCTCTGTCAGAGCTCAACACATATTAGTCAATCTAAATTAATGTTAATGGGAAATTCAAATGCTGAGTGCAGGAGGTCTGAAAAACATGTTCACATCACAAAGCACAACTCTTCACAGTGTCCGCGCTGTGGTTATAGTTAAAAATAGATGGGTGATCACATGGTCTCACAATCTAAAAACACACAGGGACAGGTTAGAACATTACAGCTGCACTTCAAATAAGTTAAGTGTTATACCTTTGTTAACATATCTTTGGTTCAACATCAAGCACAGCAAACAATAACACTGATCAGCTACTCCTTGCACTGAATGAAGTTGAGCACAGTGATATTAATCTGATATGGATAAACACCAATTTTTACTTACAGGTAACTGCAAAAAAAATACAAAATTAAATTAAAATATCAAGAAAAAATGAAAAGGAAATGTATTTTTTAAAATAATTTCCTAAAAGAGTATTAATGTTCAGCTATGCACAGTAATTAAGCACCAATATTCAATTAATTAATGTCAAAATCTTTACAAATAATTTACATTTCAATTTCCTTTCATTTAATGGCAACTTTAAAATCCTGTCCTGTCTGATTATGGGACCACACAGTCATCCCAGTTCTATTTGTTAATAAGGTTGATGGAGGTATTGATGTAATTATTAGGGATATATAACCAAAGGGATTAATTGCCAGGTTTTAGGTGAGTGAATTTGGAAGAAAAGACTTGAAAAGGGTACAGATGAAAAAAAATAAACATGAGTTTATAATATTAATATATTGTATATTACAGCATTCTTGCAAATTAACTACTGTTTATTTTTTGCAAGTCATGTATAGCATGAAATTTTAAATACATAATCTAATTCAACTGCAGTGTGAATTTGAGTGAACATTTTTACATGTCTGGGAGGATATTAGCAGAATGTGGTCCTGTTATATGGTTTAAATATTCAAATGTCATTTTCATAAATAAGCGATTTCTAGTTAGTCAAGCCAATCACAAGAAATCTTTCAATTAAACCATAATAAACACACATTCAGTATATGAAGCCCTGTGTGTCCCTGAGATGGAATCGAATACTCAGACACATTACCATCTATGATTGCAAACACCCTCATAAAATTTAGTTCTAAAGATTGTCAAAAACCTGAACATACAGTTTATAGATTGTACTCAGATGGTGAGTACCATCTTTCCAAGCTCAGCACTGAGGCACTGATATAACATTTTACACTGAAATGATTAGACATAAAGTCGAAGGTATTTCTGAATGAGAAACTATCACTTACTGTAGAATCACTTTAAACTGGGCAAACACCTCCTGTATCTGTCTAATATTAACAATCTGAAAAATAAATTAGAGAACAAACACAGTACACAGAAACTTTACATTTCTTCATAGTTTATATTCTCTTTAAATGCAGGAAGAAGATTGTTCTACAGTATAAATTAAATTAAATTTTACATACACTATTGAAGTATTTTAGCTTTTTTCTTTCCAGGTGCTATTGTAGGAAGAATTGGTACATTAGTACATACTGGCTCACATCTACACTGCCAATGAAATTGGTCAATTTTAAAACTAGTTAAATGCCAGCATGACAACAGGTCCTCACAGACTGGAATCTGGCATCTCTGCTGTGGCTGTCTCAGAAATACTAGTGGATTTGCCATCTTGGGTACTACAGTTGGACACTGCTGATCCAGAGGCTGTACAGATTGGAGGCAGTGATGTTTCTCTCACATCTATCTCCTCCACTGTTCCCTCCAGGTACTTCCTGACCTGACCATGGATCTCAGCGATCTGATTCTCGGTCAGAGCATCATACAACCCCGAAGTCCGGTTAGCCTGACAGAAGAGGAAGAAAATAAATCACATGTGATCAGTACCCATGCTTCCAGATATGAAAGCAAAGAGGGCTTCACTATAAACATGAGCATTATAATATCAACCCATGCCATACAAATTATGGTTGTAATTTTAACTACACATCTCAAAAACATGTATAATGTATAGATCTTTAATAAGCACATTATACAGTATGTTTAAAAGACATCAGTATATGCAACAGATATGCAGATTACATAAACAGAACACATGAATCATATGCAGGGCTGATGCTCTGTACAGTATTGCCTCTGGTCAAAGGGTAGAAGTTAACTGTTGTCTCCTCACCAGTATGTCATGAATGGCCAGCTCCTGTTTCAAAAGCTGGATCTCCTTCTCCAGTATCTTCACCTGCAGCTGGAGAATAAGTAAAAGATACAATTTTAACACCAAATACACAAACCCATGCATGATGTAATCTAAATAACCCCTGAAAATGAAGTATACAAAGCTCTACTTTGAACTTCGGTGTATACAATATGCAAGCTGTAATATTCAAATGATAGTTATAAAAGCAGAGAAAGTTTAGGATGTGAAAGTTCACAATTTTGAAAACCATGAAAGACACTGAATGTCACTAAGTAATCAGTAGCGTTTAGTGATAGGAGAGGTTTGACCCGATGCGGTGTTGTGAAGGTAGACGTCAGGAATCCAAAAGGGCAAGAGAGAGTGATGCGAGGTCGGGTTGTCAGCCAGGGTCGGGTACAGGTGTCCGGTCGAAAGGTATCCAAATCCGTGGTCCGTAAGAGAGAGTGACGAAGGTAGCCGAGGACGAAGCAGGGTCGGTAACCAGAAGTCAAGCCAGTAGGTGTCCAAATCCGAAATCCGCGCGAGAGAGAAATGAACGTAATCCGGGGACGAAGCAGGGTCAGTAAACAGTAGTCAAGCCAAAAGGTGTCCAAGTCCGAAATCCATGAGAGAAAGAGAGGTGAAGCCGAAGAGGATCAGGGTCGAAATCCAGAAGTCAGTAGAAGAAAACGCGCACAAGATAAGGTTTAAGACAATCTCAACAGTGAGTGAGGAGTGACCGGAGTGAAGGGGTTTATATGTGAAAGCGGTGAGAGACGACTAATTGCTAAAAGCAGCGCAGGTGTGTATGCCGGGAGGTGCATGCGGGAGCATGATTCGTGACACTTAAATAGTGAAGAAATACAAATAATTTATATGTGTATTAAGACTCGGGACACAAATGCAACAATTATTGCTGTGTTATGATCACAATTTTAAAACCTTGGAATTATTTCCCCCCTTCATTCACAGAAAGGGGAAAATATTTTTATTGCATAAGAAATGTATTAAAGATGAAAAAAAATCGTATTTACTGAAGTATTCAACCTACTGATTCGGTACTTTGAAGAAGCATCTTTTGCAGCACACTCCTTTGAGTCTTGGTTATGTCTGCATATAAGCTTTGCCAGGAGCCCTGCAACTCACAACTGGTAACCCACTGAACCTAAGCAGGTATGAACTTGCTCAGTACCTGGATGGGGAACCTTATGGAGAAAATATTCCTTATGAACTTCCATATTCTTTCCGTTACCCAATAATGGACCAGACTGTGCTCCTGGGAATTTTCAACAGATATGTTTTTACACCACCCCCAAATTTATGCTTCCTCACAATCCTTCATGGTAGAGTTTCGGTTCTGAAATGCACTTTCAAGTGCCAGCTGAGGTATCTTATATAGACAGGTATACATCTTCTGAAATCATGTCAATGAACTGAAGTGACCATAGGTGGACTCCATTTCAAGTTTTAGACTGATCTCATAAGCAAATTAGATGCACAAGTGAGATTTGGAGTGTCTTAGGAAGTGAATCCTTAGTTTTTCTTTTAAATTCTATGTAAAAAAATACAGAACTTTCATTCCACTTTGACATTGGAAATGTGACAGAAAATACAGTACCATTAAAATGTATTATGATTTGAGTTTGCAATATACAGTACAGGAATTGTTAAAAAATCCATGGAGGGTTAAATCATTCTGAATGCTCTATACTGTATACAGGATATGTGACTCTGGAGTCTTCTTCAGGTATGACATACATCAGTGACTTTTCTTTGAAAACACTATAACCAATACACTGAGGAAACGATAATGCAATGCATGGTATTTTTATATCCAAATATGCCCGTACATTGCCTCATAAAAAAGGGTCTGCAAACTGAATAAATAACATTCCTAAGAATAATAACATGTCCTTGTCTCTCCTAACATTTCAACTGTATCAATACATTTCTTACCACAGGATCAATGTGCTCATTTACAACTGGCACGGTCTGCATACACTTCATTCTGCTGGCAAAACGCAGAGTGGAGAGCTGAAAAACAGACAAGTACTAAATTAACCACCATGATATCATAATACCACCACAGTAACACAACATGCTGCCTAGGCACTATATTAGACTTTGTAAATAAAATATGTTTCATCAGCTGGCATGGAAGGCAAAAACTCATTGTCATTTCAGCTTCAGAAGGAGCCATAGCTTCATTTTCCCACTGCAGTCAGGGTTTGCCAGAACTGTGAAGCTAGAGGAGCCACATAAGTATCAGTGATCGTTCTTCACTTGAAAAATCAAAGTAACAATAATGAAAAAGAGTAATGAAAAAAAGAAAATGCAGAGGAAGGAAATGAAGCAAAAGAAGAGGAGGAAGAAAACAATTTTACACTCAGCTGTACCACTTACAGTTTCCTCTATGTGGGCTGCTTCACCATAGATATTAGCCACAAGCACAGTGTTGCAGTTTCCACCTGTAGTAAGAAGAAGTTATACAAACAATGGTTCAAGTGGATGGTTCATTTTTTACTGATTTAATACAACTCGAGGCACAATTCAAAGTATGTACATATGACAAACTTCAGCTGACAACACAAACCTGATGTCGTTTTTTTTAAGTTAACACAAACTGAATACTTTTTTGCAGTGCTTTTGAGTCCCACCTGGTTTTACTCTGTACAGGCTCCTGCAAGGCCAGTGATCAATTTCATTATTATTATTATAATAAAAGTATTAACTTTTCAGCGTTTCTTCTGATTGCTATTGACCAGGGATCCACCAGATTTCTTAGATCCTGTTATTGTCCGATGATCAGGACTTTGTGGAATATGTTATTCTAAAACATAGTTAATTATTATTATTATTATTATTATTATTATTATTATTATTATTATTATTATTATTATTAGTGTTATTATTGTTATTATATTGAGGTAACATTCATTATGAATCACAATTTGTACAATAAGATAAAACAATTTCATGCTACCAAAAGCTACTGTTCTCAGCTTTTGAATTATATACTCAGTCAGAAGCACTTTCAGCAAACATAAACAATTTACACATGAGATGATAAGGTTTGGCCCATCCAGCCTGTTTTGTAGTTATAAGCTTATTAAGTTGTCCTCAACAAAAAATGTTTGTTTGCAATGGTTCAAACATGTTACTGTATTTTTTGCTGAAATTATTCATTAGGATTATAAGGAATAAGGAAGTGTGTAAGGGTGACAACAGAGAACCGTATAGAAGTTTTAATTACAAAATTAAGCTAAAGACAAGGTTGGAAAAGATAATTAAGAGTTAATTAGCATGGGTATGGAAAAGTATATTGGAATATATAAAAAACAAGAGGGTTGCACAGGAAAAAACTCTTATGGCACTCAGCGTATACTAGAGGTTATGGAAGCGCATTACTGTCACTAAGGGAAAAAAAATCCTCGGCCTTATCTTGTAATTACAACAAAGTTATCTTGTAATTTCGAGATAGTTATTCTTGCATACTTTATGTGATCACGCGATAGCAAAATTGTCATAGAATACCTATATCACTACATGGGGATCTACAGTTTTGAGCAGTGGAACTGATTCCATCTATAATTGCTTATAATGGACCATCATTGATTTGATCTCTAAATCTCACAAAACTGGTCATCATGCTTATAATGATTCTGTTTATATTTGCTATAAATGGCAAGATTTTATTATGACTAAACCCCAGTCAAAAGTAAATCCATACAAATTCTGCAGAGCTAGACATTGACACGATCAATAAATTGAAAGTGCCAGCCAAGTTCTTGGTAACTTCTAGATGTGTTCAGTGCACAACGTAACAGGTTGTACATACACTGAAGTAATCATTGCTATCTCATAATTACAAGATAATTTGTTATCTCATAATTACAAGATACTTTTCTCGTAATTGTAAGATAAGGGGGCGATTTTTTTTTTCCCCTTGGTGGCAGCAATGTGCTTCCGTAGGAGGTACATGAATATCACATCTCACCCAGGGAGTCCTTCAGGGCATGAGTGAGCTTGCTCTGCCGAAAGGGAACATGGTCTCGGCGAGAGTCAGCCAGTGCAATGATGGCCTGCTCCAGGAAGGACAGGGACTTGTTGATGTGCAAGGCCTCTTTGAGTACCTGTCCCTCGGACTGTGGAAAGACAGCAAGAGTGTAAATAAGGAAAAGAGAGGGTGCAGGAAAAAGGGTATGAGGGTGTTATGGGGGTTTTATGAGGGTGTTCGAGTAGATGACAGGTGTGGTGAAACATACAGAAAGCAAAGAGAAAGATGAAGAAAAGAGCTGGGAAAAGAGGAAGAGAAATAAATAACTGTGGGAGGAAGAGGGAGGACTGAGAGGGGAAGGATTAAGATGGATCTTAGCATCACGCACATATTATAAAGAAAATAAAAATGTTTTCTGTTTTTTACTATCACAATCACTCACACAAGTCATTGCTTGTGTTTTCCAACACATTGGTCTCAGAGAGAGACAAACAAAGAAGGGTCGATATGTGAAGACTCACTCCAGTTTTGCTCAGTCTCTCAGAGCCAGCCAGGTCTACTAGGTTCAGTTTGGAGGTGATGTACTTCGCATCTGACAGGGTCCGTGAGCGGGACTGAAGACACGCGACAAAAACAAGGACAGAGATTGCAAGAAGGGCTGTGAACAGGCAGGTCTCTTGGACCTACTGTACTATTCTCAGCAAACAGATACTGGTGTGAAAGAAAATGTAAATAATGCTTACAGAATAATTAACCATCAATAATTGCCAACTACACATATACATAAATATGTCATTATTACTATTAATGAAGAACTGTACTATTAAAGAAGTCATGTAGATCTTGAGAAAAAATGAAAAACTGTAATGGTTAAGGAATCTGAGGCTGAGATAATCTTGTATAGTCTGTACATTCGGGGAGTAGAACCCTTTATGACTCATACAGTACAGTACTGCTCTTCAATATGACACTCTTTGCTCTTTTTGATCCATCCACATTAATGTTAATAAGCAGATTCCTGTATAGGAAACAAGGTAACATATATAATTCAGCCTTTAAATTATACCCATAGGAGCACTTTCAGTAAAATCAGAAAGGCTAAACATAAGAGGAAGCTGCTTGGTCTATTTAGATTGTCTGTTTGCTAGCAGCTTATTGATTGAGGAGTGACAGACTGAATAAAATGTTTCACTAATTGCTTAGAATTAGTGTGCAAAGGCACCTAGTCACTAGTGGTGTGAGCTGTACATCTGATGTTAAAGAAACAACATACTGATACTTTGCTCATTGTCAGTCTGTCACCCAGCACATTGTGCCTGAAACTGCTAGGAAGGAAATGCAGTGATACCTATGTTTGACATTTTCAACATCTGTAGATGCAGCATATGACTCTTTGTTCATCTGCTTGCATATGATTCAAAATAGGAAAACATTTTATGGGTGTTCTCCCTCTAAATGATGATGATCTCTGTTTCTATATGTCTCTCTCTTTATATTAGATACACAGCATGTACAAAAGATTCCATGTTAATTTTACACCTCAGTAAAAAATCACCTTCTGTAATAAAAGAATCCAGTTGGATGTTATAAAATCTGATGGGTTTTCAGAACAAGTGGTATAAGTGTTGTTATATGGAAATTTTATTCATACTTGCACGTTAAAATATTGTATCCGCTAGACATGCATTATTTGTATAAAGAAATAACCCCCCAGAACCAGAAGAAGCTCAGATGTTAAAAAAGCAATGTTAGTGAGTATGCAGCACCAGGTGGAAGCTCAGAGCAGGAATCTGAGGCCACTTACCTCAATATGGACAGTCAGAATACAATGAGACCTGGAGGAGTTCTTGTTCAATGCATGAGAAGCAATCATTCGGTTCATCTCCCCCTGAGGAAAAAAATACAAAACTTAAATACTGTATTTAAGTAAGAGTAATATTATACTCTAAAGAAACTCTAAAGAAGCCCTCACCAGCCCTTTCATCATTTTCCTGCATTATGAGACTGAATTACTATCCTGCATTATTAAAGTGACAGAACACATATTTACTAAATTTCTTTTAAATATTTGACTAAATTGCTTATAAAAATGTCTTCCTTTTTGAAGGACGAGAACAGATGTTTATGTCTTATAGGTCACTTTGCTAAAATAAAAAAATGGGAGAACTGTTTTACTTTGTAGAGTGATCTGTGGATCACCATAACTCTTCACCATAACCACCAGATTTCTTCATGCAACACTACATTCAAGTGGCTTAAGGTCATTTTAAGGAATGATTTAGTTAGTTGAGGTATTATGTAGATTTTAAAAGCTTAAGAGCAGGATTTTATTATTGTTGTGAATAAATTTGTTTTGCTTTTATTATGCTCAAAGCCCTTTGTGTCTACGTAGGACACATGTATCAATTACAGTTAATTGATTTACATTCATTTTTATAGATGTTTTTATATTGATTACCTGTTTATTCTTAATGATTGCTGTTTGTTACTTCTTTAATCCTATCGATTGCCGTTCATTTATATTGAGGGTTGATTTTTTTTCTTCTCTTACTGTAGTGTGAGTGTAAATAAGAAGATACTGTGTCTTGATTTTAATACTTCTAGTAAGGAATCATGTTACTGATTGTGATCCGACCCTTAAAATTAGATTGCTCACTAACTGTACAAAACTGTCTGCTTGGGTACTGACTGAAAATATTGTTTAAACTCAAAGCATAAAATATCCTTTTCATGGAAGGCACTGATTGTTTTAACAGTATCGGGTTAATTGTTCCTTTTAAGGATATTTGAAAATATATTTACAGTAATTATCCAAACATGGTTTTATTTTCTAACTAAACATCTAAATATCTAGTGGTGTAAGCAGTACATCTGATTTTATAGACACAATTTACTGATCATTTCTTCATTGCAAGCTTGACAAATACTAACTGGTAACTAGCTTCCAACTTAAAAACCTCTAACTAAATCCTAAACAGTTTTTCAAGCTCATGCTGAACTAACTCAACCACACAATATAGGCTTATTACACAAACTTGAAGACACAACTGGAAACTACTGTATGAGAAAATTGCATTTAAAACCAGGAACAGGTCATATTGTTGAAGCCGATGCACAGTCTTTTTTTAAGAAGTGGTTGGATCAAATGGGCCGGATGTTTACAAACGAGATATCATTGTTCTTCTTATGTTTTTGTGAAGACTTCTGGGAAGATATGCGCTCTATAAAGATAGCCTGCTGTTGGTTTTGTATTATTGTATTTAATTTTACAGTAATTAAATTGTGCAGTAATTTGTTTTCTAATATTTTTTACCATCTTATATGTAAGCACACCATCCATGATATGTTCTGCTTTTGTTTAATTTGAGATTTTTCCATTATGTTCTTGAGGACTGCTGTCTCTCCCTTTCTCTAAAACACATTGCTCCTTGCTCCTTAACACCAATGTAAAACTGCGCTAGTAGCTATTGACCTTTCATTCGATTGAAACTAAACTGTCTGCAAGGAAACATATAATTTGATAAATATTTACAGGTAATCATCCTTTATACAAACTGGAGGTGGTGTTGTTTTATTGGGGACAACTAAAAAAGATTTATATACCTTTTAATTAAGGATTCCTTTCTTCTGCTTTTGCAAATCTACTTTATTTTTAAGGTTTATTGGAAATTCTGAAGAACCTATAATTAATTTATAAATGATTTATAAATAAACATTATCCCATTATAATTAGTGGCTGTAGAAGAGGAGGCAATGGCAACTTTGACTAAATAATTTAAGAATTGATTTAAACTAACTAAAACCACTCAAACTGTATCTCCTCCACCTCATAACCACCTCTCTTACCTCAAAGTCCCTCTCTCTTTTTAAATTATCTCTAATTCCTCACCCCATCCTTCTTTAACATTCTTTCTCCCACTTCTCAGTCTCCATTGTCTCATACATTCTCCCCTCCTCTCTCGCACCTCGAACAACAGATTAAGGGCCTCTTCCTCTGTGTGGATGAGGTGCACTGACAGGCCCTTAACGTAGACACTTCCTCCTTCCTCCACCACAGCCATCTGGCTCTCTGAAGGGCCATCTCGTAAGGAGGACAGCAGGTCCAGCAGCGTCTCATTATAGATCTCCAGGAAGGACAGACGCACAGTGTTGGCCTGGTCTGGACGTTCCTCAATCTCTCGAAAGACCTGGACACAGAGCAGATGCATCCTTTAACTGGCTGCTGTTGTGCTGCTAAGGTTTGACCTATAGAATGTGACCAAATTCTAGCAATTATTTTTCCCTTCTTTTTTAACTTTTTAACAGGAGTAAAACTTTAAATTAGAGTTGCAGCTTTTTCATATTTTCATTTCACTATACTGTATAATAATGGACTGCATACTGTAACTCTTAACATATTACTTTAATTAACAGAAATGTAATCACATGACAGCTGGTATTTTTCACAAGATGAAAGCAAGTAAACAAAAAAAATCCATCCATCCATCCACTTTCAAATTGCTTCTTCCAACTGACAGTCACAGGGGAGCTGGAGTCTATCCCAGCAAGCAACGGGTACACCCTGGACAGGACGCCAATCCATGTCAGGGCACACACACACACTTAGGACCAATTTTCCCATAAGCCAATTAACCTACCACTATGTCTTTGAACTATAGGAGGAAACTAGAGCACCTGCCAAAAACCCACAAGAACATGGGGAGAACATAAAAACTGCACACAGAGAGTACTCCAGGTCTGGAACTGAACCCAGACCCACAGTGCTGATAACCATTGCACCACCATGCCACCCTCAACATGAAAATGTTATTATACATTTTATTATTTATTTTTTCACATATTTAGGGCTCCTGATATTTTGTGACATCTCTTTAAACACACTAGGAACCAAACTGTTTTTTTCAAGCAGCCAGACATAGGCAAGGATAACTTCTAGAGTCTGCATAGCTCACTTTTTAGTCCTACAATTTCCCCAGTTAATTCTAGAGGAGATGTGTTGCTGTCAGCAACGTGTTTTTTTTCCCCATTAATAATCATGATCATAAAATCAAAATAATAAATTAGACGTCATCCAAAACTTAAAGAGTTTAGACAATGAATATTTCTGAAAACATTGGGATCAAATGAAGATTCAATGACTGATAATTGCTGTTAATGGGTGGGGGATTAGCTGTTGGAAATTTTAAGTACTTATTAAATTCAACTCTTGATGCTCTTGGACACTTTATCAGTGATGTAAACAGGATCAAAATAAATTTTGGGCGTTATAACTCTAGACACTCTCACTCTGGAGGCAAGCTGAGGCTGCTCAAAAAGAAACACAACATTTGGAATGAGAATACTATAGTTATAGCTTATTTACTTTCACAAAAAGTTGTCAATTTGTTTTAAGCCCTCTGACAAGCAATACAGCTTGCGCAGTGAAGCATTGCAACTTGCCAATCACACGAAAGCTTGTTAGGTGCACTTTTACCCAACGAGGTCCAGGTAGAACAATGCCTGATCAGGTCACCTTTAAAAAGGCCTTGATTCAAAGCATTCCATAAGTTTCTGTGCATTCCATAAGATAAGATCACTTTATTGGCCATATACAATTACTTGCATTAGGAATTTTTATTTTCGCTTACCGCAGCTTGCTCTCCATGAGTCACACAGACACACAGACAGGGGGAGAAGCTTAGGGTCAGAGTGCAGGGTCAGTCATTGTACAGCGCCCGGAGCAGTTGGGGTTAAGGGCCTTGCTCAGGGGCCCAACGGAGTAGGATTCCTCTGCCTGCCGCGGGATTGGAACTGGCAACCTTCCAGGCTCAGATCCTTACCACAGAGCCACCACTCCGCCCCATAATGCCTCGAATGTCATCAGAAGCAAGGGAGAGGGCTATTGGCATGCTGCAGGCAGACATGCCAAGTGCCAGCGTAGCCAGAAACTATGGAGTAAGCAACTGTGTCCTGACGGCAGAGATGGTTTCAGCAGACCAACAGGACAGGTGACGGTCCAAGATCTGGTCGCCCTCAAGTGACCACACCAGAACAGGACTGACACATCAGACTGATGCATTACAGAGATCGTTTCAGATCTGCCACCCTTACTGCTGCAGAAACTGCTGGCAGACACAATTCCCGCATCACTGACAGGACAGTGAGGCTCCATGCTGCTGGCCTTAGAGCAAGGCAACCTGTCAAGGGCCCTCTGTTCACACCTCCTAGACGTCACACCCGACTGGCTTGGGCCAGACAGAGGCTGTGATGTACTTGTCAGCAGTGGCATCAGGTCCTCTTCATGGATGAGTCACTCTTCAGCCTGTTCCATGCAGACAGGAGGGCCTGAGCGTGGAGGGGGAGTTGTTGCGTTTCTTTTCTCCATTAGTATATTTACAAATATTCAACAAGATAATGTGGTGTACTGTACAAATTGACTTTATAATGGTAGATGATAAATTATTCCAATTTGTTGTTTGAAATCTTCAGAATTCGGAGTTTACTACCATAAAAAACTAATTTCAACCTCTTGGGCCATTAAATAGAATAGATGATGGTGCATGCTGCAAGTCCTGAAAACAATCCTGACCTCACACATGTGTAGTTTAATAATAACTTTTTGATTTCATATTGCGCCTTTCATCTCAAAGAATTCCAGCGTCTCATCCACTGCTGTAATCACCACAGTATTTTGTACCTCCTGCAGAGCTCTGGGAATGATTCCTCTCTGTTTGTAGCTCTCTGTGGCTCCAGTCATAGTGTGTGTCTTTCCAGCACCTGTCTGTCCAAAACACATCACTGTACCTGTTAAATAAGAAGAAATAGAAGAAGCATAAAAACCACACCCAATAAATGACAAGGAATGAAAGTCTCTGAAGAAGAATATTAACTAAATAAAGTATCGTGATGAACCAGGGGAAAACATACCTCAGACAAATTATTAGAAATTTTGTTTTAAATGTATAATTTTAAATAAACTGCAGTTATACTTTTGGGTAATGCTTAACTTGGTTAAATTATTTAAAACAAGTATTTAACAATTAGCAATTAAGCAATTAACACAAAGAAGACAACAACTAACATACAAAAAGTAAATAAAAGTTCATAGAGTTTATACATTCTTAAATAAGCATAAAGAAGAGGTAATATTCACTGATTCAAAAGAAGAACATTAAGTTATGAGCTGATGAAAAACAACCAGAAGAACAGTTTTTAAATTGCCTGATGCTCTAGGTAATTAAAGAAAAAAATCTCACAGGTATTATGAACTCCTTATTAAAGTCCATTACAGTAAACTCTAGTAAAAGCATGTACAGTATTAGTGTATTAACGTACAGTGACATCATAATAAAAGCATAGAGATGCATGCTAAATACACAATGCAAGTCATAGAAAACAAATGATCAAATCAAATACCAGTAATATCAAGACTTCCAAGACTAATGTTGAAAATTCTATTTACCATTGTAACCGTCCAGTGCTCCCAACACCACTCTTTTGGCTACAATGTCATACACATTCTCTTGGGACACGTCATGGAGGACACCATCAAGACGGAATGACCAGTCAGACAGCTGGTTATTCACCAGCCCTTTCTGGCCTGTCTTTCTCATGTGAATGTTAATAGTCTGAAATAAGGATGGGGGGGGAGATGACAGGTGTAGAAAGGATGTTAAGAGGTAAATAACCAGAAAGGAACAAAGGACAAATCGATACATATATAAATAAATGCATAGGCGCTATATTGTTTCTCTATATTGTATATTGACTGCTCCAGAGAGTCCTTCTGTAACGTTTAATCTAAAGTAACAAAACCACATGCTGTCAGCTAACCTAAAAGGAGGATGGTGTCAAGCCATGCTTACTGTGACTTGACATGGCTTGATCATCCTCTAGCGCACATATAGCAGTGGTCACCCATGAAGCCAATACGTCGTTGTAAGTGCTGCTGGTCTCTGGGTATCGCATATAATTCCCTTCCATCTTTGCTTGTCAGTAGCCGCTACTTTAGCATCGGTGAGACTGAGTCAGCAATTTTTGAGATCACCTTTGACTTGTTTCACCCAGATTTTTTTAGGGGCTGCACGTATTAAAAAATATGCTTACTGTATTTCTAATATGTAGTACCCAATTCATTGTTATTGTACACAAGTGTGACTTTAACAATCATTCTCAGTTAGAAACAGAAATGCAATCTCTCAATAGCTCTAAAGGAAAAATAACTTTTTTATTGAAAAAGTTATTGTTCTGTTGCTGCTAATGGTGTCAAGTAAATGATGTTGATTGTGAATGTGATGAGTCTTGAAATGATGTATCACAGCAGAATACCTTGCCATCTGGTAAATACTGGATGAGGTCCTGGGCAAAGTTGCCAGTCGGCCTGGTGCGGACAAATACCGTCACCCCACTGCCCCTGGAGCTCATGTCCAGCTGGGAGATCAGGGGAAGAACATTGTTAAAAACAGAGTTCAATCAAGTATATTAGCATCACAGTCCATGCTTCGAATTTGGTCATTGGAGGTTGCCATAGTGATGTATGATGTAGTGATGTGTATCTGCAAAAGGTGTGTGCAACAATTTTTTATTGCTGTTCTTCATCATTTAATTTCTATTTTTGAAAGAGTTACAAGAGCTTCCGAGTTTCACTGTGTCAGATGCTTTTTCTTTTACATCACAGCTCAGTTCATAAAACACTGCGCTAACACAGAAATGCCAAGCTCAGTTTACCACTCACCCCAAATTAACTAGCCAACGTGGTGAGTCAGGACACCTTCAATGTTTCTAATACAAGGACTGAGTAATCCTGAAATTACAAATGTTTTGCTTTTTATTGATTCATTATAGCTGATACAGTATATAGCTAATGCTGCTAATGTTCCAATCGATATTGAAGTTGCATTCATCTGTCATTGTTTGAGCACAACAATGATGTTTTTGCTATTTTACTTGATTAGGCTGTTCTTTGTGATTATAAATAATCCACTTCATAGCAGTCGTAGTGTAATAAATTACACTGTAGTACAGTACGTGCAGATTGTGTCTGTTGTCAGACGATAAAATGTAATAGCATTATAGGAAGAAGTACAGGATCATTTCAGGCTGAAAATATTTATGCGTTGTGGAAACAGAAACTATTTTATTTTCAGTTCAGGATTGTTAAAATGATAAATAACATTTATAATTTATTAGAAGCCATTTCGTCTTATAAAAAAAAAACGATTTGATTACTAGCATCCCACATACCTGTGTTATTAATCAGCTAATTCGGAAATAGTCTCGTGTCTAAACGCCCCAGATCCTCCAGTCTCATTCACCAAGACATAATGTTTACATCATCACCATGGAAACCGTGCCCGGATGCGTGCGGAAGACCTAATTTCCGTACGGAAAATCATTGACATGTCCTTTTACGGCAAGTAATGTATACAATAATTGTATCATATATCAGAGAATTATATCAAAATAAATATATATTATACAATTTCACATTATATTTGTAATGTGTGTGTCTACAAGGTTCCACAAGGATCAGTCTTTTAAACTGACCAGCGACGCCTTTAGTATGGTCTATTCATATTTTAACATTTATATTCGGCTATTTCATATTCCATATTTGTGTATTAGGTGCTGCATGTATACAGAAGTTATATATTCTTTATATACAGAATTATATACAGAATTATCAAAAGGACTGTAAATTTTAACACTTGCCTGATTTCTGTACCCCTCATTGTAAGAACACTTGTGTATTCTATTTTGTAGGTTTATTGTAGTTTGTGATAGGATGCTAATAAACCATTCCACCAAAAACAGAGGATTATGAATACTATTATTTTTTACTGGATATTGCCTTGATTTGTCCAAATCAACATTTTATTATAAATGAAATAATAACTATAAACAATATAGTATTGTAATCACATAAAAATGAAATACATAAATTATGTAGATAAATTGTTAGTAGAGTTATCTATCAAAGTGTAAAAAATAGTACAAGCCCACCACATACTCTTTCAAGCAATGAAAAAGACAAAGTACAGAAGTGCGACGAACAGAAAAAGGTAACTTTTTAAATTTTTGATTACAATTTGACAACTCGAATGGTAAGCGTTAATAACAAAACCAATTGAATGATTTCATATAAACATTCTAAATGTATTTTAAATTGGTGTGGAAACTCGATTTTTATATACTATGTTTTATTGCCCATCTAGGTTCCTGGTGTTCAATGTAATCCCTAAAATTAATCCCAATTTTAAGATTATTCTCTCCAGGACAAATCAAACCACCATTTAATCCGTCTCAACTCTACTGCCCAATGATATCGCAACCCCTGACGCGCAACAGCAGTAATATTAAACCCTACGGCAGCTACTCAGGCTCAATCCGCGTTTCCGATTTTTTTCTGTCGTTTTTATTTTCTCAATGAAGATGGAAGATCTAATATTCGAGGAACTAGATGATTTGATGCATTTCTCTGTTAGCGACCTTCCGAATCGGGGCTACGCGGTGATGGAAGAGATCCGGAGGCAGGGGAAACTGTGCGACGTCACCCTCAAGGTACAAATCAACCCGACGCGTGTTGTTCAGCAGGTTCACCGAGAAGCACCGTGCCTTTCGCTGCCACTGCCTTTAAAGAGGGAATATTGTCTTGGTTGAGGTGCTGGGGTGGATGAGGGTTTCTATCCTATATTCTTCGATTTAAAAGGGCCTCCGATGCTCTTCGTCCTTGTTCCAAACTAAGATGCCCTTTTCCAGGTTGGACACAGGCTAAATTAATTGGTTGTCATTGTAGACGAAAGCCCGGAAGAGATCCCCAAAATGTAAATATAACCGGGGTGGTTAAAGCCAACCGGGAAACAGCTGTTACAGCGGAAAATATGTCCTGCATTGTTACTGTTTTCCTGTCTGATTGATTTGTTTCTTTGTGAACACAAATAGAGAAATTAAATACATTACGAATATCTCTGAAACGAAAAGCGCTGGTATCTAACAGCCCTAAACATTCATTGACCTGAGGTTTTGCTACGCTACTAGGGTTGGGACTGTAATAAAAAAGTAAATTTAGAATATTTCACCATTTCCATTAATATTATTTCATTCTAAACATAATTTTCATAATTATGGAAAATTACTATTTAAATCGTATTAAACTCCAAAAATGGCCATTGTGCGCCAGATGGTAGCTAACTGTAAGAAAGGTAAAGGCAAATGTTGCACATTGATAAGAGATACGAAGGAAATACTGTTCAGATGCAACTGTTATGTTATTTTATTTTATTAAAAGCGTATCTAAGACATTTACTCATTAGATTAATGATAGCCCAAAAATCAGCCGATCTTAAAAAGCAGAACCTGCATTCTGTTAAATCCCCATAGGTCTAAAAATATCCTACTGTAGTTGTACAAGTAGCTCCTGTTATAACTCCTATTATCTAAATATATATTAAGTAAAATAAAATCCAGTAAACATGTGATAGGAAATAAAAACCATTAAGGAACTCTTAAGGTTTATCCATCAATTTTATAAATATTTTTGTTGTGGGATTGAAATACACTGAAGGCAGCAATTTAAAATAATGTATTAGTAGGACTTAAACATCTCCCCAGATTTTGATATAGCTGTGTCTTTGTCAGTGGAAATATTTTATTTCTGTCATTAAATTCTGCACCATATTGTTAGTTCATCATTGTTAAAAGACGTGAAGCACCTTTAGTGGGCTTGAACAACAGGTCAGTGACTGGTGGTGAAGAGGGGATCATACCCTACACCTGGCAGCACAAGGCCCTGTGTGTTCCCTCCCCGCAAGTCTTGTGCAGCTGAGCACTGTAGAGACACAGTAAACTACAGTATGGTGTGAAGTGTTGTGGGGGGGGTGGGTAATACTTGACAATTCTTTCTTGCACTAGTTAGCAGGCCTGCAGGACCGAGCCTAGCCTCCGCCATGACAGTTGTTAGAGGTGTACTGTGATCCACCCTCTGTAAAGAGCACTGAAGCTGCACGGGCGATAGCCTTGCAGGGGCCTTGCAGTGAGTGAAAGTGTTTTGTAATGTCATGTTTACCTCTTAGGGTGCTTCACAGGTTACCAGGCGTCCAGATAGAAGCAACTTGCGTCGCCTGACATCTGTGTTAGCATTCTCTGTTTATCCCGATTACTACAGCAAGAGCAGCGATGTGCTGAAACCGCAGTGCTCCAATTAACCTGAGCTCTTTAAGTTGGAGAGAGCCTTTGCTATCTTATCCAAGCTAAATGCACTTTTGTGTTATTATGTTTGTAAATGGACACTGGATATGTCAGTGGCCTTGGCTCCTGCTTCTTAAAGACCAGGCAGAAGCAATCCTCTTTCTCACAAAGTTTGGTCTACATTCACAACTAACTACTGACCATCAGGCTGCTGCACTTAAGCCTTTTCTAATACTACTCAGCAACCTAATGTCCCTTCTCCTAGAATCTCTGCAGCCAGTGATACAGTAACAATCATGAGAGGGATTTCTATTTCACAAGTTCCTTCTATCCATGCTTTGTGTGTTAATTTTAAATTATCATTTAAGTATGTTTATTGGAATATATGGTAAAAAAAACAACAAAAACTATTTGCTTGCAGGGCCTACCTTCCATTGCGGAGCTGCGGCAGGTCCATTCTCTTCAAGTCTTTTACTCCAGCACAGCCTATGTTAACTATATGGACTTATATCAGTTCCAGTCAATCAGATAAGAACCCTGGTATGTGATATGGCAGATGAGAAAATACGGTACCTAAATTACGCCTGTTGAACTTAACGGACCTCAACCTAATATCTGAAATCACTGATACCTTTCTCACTTAAAAAAAAACAAAGGCATTTTCTGGCTGTGGGAATATGCAAAAAGAAAACAGACCCCGAGATTCAAGTCATCTACGCCCATGCTGAGCCCTCTAATAAAAGGAATTACAATACAAGAATGTTTCGTTTATACCATTTATTTTTGGTTTAAATTTTTCTGGATTAAACAAGGTTGAAATGCCTTCTGGAATCACAGTTCATACAGTGTATACAGGTGGCTGACACTGTTGAGAGAGATATGGCATCCTCTGTAAAGCCAGCTCACCGATGAATAAAAAAAGTACAAGTTTCAGTGTCCTTGGAGGGTACTGTATCTAGGATCTTTATAAAGTCCTTGGCTGCAGTTTGAAATACAAGATTCACATAAGCGGTCTGCATTGTATGGAGTCACTATTTTAGTTCCTTCTTTTTGAATATCTTTACCTACCTATTCATTAGGTCTCCTTGGGATTTCAGCACAAGTATACTGTATTTACTGCGCTGCAGTAACCGTGCAGGACAGGATTCCAGATTTTTCAACACTGCATAAGACAAAATGTCAAGAGAGAGAATATCACGGTTGACCATTTTATTTAAAATATTGCCAATGTAAATGCTGTTCCATACTGTAAATGGGCAGGAAAGTTTATTGTTTTTCTACCTATTGTTTGTGCTTTGGTTAATGACTTTAAGGATGTTACTCAAGTAATTAACCAGGAATGTTATAGTTTTCATTCTTATGCACTGTTCTGTGCTGTATTAAAGTGATGTTTGGGTTTTTGAGGTAATTTTAAGTTCTGGAACCAATTGGAAATTATAACATGGGGAGTCATGACAACTTAGTTTAGGTTATACAAGTTTTTAGTTGACAGTTTTTGAGGAATGATTTATTCTAGTATAACATTCGAGGATTGTAATATCTGAGTTTCCCTGTTTAGCATATCCCGTAATGCTGTTGTTCCCTGGTGTGCAGTTTTGACTATGTCATAAATATGCACATGCTTGCTATAGAGAAGGGTGTCTGCAGAGACATAAGTAGCACTCTTAAAATCACTTCAACTTTAGCCTGTGCTGTCTAAGACTGAAAAGTAAGTAATAATGTTTCAGTTTCAAATGAGATAAGAATCTCATGTCCACTGTTATTGTTATTTGGTCTTTGTCCTGTACACTATCATCTTTTCTGTACTCCTCCATCTTAAAAAAAAACAACAAATTTTCATTCCTCAAATTCTTTCAGTCTGAAATAACTAGAGGCTCAACAATGGAGCCCACACAAGTCATGATCGTGTATCTGCAGGATGCACAATGCAAATGCAAGTCTGACAAAATCAGTGGTCTCTTATATCAGTAGAATATTATTTACATTTTAGTGAGCAGGTTTGCTAACTGATCCTTAAGATAAGAGAGTACTGATGTTGTGTGATTTCAGAATAATGCTGTGTATTGAGTGCTTGTTGTCACCTGAATTACACTTGCCAAAATGAGCTGATTAAAAATCTACTGTATATAAACATCCATTATAAAAAGATGTTTTAAATTAGCCTAATGCATGAAAAGTTAAATATAAAATCATGCCTCGCTATAGCAATGAGCATTGAAGTCTCTTTGCGAGTTTTAATTCCAATTTAACTGTAAATCTCTGCTACTGTTTGATGACTTAATTGATCTGCTTTCTTGTTTAGACTTTTATTTAACTTGTTTCTATGTTAAGGCTATATTTTCAAACAACTTCAGCATGAACTTTAAACTTTCAACCTGCATTCCAATATGTTTTACTATGAGCTCTTACTAGCTAAATTGATGATGAACAGATGCAGGTGGGAATGACACTGCAATGTTTGCTTCGGCATATGTCTAGTATGTTACATTTTTGGCAACACCTGAATGAGGGCAGTTATGAAACTTAGAAATTGGAACAGAGCTGATACAAATCCCAAATCCCTTTTGACTTTATAAGAGCTGAAGGCAATTTTACAAATATTTCCCAATCAGAAAGCGGAAATCAATTTACCTGTGATTAGGAACTTTGCTGGCGCAATAGCTGAGAAGGCAGAGTGTATCTGTGGGACCAGGGGTTGGAAAAACTGGTTTATCTAGACTAGAGGCTAATCAACTTTATGCACTGATGCTGCCATGGTTGTGTTAATGCTCATACTTGTTCGAAGCTTTACAATGTTTTCATTCTGAGATTGCCTCATGTTTCATACTGAAAACCATGATCTGTTTTTATTCACATAGGAGGCATGTTTTGATATCCTTGTTAAAGATATTGGCATATTTTAAAGTGGTGTTGTTTGTTTTGTGTATTAGAATCTAAGCTCTCCCCAAGATATTCTCGAAATAGATATTTTACTAATGGTGGGGAACAGCAGGTGTAAGGCAGGAACACCGTGGATGGGGAGCCAGTCCATCATAGGGCAGGCAGACACAGACACAAACATGCACACGCTCATGCGCACTCACCCAAGGGCAAATTTTTCCAGAAGCCAGTTAACCTACCAGTGGACTGTGGGAGGAAACCCACATGAACAAGGGGAGAACATACAAACTCCACACAGATAGCACCCCAGATTTGCAATCAAAGCAGGACCCCTGTGAGACTGCAATGCTAACCACTGTGTCATTGCACACTGTGTCATTTCTTGTTAATTCTGTGGCTGGGGATATACTGCACACAAACTGCTTTCTCACTGGTTGTGTGACCATCGTGCTTCCGCGCGGACTCATGCCCTCACCGCTCCTCCCTGCTGATTCGTCTGGCAACACCTTGGCGCGAACGTGGGTCTCCGGCATAACACGACAGGGAACCAGCCGAATAAGCTAAAGGAGACCTCCCTCAGCCCAGGTGCGCAGGGAGGGCAATGACATCACCGTGTCCAAACTAGCTCCACTACATCTGCTCACCACTGGCCTTGCCAGTATGATTGACATTTCAGAGGAGGTTATTGGCATATTGTCATTCCTCTGCATCTCTGATCATGAAGCTTCTTGTATTGACTCTTCATCTCGGAGGTAAAGCTACTTTCCTATGCAAAACTGTTAATAGTTAGCCAGACTGTTGCACTGCATCAATAATAATCTGGCTATTCTAACATTCATACATTTTATTTATACATTTACCATGCAAATGTAAAGTCATACAGTACATGAGAGTTTTGAGTCCTTTGAATCAACTCCCGTTTCATACATTCAAAGTAGAATAATATCTGTTGGGATCTTTTTTTTATTACACTTGTTTCAGATTGAACTGCTGTTAAAATATGATGTACTTTGCCCTAATTCAGTTTGGACTGAAGGCCATGACAGAGATGGTCCAATTTTAAAGCAGATGCTCTGTCAACAAACCTCAAAGTTTCAAGGTCTTCCAAGCCAGTTGATTTTTTTAATTCAGGTACCCATAGCTAATTTTGGGTCTCCTCTTGGTTTAAATTTTGGTTTGAGGTCATTCTTGCACAACAGAATGACATTAACCCCAGATAATCCCTTTCTCTGCAGTGCCAGTACTGAATTTCTCGTCATTTTGTGTTAATTTATAACCCATGTCTGCTGTCAGTTCCTAAAGCAAAGTAGAACACATGGCTCACTGCACATATGACCTATTAAACTGTTTAAGCCTGGTGTACTGCTGTTAGATCCACAGAATATAATTAAACAGAATAGACAGAGTTCAAATAAATTGTTGCTTACCCGGGATAGGCTCCAGCTCCCCTGCGACCCTAAATTGGATGAAGAGGTTAGAAAATGGATAGATGGATGGATCATGTTATAAGTGTAGAGCATTCTAAGTGCTGCCTTTTTAAAAAAGTGTTCTGAATTGTATTGTCCACAGATGGAAGCACTCTGACCATAGTACATGACACACAGCTGTAGTCTAGCCTAACATCTGTAACAGCAGGACTTGCAATACAAGCTGCAAATACAGAGCAAACACCAAATATGTGTCCTACTGACCAAGAACAACATTACATTAAGAAATGGGACATTACAGAAATGCAGTTTGCATCTCGGAGGACAGCTTTATGCCCTTTTGTCCAAAGCTAGGACACGAATAACGCTCCTGGACTGACACTCACTCTCTCTTTCCCTCTATGTTCAGGTTGGGGATAACAAGTTCAGTGCTCACAGGATTGTACTGGCCGCCTCCATCCCCTACTTCCATGCCATGTTCACCAATGACATGATGGAATGCAAGCAGGATGAGATTGTGATGCAGGGCATGGACCCCAGGTAGGGCTGGCACTGCCAACTCCTCCCTTCATGAACATATGTCCCAGGTTCATATCCACTCAGGAGAAGAACATTCAGTTAGTACAGGGACATACAGTAAGATCTGCTATTGCACAGTAGTCTGAGACACTGTGAGTTTCACAATTAGTAGAGGCTGTTGTGTGTGAGACAACAGGAGGGCCTTGTTATCTTCTTGGTCTATGCACAGACCTCAGTGTGAAATTAATAAAATACAGAACTAAAATACAATTCTATACTTATGAAGCATTGAAATTAATATATTGGTTTTGTGTTTTGATGGATCAGTCTCCTGTTATACTGAGTATAGACCTAAACAATGCTCTCTAACACATTCCCAGAGGGTGAGGCTGATTTTCACGCTTATTTAATGCAATATTTAGAGATGCGTGTTCTGAGATCATAAATACAGCACCTTGCTGAACAATTCACTCTCTTCCAGTGATATCCCATGTTGAATTTCAAATGAAATATCCCTTTTAAAAAATTTTAATGTTTGTATCGAAACTTAAATGCTCAAACCTAAACCTTTAATGAGAGAAAAGTTAAATGTCTACAAGAACAGCAAAATAAAAATCAAAACATAAAATATGTCAATGGAATGCTGTATGCATTCATTCCTTTGCAGTGAATTCAGGTCCTTATTAAAAATAATCAACACAATGGGAAAGGTCCCCTTTTGATGAGGAGGTTTGGTCCTTCTGTATACAACCTCTGAAATGACAGGTTCACTTTTACTAGTAGGAGTCATTAAAATTTGTTCTTCAGAATGCAAATTGTGATAAAAGATCAAATCAAACCAAAATATATGTGATATTATATTGATAAGTGTATATGAACTCTTTACACAAATTAGGTCAGTGACTAAATCTGTTATTAACAGATCAAGTTGACTGGACTCCCAGAATGAAAGCATCATGATTGTAGACTTTATAAATGGGATCCAAGACATTACTATAGTCATGGACTTTTTTATGCATTATCTTAATATATTATCCATTATATAACCATACATTATATAAGAATTTAATATTAATATATTAATAACTATGAATATGTGTTACAAAGCCTTATTGAGAAATGCTTCACTAAACCATACTTCTGTTAATAAATTATTTTCTGTAAAGAATTATTTTAGTGCTAAAATGTTCCCACTTCGAGCAAAAAATTATTCACAAGTCCAGGCCAGTCTCGCTTTATACCACTCATAGAGCCATAGGACTTCTGAGTCAGTCATGGAAATAATCATGCAGCTGCTCTCATTTAAAAAACACAAAAACTAGCATTTTTTATATTGGACACAGCTTCATAGTAATATTTTGAAACAATTTTAAAAAATCCAAATATGTTCTCTCATCTGTGGCCTGAGTAAAGGAGTTACTTTAGTGCTCTGTGTGAGGGGTCTGGTTTCACTGTCATATCTGCCTCAGGAATGTGACAGTGCATCCCCCACACTCCAGAGTCCATACAGCAAACACAGCTGCCTATTTTTTCACCTCAGTGATGATTGTACTGAAGTTTCTTACATGGTCTGAAAAAACTATTTTTATAGTAACTCAGCAATGAGACTGGTGATCCTCTTTAAACTAGGGGGTTTCCAGTCCTGGTCCTAGAGAATTGGTGTTTCTGCAGGTTTTAATTCCAACCTAGCTCTTAATGAACTGAACCAGCAGGTTACTTATTTACTAGGTCCACTTTAACACCTTCACTGGGCCCTGTTGCTGTTGCTTTAAAGACATCTTAAAAAAACCTGAAGACCAAGCTTCCAGGACCAGGATTGGACAATCTTGGTTTTTGAGCCCTCCAATAAAAATGTATATGGAACATCATGGTAGTTCATTATACATCTTGTGAAATAGTATGACACAAAAACATGAATAGCTCTATTAAATAAGAAGAGTAGAGTAATTGGAAAAACTGTGAACTTTGCTGTGATGTTTCCCCTCTTCCCCTTCTTTCTCTGTCTCTCACAGTGCTCTGGAAGCCCTAATAAACTTTGCCTATAATGGTCATGTGGCAATAGATCAGCAGAACGTCCAGTCTCTGCTCATTGGGGCCAGCTTCCTGCAGCTCCAGAATGTCAAGGATGCTTGCTGCTCTTTCTTGAGAGAAAGGTGAGCTTCCACTCAGGAGAGAACATGCCTTTCCACACCTCACCCCACGGCATCATAAGTCACCTCTCACTCATACTGTGCCACACCCTTTCTCTCTTGCAGTTACACACCTCACACACTGACTTCCAAACCTTAATTTGTAGCAGTGGTTGCCAGTATGCACAAGGTGCTCCTGTTCTTTTTCCAGCTGAGCCATGTTCTGCCCTGCCCACCACTTCCTCTTGAACACCCTCATTTTCCACTTCCACTTTCCATGCAAATAAACCTAATCTCTGTCTAACCCCCAATGTCACTCTTCCCTTTCTATTTATATCTGTAAACCCCTCACAACCTCCCCCACTCATCTCTTCGCAAACCCCCAACTCCTACACACCCCCTGAACTACCACTCCCTAATTGCAACCGTCTCATTCCAGACTGCACCCGAAGAACTGTCTGGGTGTGCGGCAGTTTGCGGAGACGATGATGTGCACCACGCTGTACGATGCTGCCAACAGCTTCATCCATCAGCACTTTGTGGAGGTGTCCATGTCCGAGGAGTTCCTCGCGCTGGGAGCGGAGGAGGTGCTGGAGCTGGTGAGCCGAGACGAGCTCAACGTGAAGGAAGAGGAGCAGGTCAGTCATTCTGCTGCTGGACTGGGAAAGTTTCAAGAAGGAGGAGGACAAACACTCATTCGTTTACTTTGGTACATGCAGAACCCTGCCATACTAACATTGGCTGCCACCAGCAAAACCTCATCAGGCAGCTCAGCCTTGTATATCATGGTGGACATTAATGAAATTTGCAAGGGAAAGTGCCTGGTGTGGATGGTTGTTGAGGGCGGTCAAGGGAGCTGTGAACAAGGATGTTCTGCAGATTAGGTGGTATGAGATATGAGATGATAGGGCGATCAGAAAAGAGGGCCCCAATGGAGGGATCATCCTGTAGGATGGAAAAGTTGTGGTTAATGGTCCTGGGGATAGGAAGTGTGTTAGGGTGGTAAGGAAGCACCAAAGGAATGCGGTTGTTACGGCGGGAGTTCCTGATCGGGTTGATGGTCCGGGGGGTGTTTTTGGCTCGGGCAAGGGCCCTGTCAATCACACTGCTGGGGTAACCTCTGTTGATGAAAAATGAGTACATTTCGAGGGCTTGGTTCTCGAAGTCGATGTCGTAAGTATATGTATATTGCTCTGTTTTTACCAGTGCTCATTTTAATGTTACAGAGTTCCTGCTTTGGCTGATAAATGTTAGACCATTAAGGATTATCTCATAACCAAAGAGAGACAAGTTTAGACCACCCTGGAAAACCCCAGACTGCTGCCAAGTATTTAACTGTTGAATCATGCCTACAGAGGCCAAAAGAAGAGATAAGCTGCCTTCTAAACTAAAAAGATTACAACCTACGATTAATCTCTCTCTCTGAAAACCCGAATGCCACAAAGTGAATGAGACCCTCTCTTCCTATTGTAAATGTATTCACTAAGCAGAACAGGCTGTTTTAAACTGAGGGACTCTTCATTCAGGAACTCCAAGTTACAGAATATCAAGATCTCTTAACAAGGTTCAAGTATTTAGCTCCAATCGGGTCTTTGTGGATCTCGAACAAGGACCTCTCACCTGGCACATGTTTTTTTCTCTGTGTCCTCCTGTTTCCACTCTCTCTTGTGGTCTCTTTTTCTCTCTTGATCTGATCTTATATGATGTCTTTCTGAACTGTTGATGGGCATTCAGTAATCTACCCAGAACTTAATTAACTAAGGTAAACTTTATGATTGCTTTGATCACAGATTCTGGACCCCTTATACTGTATCTCAGCAAACACCCCCTCTGCTTTAAAGTTGTAAATGTTTGCACTGCCAGGTGCTGCAGTTTATCTAGACTCTTAGAGACAGTTTCTAGTCGCCTATAGCTGTAACATTATTAATAATCTGACATTGTTTAAAGAAGACAGAGCATCAGCTTTGACAACATGGCTGGGTAGCTTGTTTCATACTTCCACAGCCCTTGTGTAAGCATGAGCTTCCATGCAACGCTTCATGATTCTAGTACCTATTCCTGAATTAGCCTTGGTTGTTTTCCAGTCCTGCAGGAGAACTCCATGAAATCCATTCCATCTTTATTGATAACCTGAAATCCCTTATTCCCAAGAAATTGATTGGTAAGCTGAAGCAATTAAAAGATTTTACCTCATCACCCATGCACAGTCTGCATTACAGCATGAGACTGGAAACGGAAACAGCTGGAGAACAATTTGGTGTATATAGTGGAACAAGAAGTATGCATTGCACAAACTGTCCAACCTGACCGAATAAGCTGTAAAATGCGTCCAAAAATCTCTATACATTGACTGACCGAACCGAAGGACTAGTTACAAATGAGTTGAGGCCCTTTATTTTTCTATCCCATTTGGTAGTTACAGTAGTAACTTCCAAAGATTACATACAGCTATTTCTTCAAAGAAGCAACGGTATCAGTTTCAGCAACATGGCTGGTAAGCTCGTTCTATGTTCTGACATCCCTTTGTGTAACGAAGTGCCTCCTGTTCTCAGGTTTAATGTATTTAATGTAGTTTCCATTTCTGTCCCTTTCTTTGAGTTTCATTGTTCATTCTGAAGAAACTCACCTGGCTTTCAGGTTATACATATACTTGAATCATATCCCCTCGTAATCTTCTCTAAAAAGGTTGAGTTTCTTTGGCCTGTCAGTGTGGGACATTCCCTTATGTCCTGGAATGTACAGTAGTATCTTGTTGCTATTTTCTGGACTGATTCCAGAGCAACAGTATCTTTCTATTGCAATATTCTATAACATGCAGACCAATATTCTACACAATATTATACAAGAGGCAAGATTAGTGCATTGTACAATTTTAACACAACATCCCTTGTTTTAAGTTCCACACTTTCAACTATGTGTCCTAACATTTCTTTGTCTTTTTGTTGCTTGCCCTTGTTGTCTGGAGGATGTAAAAGATGAGACCTTGACAGTGCTCTGAGCTCTGTGTGAGGGCAGACACACAGACACACACTGACTCTTAGGCCAGTTTTCCCAAAACCCAATATGTCTTTGGACGGTGGGAAGAAGCCAGATCCCCCAGAAAAGCCCACACAAACATGAGGAGAACATAGAATCTCCACACACCCCAGGTCTGGAAATGAACCCAGGTTTCATGCCACGTTTCAATGCTAATCACTGCTCCACCATTACACCCCTTTTTAAGTAATTGTTAACAGTAAATGTATAAAAAGCAATTTTAAAGTTGATGAGCTGTTAAGATCACTGGCTGGACCAGCTTATGATGTAACACCAGAGCTCAGCTTTTAAGATATAGTTAAAAAGTAATGACTAAACCATGCAAGATTTTAAAACATTACTGCACAGGCTCCTTCACAGTTAGTCATAGCACTCCATTATATGTAATGGATTTTGTCAAGATAACCAGATAACCAAACCCAACCTTTAGTAAAACACTAACAAACTGTAAGGTTTAGAATAAGCCTGTAACTCAATGCAGCAACTGCAGCATGAAAGCTTCAGGATTAAGGGGAATCTACACTTTTCTGACCCATTTTCCTTGGTTTTCATTTGTAATTACTATTCAGAATGTCTTTCCCTTGGAGTTTGTCTGTTACAAGGTGTAAGTAAATTGGCCAGTGGCCCAGTGCTGACCTCCTGCTGTCACACCAGGTGTTTGAGGCGGTACTGGCCTGGGTGCGACACCAGCGCGAGGAGAGAGTGTCGCAGCTGCCTGAGCTCCTGTCCAAAACCCGGCTCCCGCTTTGCCGGCCGCAATTCCTGTCAGACCGGGTGCAGCAGGACGAGCTGGTGCGCTGCAGCCACAAGTGCAGGTGAGGTGGGGCAGAAGGGTAATTACAGGAACTGTCAGCCTGTGAGCGATTAGATAGACAGTTCAGAAAAATTCTGATCCAAAAATGTTATGGTGATATACTTAATATTATTTTTTTCTTTTAACTACGCAGCAAGTCTGATAATTTATTAGCAAGGTACATATCTCCATATGCATGACAGTAACAAAACTGCAGCAGAAACTCTTGCCCAAATTATTTTGCCATTTAACCTAAGAAATGTCTCCCCATCTTCAAAACCCAAAATGGAATAGTGGCTTGCCTTACCTTGTAATGCATGGTGTGTGTTTCAAACTGTTCTCTAAAACACGGGTTCGCACACCTGATGCTCCTTGTTTGAAGCCAAGATCAATTACCTAATTGAAGCCTTAGCTGAACTAACAAGTTGCTTGATTTGCAAGATTTTTTGACAGCAATGTTTGAGATTTTATTTTACTTATGAACTGCAGTAGTAAAAAGGCAGCCTCTAACATGTTTAACAGTCAAAGTATTTAAATCAGTACTATTATTAAGTCAATTAATGGTTCAACTGTGGAACTGAGACCTTGACAGGCACACAAAACAGCAGGAGTGTACAGGTATGCTCTGGGGGATGGGGATTCTTACCTTTTCTGTACACAGGATAACTGAGGTGAAAGTGTGTGTCAGTGTGTGTTTGGGTGTCGGTTGTCTCTGGTGCAAGCGTGTGTCAGTGTGTGTTTCGGTGTCAGGCTGACTGTGGTGAAAGCGTGTGTCAG